ACAGCAGCGAAACAGGCACGCCTTAGAGAAATCTACCAAACAATGTAAACACAAACATAGGTTTGTAATTAAGTCCTTGACATGAACAAACTGTAAGAAGTCATTTTAATGTTTTCATAGCCATTCTCATTCATTTTATTATAATCGTTCAAGTATACTGTCAACTTTTATTACATATCTGACTACATCTTCTGATGTGGCTTTGAGCTAGTTGCACTATAAATAATAATAATGTTCCTTGCATTTTATATAACGCCTTATCACGCTGTTGTGATATCTCAAATCACTTCACAGAATATATTGTATTGCAGATTGACTGTATATTTTGGTGACGAAACACGGCAGCCAATTGCATTAAGCACATAAGCATGAATACATATGATAAGTATGATCAATATGATATTCTACATTCAACATAGCAAAATAATATTGTAACATAGTTACATTTAGAGATCTGAAAAGAGGCACATTTGAAAATGGAATATACTGCATTTTTTAAAATTTATACTAAATGTTGGTCAACCAGAGTCCAATAATAATAAAAATAATAATAAATAAAGATCCTTGCTTTGGACATAGCACTTTATCACATTGTCAATATGTCTGAATGAGCTTCACAGGATATACCGCGAAATGGCGTGACTGTGTATTTTATGGGCAAAGTATGGAGTAGATAGGTATAGAATATGGAATATGAGTCATTACAACCTTAAATGTTAGCTTTAGCTCAGGTGACACATTTTATTGAGCTGGAACTGTCCTTAATGACAGGTTTGAGACAGAACACCACTCTAATTTCAAGAGAATGCTTTCACCCTCAGGCTTCTCACAGTCACTACTGACAGGTTATGAAGACATGTTTTTATCCACGATTTCTAGGCCATTTATTTTACGTTTCACCCACAAAATACACAGCTAATCCACTTCACAATATATTCTGTGAAGCGCTTTGAGACGTCTCGGTGATGTAATAAGGCATTATATGAACTGCAAGGATTATTATTATTGTAACTATGGCTGAGTGATATTTAAGGATTGCAATTTTGATTCCACAGAAACAAATTAATTGGGGCTGAAGATGTTGGAGCTCATTCTCTGCTGGTAACACGCAGAGTAAGAGATGTAACCGAATCGCTATCTGTTCTTTAATATTGAATATGATCAATATATAATTTGTAGGTGATAGAATCCAGCAATTGTACAGCCTAAGAAGAGGCTGGTCAGCACGTGCCAATTCCTCATATGGGTTAAAATTCTGTTTAGCATTATGCACATTGCCTTTCGAGCTCAGGCCATTAATGGGATTTCTTTTGCCAAAGGCGTTGTGTGTAATGCTGAATGCAATTTTTACCCCTGAAAGAGCTATCCATTTAGTTCCATTCCATGCCTCTTCTTAATGCTACTTTCCTGCTTCAACTATTTGTCTGATACACTTTTAAAACCTATTATTGATATGGCTTCAATCACTGTTTTTAGTAGGATATTTCTCTGTAAAAGCAGAAATTTTCCCTTGTTTTTGGGGAAGGATTTTCAATTTATACCTTGTAGGTCAGCAACACAGTGACCATAAGAGTTTCCCCTTATTTACCTTATCAAAACCCCACATAAGATTGAAGGTGATGTATCTGTAATGCTCACTGCACTTCTAAACGGCACACACCACTGAATCTGCTTTGTCTCTTTAGTGTAACTAACAGCAGTTTTTTTGCAAGATATTTTACTGTGAGATAAAAATACACCACTGGTTCATATCGATTACTCTACACTAGTGCTTTTCAATCACCTCTTCAATCTACCACAGGTTAATTAAAAGCTGGTCCATTTGCTGCATAAATTCACTTAAATCCAAGAATAGCTAGAGCTCCTTTTTCAAAAAGGCTGCTAGTCAGCACCTTTTATCGTTCATCCCCAATGGTAAGCATGGTGAAAGATCTGGGTTTATGCATCAGTGTGTAGGCATCTGACCAAAAATAACATGGAAATGCATAAAGCTCTCCCAGTCACACCTGGAAGAACTCTTACATGCGGGTAACTGCCCTGCGGGTTCGATGTTTGAACAGGCATATTTTCCATAGTGTTTCGATATACAACAACCAGCATAGATTTCAAGAAATCCAAAACAAGTCTGGAGTCCAAATTGGCAATGTTCCTAATTACTACTTGAGTTACGCACGATCTGAAATCAAGAGAAGTATTTGTAAGTCATGTCCTTTCAAGCAGAGAGCTCCGAGGGAGAAAAGAATGAGAAGAACCCTATTGGAACTGCTGCTTTGCCTGGCCCCATTGATTCCATGTCAGGGCAGCATTGGTCCAGGCAGTACTTTAATCCTTGCAGTTTGTTTCCTTGTAATTGATGTAAAGCTTCCTCAGGTCTCAAAGCGCTTCACAGAATATACTGTAAGATGAATTAACTGTATATGTTGTGGGCGAATCACGGCAGCCAATTGCACACAGCAGTGTTCCACAAACAGTGGTGGATTGAGTGACCAATTTCTTTTTTTTTGAAGGAATTATTACTCCTGGAAAATCGATCCTCTAATCGACTAATAACCAGGTTCCTACTTACTGCTATGTAAACAGAGGCGTGTGGTGTAAAGAAACTTGTCTAACATTTCGCCCTGCCAGGAATCAAATCCAGGACTCTCGCTTGCAAAGCGAGTGCTCTAATTACTGAGCTATAGGAATCCTTGTTTACTCCCTGGGCGTCAAAGCGCATATCATTGCCTATGGAATAGAGGATTTCACTTACCCAGATATAAACATTGATGATTCACAAATGAACGCAGAACTTCCCAAATCCGCTGGAAAATGACCTGTAAGAATTTTCTTTGGGAAGGCACACATCTAAATAATTCTCTGAAATAAGCAGCAGGTGTTCTTTCCTGGGTCCTATTTATGAGCATTTGGTTGAGTCAACAACAAATTACACTTGTATAGTGCCTTTGAGGATCAAAAAAATATTTGAACATCCATCCAAAGTGACTTCATCATTTCACTAATGGGAATTATCTTTCATGTTTAGCTTAAAGAAAAATGTTACCAACCACAATTTTGTGGTATGACATGAGTTACACATCAGTGTCTGTTAAGATAGCTTCCACTTCCCAATTAGAGTCAATGCTTTAGCTAAATCGTATTTGGTAAGGTGTAAATAGTATTAATGTGGGACGAAGTAATAATAAGCCAACAGAATACAAATCTGGAGAGTGAAAGGTCAATTCTGAGATCTATGGAAAAAGTATGAGGTTTCTTCAAAATGGTTTATAATCCTCATGTGGTTTTTCAACTGTGGATATAAAATGCTATTTAATCCATCAATGTCATCAGCAACTATCTTTCATATCTCCTCCTCACAAACCAGTCTGTCTCTGTAGGCTCCCTGCTTTGAGACCCCTTCAACCATGGTGCTATCACCAAGGTTGCCTTCTCTTGTCATTTCTCTCTCAAAGGCAACTAGGCATTACACATGCTTGCCTCAACAAGCCTGTAAATATAAATAAATCATTTATTTCTAACATATTGAATTTCATTGTAATATATTAAGCTTCCCACACAGTTTCACTGAAAAGCTAATGTTAAAATACTTTCAGAACGTAAATAAATGCTGGAAAGTTTAAAACTTTTCTATTTTAAAATCCTTTGACAACCCCAGTGTTTAAAAAAATACTTGAATTGAATTATGTTGGAGGTTTTAGGGCAGTGGCAGGCTTCGTTGTTGGACATTTGAGGACTGTGTAGTGGTCTTCATTTTCCCTTCCAATGTTTTGTTCTCAGTATACCATCCTTCCCTAAAATAATTTTCCTTTTGTGCTAAAGTGAGCAACGGACCTGAAATAACACAGAAATGGAGCATTGTCAAAGATGCTGTTCTTCAGAGGAATATTACACTGAGGTCCAGTCAATGCCTGTTCAAGTGGATGTTAAAGATCCTATTGCAACTATTTGAAAAGAGAAGGCAGTTTCTCTCGATCTTCCTCTTGGCAACAATCCTCCAGATAAAAACAAATTGGTCACTCAGCTCATAGCTTGTTGTGGGACATTGCTGTGTGCAAATTGGAGTTACAGAAATATGTGCGAAGCGCTTTGAGATGCTTTTGCATGATATGGCGTTAACATCAAATACAAATATTATTAGAACTATGAGTGGACTTTGGACATGTGCACACCATCTGGAGTTATTTGCCTGCTGGTCGAATGGAATTCTTCCATTTTGCAGAAAACAATTGGTTTCTGGAGGGAGCTGTAATGACTCCATAATACATGATGACTCCCTGGAGGTTCAGACACACAGCATTTTGAGCAAAATGTTGCTTAACCAATTTTGCAGCTGATGGCTTTTCTGAATGATTGGAAATATGAGGATACTGTTTATGTATCACAGGTATCATCCTGGCTCATTTGGTAGAATCTCACCTCTGAGACAGAGGGTTGTGGATTCAAGACTCACATCAAAACTGTTAATTCATACAGTCTGGGCTGACACTACAAAGCAGTGCTGGGAAAGTGCTGGGTTTTTGGAGGCGTTATCCTTCAGATAAACTGAGCCCCCGTCTGCCTGTTCAGCATACACAGTGGTGGCCAGGGCTAGAAGGATCACTCCAACCCTACAGTGCACTGCAAAGTACTTTGCGATGTTTTGATGATGTATTAAGGCCCTACACCAAATGCAAGATTTTTATCATTATTGATTATTAAGCCAATAATAAAGTGGGCAGGGCAAGCACTGTGCTTTGTGGTTTTAAGCAGAACAGCGAAACCGTGTTGTTTTCATGATGAATCCTGTATAATGTATTCAGTATCAACCACAAAAATAGCCTTTGTTTCATCTTCAATTGAAACAGCCTGGCACCCACAGTCAGCGACAGCAGCAGCTTTCACAAACATAGATGGACTGAATACTTCCCAAATAGCCAACTTATTTAACCAATTTTCTGGATGCAAAGGCTCCATAATAACAATAAAACAAAAATGTCTCAGAGTTTAATAAAAACAACCATTGGTGCATAACACTGACATTTTTATTAGAATTCATTTGTAACAAATGGAACTTGTGTCAGCAAAGAACTGATTTTCTTACAGACTTTTCGCCACCAATGTAACCTAAGTAAGAAAATAAAAAGCACGCCCTTCAATTTGTAAAACATTTATGCTTACTACTAATTAGAGGTAATTGTATGATTCTTTGAACAATTCATTTTACATTTTGTTCTCTTCAATCTATGCATTCGGAATGAGAGCAGTGAACACAATCTTTTTTTTAAAAAACTTTGTTTCGAAATTCAAGACACTCCAAGCTTGAATGGCAAAGTCACATGACAGATGGATATGATAGAATCTGTAGCCTTCGGTTATTTTCCGGAGTTTATCAGGGCACCAACACCATTGCTCATTGTAGCAAACTCTCCACTCTTTCGCTTGAAAAATTCATTCGGTGTTATTTACATACATATCTAGAGTGAACTTACAAGTAATTCTTATACAAGGGATCAAGTGACACGTAATGTTGGGTGTAGAATCACTAGGGCCGTGCATAGTACAAAGTTTTTTTCAGAAAAGTGCACAGCTCCCTGGAGGACTTCAGGTTTTGCAAGAATGAATGGATAATTAGTAACAGAAAAGCAACAATTAGTGTGAAGAAATAATCTGTGTTAAGATTTGCTAAATGAAAATATACTCGCTTAGTATACATTTGAACTATTTAAATGGAACTAATTTTTAAAAAATTATATATATGTGTATTACCTACATATCTTAAAGGGTAAATAATTGTAGCACCTTGATGGCTTTAAGGAGAGGGGCCAAAAAAGTTCATCGCTAGATACAGAATAGGAGGTTCTGTTTTTAATAAGACATTTATACCAGTCAATTGGGGAAAGAGAGCGAGCGCAAACAGGAACACACATCAATGAGAAGCCAGATCAGAAAATCAGCATTCTTAACATCTTAAACCTTTCCATTGCAAAGTCTCCAGGCAATTTAAATATGTCAACAGTTTCTCTTCAGGGACAAAATACTTTGGAAACAAGAATTTGTCCATAACAATCTCTCACTTAGCACGTTCTTATGGTGCAGCGTAGCTTTATAAGCACAGAATGGATTGCATTTTTTTCACAAAAAACAAAGGACCACCAGGATAAATAAATGCAACACATGTCACTTGGCTGTGCCAGGAAAGGGCAGTAATTCAGTGTTTGGCCTTTGCTGAGTGCTGGTATGTGTTCTTCACACGTTTGATGGAAAAAATGAGCAAACTGTGAATAGGTCAATACATGTAAATGCATTACATATGCACCTGAATGATTGAAGCTCCATCCAGGTCTATCCTGAGATAGTGTTCTCGACAGCGTGCTTGTTTTTTTTACACAATACAAGAGTATCTTTGCATGCTTTTAAATACAGCTTTTGACCTTGAAGGTCAAGAAAGCAATTTTGTTTTAAAAATAGTAATTTAAAAAATAAACGATATGGAGTTAGTTGCCACAGTCCTTGGGATACTGCAGTGAACCCCCCCCCCCCTAAAAAAAATCTCTATTTCCTTATACAATTTCTAATACTGTAATTGAACAAAATCTGCAAGGCTGATGGCGTACACAAATGGGACAATGTAAGAAAGGGAAGACATGGTAAGAGGGATATCAGCATGATATAAAGGGTCAGTACTTCTCAGAACTAGCACAAAACTCTGACAGTGACTGCATTATCAAGAGACACCCACACAAAGATGATTATGTCAGATGATTGCCTTATTAAACGCCAGGCCTGGCTTTACCTGTTATCTGACCCATGATGTGATTATCGTGTCTTTACTTGTTTCAGTCTCATAACTGAGCTCTGGCATTTAACCATGTCATGTCGTCAAACAATGTGCATGTTGAGCTTCCATACACACACTCATACACATAAAATCCCTTCCTGTCAGATACACAAGTCAGTGAAGACAAACTCACAAAAGTATACAGAAATGAATCTAATGGCTCTCCAACCTTGCACGTAAAGTCATTTTTCGCTACAATTTTCATTGGGACTTTAAGAAACTAAAGACAACTCTTGTTTACTCCATGACGCAGGCATGATCATCTGACACTGACATTGGTATTCTACGGTTGCTGTAACGTACAGAGGCAGAAAAAAAATTTCCACGCTAAGGTTTAAAACGTGTTTTTTTTATAATGCAATTTATTGTGTACATGTGCAAAGATACGTTTCAGTATATCATAACGACCTTATTAAACATGGATTACTGAGTTCATTGATGTGCATTCCAGTAGACACTAACGTCTCACCATCTCATCACGGAAACCTAGACAACTAATTATTATTCAGATGGAGGTTGCTAGTGACATATTTGGCAAGCTATTCAACCACATCTTAAATCCTTGACACGGAAGATCTCAGGAATTCAGTAGCAGCAGTTTTATACTTTGCGCCTCCTTGTTGATTCCATAAAGGCCCTTTTTTTCTTTCTTTTAAAAAGTTTTTTATCCATTAACTGACTGCTATGGGTTAATTTCCATTTAAATGAGAGAGTGAGAGAGAGAGAAACAAAACCTCAGACTATTATGTGGTAGATAAATAAAAGGGACTGCACAAAAAAAAATGTGCCTTAAAAAAATCGAAAATTATCTCCATTTCTACAGCCAGATACATACATCATTTCGACAGCTTAAAAAAAGCTACAGTTTTTGAAAAAAAAAGAAAACAAAATGAAATTATGAACAGATAAGCAACTTTTTTTTAAATTCACTTCATCGAATGATAAACTTTTGTTAAAAAAGGGCAAAAAGTTTACACAGTTAAAAATGAAGCACAGGTCAGCAGTATATTACAGTACTAAAAAACTAAATCAGTAATTTGAACATCCCCGCCCTCCCTTGATAATTAGTATGAGCGAATGGTGGAAAGGGGTGATGTTGAAGCAAACATATCCAAATAGTTTTATAAGTCAGGAACTGGCCTTTTATAACAGCTTCTTTCCTTTCCAGGTACAGTACTCTCAAGATTCAGCTTTGCAATCCCACCTTCCAGAGTTCTCGGAAAATCCTCTGCACAATTAATGTTTTTACAATGTACGTTTGCTTCACTTCAGTCAGTCATCAAAGTTGAATCCATGAGTTACCCGAAAAAATCCTTCCGGTCCTTTATCGGAAAGGAGTCTTGCCTCCATTTTCAGATTCGGTTATTAAACTGCCAATTCTTGGTCCACCTGGAATAGTTTTTTTTTAATTTCCCCTCGTCCCTCCCCCCCAAATTTATCTTTAGCTAGGAGTAAGTTGTACTTCTCAAGCACACTGTATGGCTCAGAAGAGGCTCTCTGGATCTTAAATGGCCTGTTATAAATCCAAGGTGAATCAGGTTTTACGTTGCATAGTGATCGAAGCTTCCGAGGTACTCCAGTGCAGCCCGATAGCAGAACTGATACTGATCCTGGGGAAAGAAACAAGAAGAAATAATTCAGAATGGAAATGAAAAGCTCTGAAGGCAGAAAACGGAGGCAGCAGGAATGCAGGTTGTGATGGTAAAGTGAGAGCGATGTGGTTCAAAGAAGTCAGTTTCTCTGGAGCGATGGGCCATTCTGTGCTAATAATATCCCCAGAATATAATTTGCAGGTACTGCACTCTGAGGTTAAGCATTTCTGCAAACATTAGCTCTTAATGTTAAACTACAGTTGGCTCTATATCTCATTCTTGTGCAACCTGGCCTCATGAATGAATACATTTGAAATTGGAAATTTCTTTTTAATGTTTCCATTTCAGACCAGGTCCAGCTAGGTCTGAATTCTAGATACCCGGAGTCTGGCAAGCTGGGAGTTTACTGTATATTTGAAAGCAAGTTTGGGCTTTGGCTTTAGCATTGTTACATTGGGATCAAGTGCTGAAATTGGCAACGAGGATATCAGAATCCTGAATAAATGTGAAACTAATTTTGCCAGGAAAAACAATGCTTGGATGGGACATTCTCTTTAATAAGAGTGAATTGCAATGGGAGATAGCAACAGTACAATCAAAGCAGTTTTGTGTGGTTTACACAAGTTTTACCATATATTTAACATGTAACAGAATAAGATCAATATCCATCATCATTTATGAATTTGGACATAGCACCATCATATTTAACCGTCGTTTCAAGGCAACAAAAAGGCAGCCACACAGTAACAGTAATATGTTGACATAAATTGAAACCTTAGTGTTAGGAGGAATATGGTTTAAAAAAACATTTTGCCATTTATAATAAATAATAATCCTTGCATTTTGGACAGTGCTTTACATGTTGGAAGGACGTCTCAAAGCGTTTCACAGAATTTACTATGAAATGGAGTGACTGTGTGTATATGTAGGCAAATGTGGGAGCACAAGTGTACACAGCAATGTCCCACAAATAGCCATGAAATGAATGAATAAAACTTTTTATAGTTTATTCACAAAATAGAGCTTTGTGTTTCATGGTCTAAACTTGCCTCTAATTTGATTGGTTTTCAACATTGCCCTTGCATCTCTTGTTTACTGCTTGGTATGTTTTTCTGACACTGATGCAGACAGCGATGATGTTTGGTCGGTAAAGGATGAAAAACTCAGCACTGTGTTTGGTGTAAACACGCACTTTGTTGCCAAGCCTTGATTAAAAATAGCTTCAGCTTTTTGAAGATAATGAAAAAAGACAAACTCTGGCAGCCTGTGACTGGAGCTGTCATCATTGACATTGCAGATGGAAACTGGGGATTGTTTCTGGCCGTTGAAGTCAACGTACACTCATTTTAGTTTCAGAACCATCTACATCTAGTACTACACTTCATAACAACAGCTGTGCAGCCCAACTGCACTAACAACAAAAGAACAACACTACATTTTTCAGGCAGAAACACAACAACCTAAATTCAGCTGAGGTGATATTATACAACTCATGCAATACAGAAGTTGATGATTAAATAAACTATACTTCTATATTCTTAAATGGACTGCACTGTGTTTGCTGACACAATATGTTGGAAAGTCTACTGCATGATAAGACAGAAGATCGTGCATCTAATTCTCCACAATGGATTACTTTGTGTATCAGTAGGATAACTGTGTAGAGTTTAAAAGAGTTTGGGGAGGACAAGGTTGCAGGGCTCTGAGGAGAGCGCGGCGGAGTGGGATTGAATTGGATAGCTCTTTTCAAAGAGCCAGCACAGACACAATGGGCCGAATAGCCTCCTTCCGTGCTGTGTAATTCTATGATTCTATGAAAAGAGGCCTAGTATAAGCGGGAACGACAGCTATAATAGTTGTTAAAAGAAACAGAGGAGGTGAGGAGAAATTTTTTCACACAATGAGTTGTTCGAATCTGGAATGCATTGCCTGAAAGGGTGGTGGAAGCCAATTCGATAACAACTTTAGGAGAGTAGATAATTACTTGTGAGGACAAGTTTGCAGGGCTATGGGGAGAGAGCGGGGTTGATTGGGTAGCTCTTTTCAGAGCCAACACAGACACGATGAGCTGAATGGCCTCCTTCTGTGCTGTATAATTCTATGATCAATTAATAGGCCTTACCAGAGGTCAGGAAAAAAATGTAGAGGAGAGGAACACTGAGTCAGGAAAGCTCAACCTCTTGTGATGGTGAACGAGATGAAGAGGGAACTGTACTCCCAAAAATGCTGGTTTTCTTTTGTACCATGATCCCCAGATAGTGAGCAGTTGCGAAATAAAGAGGCTGTCCTTGAGATATAATTTTGGAGGAAATCCTTCAGGCAAATATTTGGACAGCTTGCCAACCATTTTGGCATTTGGCAGCATGCATTTTAAGTGAAGCACTAACCACAAATCGGGCGAGATTCCCCCACTCTCTGAAACTCCATCCCAGATGGAGTTCCCTGCTATTTGCTCCCTCCCTCACCTTTTTCATGGTCTATTTCAAGACCTATCTCTTTGACCACGCTTTTGGACATCTTTCCTCTTCCGCTCCCTTCCACCCCCGGGCTCCTATCCTCAGTTTCGGTGCCAGGCCACAAATATTAAGTGCTTTGAGTCATCCTCCCAATGTGAAAAGCATTATATAAATGTAAATTTGTATTGTATCCCACCATTGGCGGGAGAGCCTTCAGCCACTCCGCCCCCAACTTCTGGAATTCCATCGTCCAGTCACTTTGCCTCGCCCCCTCCTTAGCCTCCTTCACGTCCCACCTCAAGACCCTCCTCTTCGATCATGCCATCAGCCACCCCCTTCCCCTCCCCTCCCCCCCAACCCCAGCTCGGGTCTGAAATGCCATACTCTGTCCAGCGCCTTGGGACGTCCTCCCGACGTGAAAGGCGCTATATGAATGTAATCTTGTTGTTGTTGTATTGTGAGATTGTTAGTGCGGTTGTGACAATACCGGCAGTTATTTGCTGTGCATTGCACATTTCTAACTCAACCTCTCTTGCCGTGGTGAATAATTACATTTTTTTCTGCTTCTGAAAAGTTGAATTTCAGGCAGGCCCCACATGGAAAGTAAATGGAGATCACTTGCTATGGCAACATACTACAAAATCCCCTCTACAGTGCTGCACATAGGCTATTTTGTGGAACACAATTGGGAATGTGTGAGCCTTGGGAAATTTGTTGTGCATTAAACGCCACAGAACATCAGGAATAGGTTTATGTAGACTTTATTTTTAGCAGGCCCAGAGATTTTGTTCATCGCGATTGGTGAAATCATGAGCACATCACCACTAGGCAGCTCAGGGCACAACCGTACATTGCTACTACTGTCACAGATTGGAAGCATTCTCATCAGGAGATTAAAATAAGGACGATTTATAGAGTGCACTTCATGTGGGGTAGCATTTTGAAGGTGGACGGATCAAGGCAACGCAAGGACCAGATTACCAGGTAATGTACGGACATTTCCTCCCCCCACTGTACATACAGATAATAATCCTTGAGTTTGATATATAGACTTAAGAGATCTCAAAGCACTTCACAGGTAATTGCTGTAGTGACTGTGTATTCGTAGATTGCATACAGCAATGTCCCACAAACAGCCATGAAGTGAACAACCAATTTTATCCAGGGGATTGTTGCCCTAGACAAGTGGAGGGAACTGCCTTTTTTTCTAATATTGTCATGGGGTCTTTAATGTCCACCTGAACAGGCAGATGGGACCTCCGTTTAACGTGTGATGTAAAGATCAGAAAAGGTACTCGGTGCTAAGCTGCTGTGAATCAGACAGCCACAGCTCCAGAAGGAGAGAAATTCTTTTGGTTTCTTCAAATCATATGAACTAAAAGCTTTTATTTAATTCTACATTAGACACAGTGACAATTCAGATTGGAGCTGTCATTGTTTCCATCAGAGCACTGCATGCTGCCAGGGTAACCACAAGAAAAACAGTGGGCTGAGGATATAAGGGTGTCAATCGTCAAGCTTGATATTTAACACTGGTGATGGTTCAGGTGAAGTGTGTGCATGGTCAGTTGAAGATCATTGACCAGCCGTGATTGTTCCTCTGGAACATAGTGCCAGACTACGGCACTACCTCACCCCTCACGCTGCTGAAACTCTGGTCCACGCCTTTATCACCTCAAGGCTGGACTATGGGAACTCTCTCCTCATCGGCCTTCCCGGCACCTCCCTCCACAAGCTGCAGGTCATTCAGAACTCTGCAGCTCGTGTACTGTCCCGCACCAGGCTTCGGGACCACATCACTCCCACCCTCGCTCGCCTCCACTGGATCCCCCAGAGGATCAGATTCAAGATCCTCATCCTCACCTACAAGGCCATTCATGGCCTTGTGCCCTCCTACCTCTCCGACCTACTATCCCCCTATCTACCTGCCCATACCCTCCGTTCCTCTGGCTCCGGTCTGCTCCACATCCCCCGCCCCAACCGCCCTACCATCGGTGGCCAGGCCTTCAGCCTCTCAGCCCCTAGGCTCTGGAACTCTATCCCCCAGTGCCTTCACCGCCTCCTCCCTTTCCTCCTTCAAGGCCGGTCTCAAGACCGTGCCATCAGCTCCCCTCTCAACTCTCTACCCCTCCCTTCCCTCCCCTCACCCTGACCATTTCCCCCCTGCTCGGGTCCTGACCCAACTGTCCAGCGCTTTGGGACGTCCTCCCGACTTGAAAGGCGCTCTATAAATGGAATCTTGTTGTTACCCCACTAACCTAACCCAAACTACTTTGCTGCAATTGTTGGGGAAGAAGCTGCCTCCCAGTCCCAAAAGCCATTGGAGCTTCTCGAGACAAGATTTGAGTACTGATTTATAGTTTTGCCTTTGCACAACCACAATAAAAATCATAGTTAAAACTTGTATCCTGTGAATTGCCACTCAAATATTTTGACCCACTTTTGGTAACTCGAATTGCAACCTCTGGGGTGGCTATGGCCACAATCACTCTGATAATTATCATATCACATTTTGAAATTATCATTTTGAATTATCATATCACATTCCCCCTTAAAGTTGCAGCGCTCAGAGAGAGATTTTGTCACTCACTGAATGAACGGTGGTAGGTTGGCTAGAACCATTCTCTTTTGACTTCTTCTGTGCCCTCGGGCAGTGCCACATTGTTGGAGGTACTGTCCTTCAGAAAAGACGTTAAACCAAACTGTCTGCCTGGATTTTAAAGATCTCATAACACTTTGAAAAGGGAGTTTCTCCCAGCGTCTTGGCCAATACTACCCCAGATAAATTTGGTCATTCTCTTTATAGTTGTTTATGAGGCACTGCTGTGTGCAAATTAGTTATTGTGTTTGTTCACAAATACAAAGTCACTACATCTGATGGCAATCCCTGTGAATCGCTATGAGACATTTCAATGTTAAAGACACTTTTGCAAATGTGAAGATTATTATTAATTAGTTTCGTGTGTTTTATTTCAAGATCCCGAGGGTAGCGCACACTCTCCAACCTGCCCTCACTGGACAGCCAACCACACAATCCTGGATGGAGTCATTGGACAACAATCAACTGGCTGATTTGTTCCCCTCCTTAGCTCAGGGGGCCAAGGCCAATTGCAGTACCTCTATGATCCCATTAGTCGCGATTAGCTAACTCAGAACAGACTGAGGATTGAACCCGTCGCCTCAGCTACTCACTGAATAAACCCACTGAACCACAGCAGAAGTCTAATGTTCTTTTTATATCAATTAAAAGGGAGAGGCTGCACTTCACCTTGTAAATGGTTTAGATGATCCTGCATTTGAGTCTTTTCAAATAAACCCACTAAACAGTTTAGAGTAGGTCACCTCAGGTTCCCACTCTGTCACTCATCTCCAGTGAAGAGACTGATCATTGGATTATTATTCTTCATAACGCTCCTGCATTATATGCAGTTTCACACTACATAGGCAGCTCATTCCTTGGTTGCGATTTGTGGCTTCTTTGTTTTCTTCTCCTCTCTTTAGTAACTCAGTTCGCCCATAAAATACACACAATCACATCACTTTAAAGTATAATCCTGTGAAGCCCGTTGAGATGTCTCCACAATGTGATAAGGCGCTATATCAAATGTAAGGACACAACAAAAAAACACATTCCTCAAAACTATGTGCGGGCAGGGAGAGGATTCTTTGCCAATGTGACCTCCAGTGGGTTCTTTGGGAAATCAAATCATCTGGCATCGATTAACCTGATAGTTCAGCTGCCTTGACAAAGTGCTGAAGGGACCCAACTCCCAACACTTGCTGTGGCAAAGGCTCGTCTCCTACTGCTGTGTATCCCACTCCCACATCCTTCTATTTCCAAAACAATGCTCGGCTTAGAAAAGTCAAATGCACCTGAGGATGGTGGGGAAGTGTGTGTGTGTGTGTGTGGGTGGAGGGGGGGAGGTCAGAAGAAAGAATCTTTTGCCCCGATTCAGCAATGCTTTGCACAGCATTGTGATCAGCCAAGCTGGGGCTCTTATTTTACAAGGACGAGGACTGTTTAAATAGTATCTCTTTTCCTCTCCTGCACACGGTAGTGTTAATTCAGGTCAATATTTCCTTACCTCTGTCTGCACCATCGCTGGCCGTTGTGTTCGTAGCATTTTGACAGTCTGGAAGATATCCACGACACCCTCGTACCTCATTCTTTCCAACACAATACTCAGTGTTATGAAAACACCAGTCCTCCCCACGCCCGCACTGGAGAGAAACAAAGGAACATTAATTAAACGACAATCAAGTGGCTGAGAGTCTGGGCTGACAGTGGCTTCCCACACACTAAGCATTTATTAGGTACAAAAATAGCCAATAATTCTGAGTGCACTCTTCTAAGTCCTATTACCACAGTAAACACTGAGGGTTTTGTAAACTCTATTGTGAGGAAAGACCCAGGGAACTATCTTGGGTATTTAGCTATTAAAAACTGTTGCAAACTGATCTGGCAATGTTCACTTTTAATTGCTATAATCTGAATGGCTCTATTCAAAACTCTTCCCCCAGCACTGCAAGGTTTCTGGTACACATTCATCGATGGCTTTTGAAGGCTTCAATGTTGCTAGGAGATTCACGAGAGGAATCACACAGTAAATGCACGTGCATTTGTGGCTTGTTGATTACATCACCCACAAAATATACAATCAATTCATTTTACAATACAGCGCTTTGAAGCGCTGAGGCAACCCAACGGCGTGATAAGGTCCTACATCAAAAACACAACAAATTACATTTCTATAGAGCCTTTCACGTTGGAAGGACATCCCGTGGCACTGTAATAATGTGTGCAACGAAGGTGGGTTTTCGAATGTAAGGATTATTATTATTACATGAACACCAGAAATTCTAGAAAGCTTCCTCCTTTCTTTGGTCATGTGTGTGTGCATTTTTTTCCCTCTCAAGGACATCATTTCTGGGAGAAAAATAATTTGGCAGAAAATAGGTTTTCCTGCCATTCAGACCTTAATCCGACTAAGTACATTATAAGGCATGCCTGATTATGAAAATTGAATGAAATCACAATTTAATTCAATTTTAATGTTGCAAACAGAATGTTTGATACCCATTTCACGCAGCTTTTTTTTTGCTGTGTGTGCTAGAAAGGGACAGAGCATTTAAAATTCATGCTAAGACTTAGAATGAAAAGTCTGGTACTATTTTGGTACAGGGTGAGTGCTCCTAGCTGGAGAAACAATAAGGAAACTTGCCAGACAGTGCTCTGAATGGGAAGCTATGTGGTTTTAATTAGTTAAATTCCAGCAGTAACCCCACACATACCTTGGGCTCTCCAAGCCTTGGCTCTCACCAATCTGCACTTAATACTCTCCACAATTAAGTAATCAGGGTGCGTCCCTCCAGAGAGAGAGTTCCCATTCCATTCCAGATACTGAAATTTCCATGTGTAGTGGCATACATATAAGGAACACTCAGTCTAGTTCGGATACTCTTACTTTTTGAATGTTTTTTTTATCCGTGTCGCACACCCGGCCGACTGACCAAAATAAAGTGTATCACTGACTTTGCACAGCATAGTTGTAATTTGTGTCAACCTGAAGAAATTCTAGAAAGCTTCCTCCTTTCTTCGGTCGTTCAACATTAGAACTGAACAATGAAGAGACCACTCACCTACAGTGAACGCTGATAGGTCCGTCCTGACCAAACTGCTCTTTTGTCTTATGCACTTGGCCTATGAAGTCGATAAATCCTTCCCCAGACTTTGGCACTCCTTGCTCTGGCCAGTCAGTAAACTGGAACTGCCTTACTGTACGCGACTGGCCATCCTGTTACACCCCATTGAAAGAAGAGACATGTTAACGGACTGATCAACCAAGGGCGTCTTATTACATTCTCCGCAAGAAGCAGTGCAGACCAAGAGAAATGCTGCCGAAGTAATGTAACGGCCAGAACAGCTAGTGTGGTTCATTTACTTTATGTCTTTCAAGACCAATTAAGAGGGAAACCTTTCTTGAAGATGGAGCTGTTGACTTGATGATTTGAAATAATGTGCCAATGTCAATGGAGCGGGGTAAAGCTAAAAGTGCATCTAAATTTGTGTCAAATTTCACTCAACTGTACGGTGTGCAACTGTTATTTCTCTTTTGCTTAACTGACAATATTTTGTCAGCTTCACTTATGTTTGAAGAGATGTTTTGAAACTCAGCATTTAATGCCAGCAACTCTCCTCTAAATGCTACAGAAATCTTGGTGCATCTTATAAAGGTGCATACATTTTTAAATGGTATTAAAAAAGTAAACCCAGAGCAATACTTTAGGATGAACCAAGACAGTAAGACAAGAGGACCGAGGTTTACAGTGATAAAGGATAATTTCAGGACAGATCCCAGGAAATTTTTCTTTACCCATAGGGTAATTATTAACTGAAACAGGTTGCCAGGAAGAGTGGTTGAGGCCGAGACTCTTAAAAAAAAGCTTGATGCTGTGATGGGAGGTTGGTAAGGTGGGTGTTCTGGAGGGATCAGATCAAATGGGCACCCAAACCAATCTTGTGAAGTCTCCATCCTGACAGTGGAGTAGACCAGCCCGGTCTCAGCCTCAGTGGAAGTGCTTTGGTCATGTTAGAGTGGCACTCAATGCTTAAGAGATAAGCGATTAACAAAATCATGTAGCTAGAAATATCTAGAGGGTGACAATATGCTTTAACAACCCAGTCTGCTGGGATGTTGCTTTGCTAATGCTAAGTCAGTAGGTGAAGACAAAATTACTCTGAGTTCCTAAAATCTGATCTGAGAGACAAGGCGGAGAATGATCAATGTTAGAAACGGTCAACTGGCCTTGGAGCGGCCCCTCTAACGATGGTCAGTCAGATCCTGACTGAGATACACACACTGTCAGTGTTCCAGAGTACAGTTGTAGTAGCTATCTACAAGAAGGTGACCCTTGTGAGACTGAGGTACACCAAGGAACCTCACAGATTACAGAGACTCTTAAGGTGGTGCTTTGGGTAGTCAGGAGCATATATGGACTGCACTGGCGGGATTGCATTGATTTGATGTGGAAGAAAAGGGCTGGATTCCGTTCTCTTTGTGGTAAAGGAGAAAAGAGATGACTTACTCTGGCATCTGTGACCTTGAACTCTCTGAGAATGTACTGAGGCATATTGTATTCTGCCATGGGGTCCACTACAAAATACTGATACCGAGCCGATCGCTCCGCGGGCCAGTACTGGTGACACTTTTCCTGTAAAAAGATAAAGAACAACTCGTAAAATCCAACGACTTTCCATGGTGCTGTGAGTTTGGGTAAGTCTCAACTCAGTTCCTAATGAATGGAGATTCACAGCACCAACCTGATGGCAATTTGTCACTCCAATGGCAGTCTAAATCAGAGGGGTCACAGGGCTTTTTGCATGCTCTGCTCTGCGAAAACTGAAACAATCCCCTGCCGTTCTCGCACCAACACGTGAATTATCCAAGCAGCTCTCTCAGGTCACAACCCCTGAAGATGTCTCTCTCGACAATCACACTTACACACTTGACTGGAAGTCACACGGGCAGAGTCCAGTTAATTGAGTCTTTGTGGGCTTTCCACTCAGGTTTTTTGCTAGGATTGGGGAGAACATAAATACTTGGAATTTCTAGACAGTCGTCATGGAAACAAGTGACTAAAGCCATTAGGTCAGGCCTCAACATGGCACAACGTAAATACGCTGTATAACACAGGAAACTCCTTGCACCTGGGTTTAAATCCAGCCTCAGTGGCTTTTAACAGCAGAGTCCTACATAAGTATGAGTTTGTTGGTGGGGTTAACCCATATCTAAGCTCACACAGAACTGTCCTTAGTAAGATGAAAAATGTGATTTTTTTAACAGATTCAATGTTTTCTCATGGAATGCGTTATTGATTCTGTTAAGAAAATAACAACTTTTTCTAGCTCTAGAATGTCCGTGAGTGTGAAAACTCCCCTCCACACCGCAATGATTGGGTCTGAAGTCACTTCTCAGCACTTCATTGGCATCTGTGTGCCACCAGTGGCTGCTTGTGATTCTCTCGTTCACAGGAAACAATCTAACAACCATAAAATTACATTTGTATGGCGCCTTTCACATCGTAAACATCCCAAGGCGCTGGACAATCAGTGTTTCGGACCCGAGCTGGGTTCGGGATCGGGGAATTTGGAGGGCAGGGAGGGAATGAGGATGACCGAAGGCATGGTCGAAGAGGAGGGTCTTGAGTTAGATCTTGAAAGAGACAAAGGAGGATGCAAGGGATTTTGGGATGGAGTTCCAGAGGGTGGGGGCAGAGAGGCTGAAGGCCCTCCCACCAATGATGAGGTGGGCGAGGCGGGGGATGTGAAGCAGGCCAGAGCCCACTGAGCAATTAAATGTTGTTAGTTGGGGGCTGAGAGCATATTATTGGGGCACAGTGTAAAAATTCAATTAGCACCTTTCAGGTTGGGAGAACAGCTCAAAGCGCTTGACACTGCTGGCTGGTCACCCGAGCTGAGGGTGGGAGCAGGAGGGGGTAGGGAGAGGAAAGGTGACCAAAAACGCATTCAAAGAGCTAGGTACTGAGACGGGATTTGAATGAGGGGAGGGGAGAGAGAAAATCTGAGACACTCCAGGATGCAGTTCCAGTAAATGGGGGCAGTATGCTCAAAGCCCTTTCTCATGTCTTGCCCCCTGATGGTGGGATGAATTGGGGGAGAACATGAAGCAGGCCAGTATTCACTGAGCGGAGGGATTGGCTGGGTTGGCACGGTTGATGGAGGTTCCAGAAATAGGCTGAGGCATAGTGTGTGAGGTGGTGGGGAGGCGGGCGGTGAGACGCTAGAGGGAAATTCACTCTACACCCAGCCTTGATGCTGAGAACACTAAATTCTGACCACAAAAATAATCATTAAGCATTAAAAAATCACACACATTCCTCTAGAAGGATGATTCAAGGGAATGTGATTGGCATTTGCAGGAATTCATGTAGAAAGTTACTTACTCTGCCCATTTCTCGAAGCTTGGTAAGCATGACCACAATTGTAGAGTTGTGTTCCCACAGCATTCGCCAGAAATCTTCTGTAGTCTCTGCTAAGGGTCCTTGCGTGGCTATGTAGGCTTTCTGTTGTCTACAAGTTTTTAAAAAAAGCAATCATGCTATGTAAATCATGTTTTTTCCCCTCTATCTGAATCACATCCATGATGAGCTCAGGCAATATGACAGCTGCAACTTTCCTACTCTTTACTCCCTTTCACAGCTCGCTTATTTAGAAATGAAATACAGCCCCGTGAGGACTGAGTTGATACAGTGTGGCTCTAAGCCATGTTCACCAGGACAGTCACTCAGCACAGAGTAGGCACCTGGGACTGTCTGCTTTCACGTCGGGAGGACGTTCCAAGGCGCAGTCAGGGATTTGGAATCGAGCAGGCGGTTGGGTTCAGAAGGGGCAGAGGGCAAGAGGGTAGAGGTAACCCAAAGGCATTGTTGAAGACTTAAGCGCTCTGTGTGAAAGGCGTTATATAAATGCAAGATGTTGTTGTTGAAGAGGAGGGTCTTGAGATGTGCCTTGAAGAAGGCAATGGAGGAAGCACGACAAAGAGACTGTGGGATGGAGTTCCAAAGGGTAGGGGCAAAGAGGCTGAAGGCCTGACTGCCAATGGTGAGTTGGGTTGGGAGCGGGACGTTGAGCAGGCTGGAGCCTGCTGAGCGGAGGGAGCGGGCAGGTCGATATGTAGTTAGCAGGTCACAGAGATAGGAAACAGCAAGGCCATGGAGGGCCTTGAAGGCGAGAATGAGGATCTTGAATTCTATCCTGTGGGGATGGGGAGCCAGTGGAGCCGGGCTAGGGTGGGGGTGATGGGGTCACAGAGCCTGGTGCGGGGGATAATAAGCAGCAAAGTTCTGGATGATCTGCAGGCGAGAGTGGTACCAACTGAGCCAGGCTCACACCAACATGTAGAGCAATCAATTTGGCCAGGTACTGGGGGAAGCACATGGCAATATCAGGTAGTGTCCTCAGGAGAGGGAAGAAAAATTGCCCAAGTAAAGAAAAATAAATCCTAGCAATTCCATGTGCAAGTTTCAGATAAATGGATACAGTCAGGCACAGAATAGGTTTTGTGCAGTGCGCTGCAAAATGCTAGCAAGAAACCTCTTGGTTTGTTAGTCATTAATATTCAATTAGGGGCTGTAATTATATCTTGTAGCATCTCTGCAAGTCGACAAACCTATCTTTATTGTGCACAATATGCTGGCAGACAGATTAATGAAATAAGTACTGTTTTTATTATGTTTGTTTCTGTGACTGTGCTAAAAACCTTGCAGCATGCTGTTTATAGGCATAAGGTAAAAATTAAACTTTTTACAGGCGAGACAAGATTACCTCCATTAGAACGTTACGATGATTATATTCATGGCTTACAACTGGGAACAAACATCATTAACAGTTTTCTTTTCAATTTATTTGGGGAAAAAAGTTGCAAGCAGTTTACATCATTAGTCAGAAGGACCTTACTATTAACTCATAGTCGTCCTGCAGATGTGGTCTGGTGAGTTTACTTGTGAAATAACTACTGTCTATGGGGACTAAAATGGAGCAAAGCAGATTTCAAACTTTTTTTTAATAAGGCCTCAGAGTGGTAAAAGGAATTCAACAACAACTACTTGCATTTATATACCCTCATGGAGGGTAGCATCCCAGAGCGCTTGACAGATAGATTTTCTCCCTCTGAAAGCACGGCCGCCAATGGTGGAACGAAGGGAACAGATTGGTAACTGGGGAGAATCTCATTGAGGGATTCTGAAACCTCTGTACAATGATAGCCCTTCCTTCTGGTTTCTAGACCTGGAAGCGTGTCACGCAAACCAGAAGCGTTTCCGCTCCAAAAGTAGGTCGCGTCTCACTGCAGTGTCCGTGAGTCTTTTGATTTCCTGGAGGAATCCCCATTTGTGTCATTATTAAGTAAGAAATCCGTTTGATACTGTCACATTATAAACTCCCCTTTCCATATATTATAAAGAAAATAATATGTATCCAGGAATGATTCCAGGACAGTATTGTTACTGAGGGATCAGATGGTTCATATATAAAAGAATGGTGTTCAGGAGCGGTAACTGGAGAGAATCTCATTCAGGGATTCTGATAACTCTATAAAATGATAGCTCCAGTGATTTAGTGGATAGAGCTGCAGTTTATGGACCTGAAGCTCACTGGTTCAAATCTCTGTCTGTATTGTTTGCTGGTCTCAGCCTGGTTTGGAAGGGAAAGTTAAATTGTCTCCCGCTCTCCCTGGGATAAGTAGGGTAAACCAAGGTTCCTGCTTCTGGTTCCTCAACAGCACCTTATACGTGTTGTGTGTCTTTGGCAGTCGGGTGAGAGTCAGACAAAACAACAATAACAACTTGTATATAGCACCCTTCACACAGGGTAGCATTTCAGAGCACCTGAACAGACACGGCTGTGACATCCACCGTTTGTAGCTTTGACTGAGAATAAGGCTAAATCTACAAAAGTGTTTAGGAACAATTGGACTCAAAATGAACAGAGCAAAATTGTGATATTTCCTAACAGACTCGATGTATTATCATCTTTGTACCTATTATCTTATCTATCATTAATAGAGCATGGTAATTTACAATGTATTAAATAATAATAATAATCCTTGCATTTGATATAGTGCTTTTCATGTCTTCTCGATGTCTCAAAGCGCTTCACAGAATATCCTGTAAAGTGAATTGACTGTATATTTGTGGGTGAAACACAGCAGCCAATTGCCCACAGCAGTGTCCCACAAACAGTCGTGGATTGAACATGACCAATTTATTATTTTTTTGTTTTGGAGGGATTATTATTAGGCTCTGTGTGGAGTAAGGAAACTTGCCCAAGGTTTCGCGCTGCCTGGAATTGAACCCAGGTGTCTCGCTTGCAAGGCGAGTGCTCTAACCACTGAGCTACAGGACTCCACTATTACTAAACACTTGCCATGAGTGTTAACCTGTGGGCTTTTGAACAATACCCACTAAAGCCAGTCAGAAATCTTTCAACACCATCATTTTTGTTGTGCAATGCGGTCACTGCGTGTGTCACTGAATGTGTTTCACTACCACTTCACAGGATGCCTTCTTATCTACTGAGTAAAGCAATGCAGACTTACTGTGCGATAACTGACAGATTCATACCAGGAAAATAGTAGCCGCTGCACAATTGGACTGATTTACCTCTGTTCTCATCCTTTTTATATACCAACAGAGCGCGCCTCACTATGGGTGAAACCCAACAAACACAGACCGCAGGAGTGTTCCCCTTCATACCATTTTAGTCTCACTTACCTATATCCGTCAATAAAACTGGCATTAATATAGTCTGAGCCCTCCACTCCTCTGATTGGCTGTAGACATACTCTTGTGGATTCATATGGCATAATATTAACAAGGCGATTCTTGAATTTATTACATGGGAGATTGGCACTAATGAATCTTGATGTGTGAGCTTTAGTGTTGGCTAGATGCTGTGGAGGAAAAACAAAGAGTGTTTCAGTTACACTAGATAATGGTGCTATAAGAAAGTCATACACACACCAGCTAATAACATCAGCTCCTGGGCCAGAGTTCAACAATAGTATATTTAACATCAGTAATGGACACACCAATCAATCAAAAAGTGGATTGTTATGCAATTTATTGGCTAGATTCTGGCACTCTTAGGTACTTTTTCCTTTATGTACATATCTTTATATTTGACATACATGTCTTGGACTGAGAGAGCTAGCATGTTTCTTACGATTTCAAGTTAAATCAATGTGAAAGCTTTTTCCATTTGGGAAAATCAAGGCAGAAGCTAGGAAGTGACTGCCTTTTATTTTGGCAACGTGCCTTCATTTTGCTTCCCATTCACATAGCACTTGTTTGCGGTTTTAAATTTGAAGTGACAGACAGAATTGAGAAAGAAAAATATTGCATCCTCTGATAATATAAACATTAACAGTTAGTTGAAAAGTCTTAAAAAGTTATTCTGTTTGGCCAGGTTTATGTAATTACTTAAGGGAATATAATCATGCTAGGAATTCATATAGTGCTGTATCACATCGTCAAAACATCTCAAAAGCGGTTCACAGGATTTTAATGTAGAGTGCAGTAACTGCCTATTTTGTATGTGAACACGGCAGCCAATTTGTGCTTAGCAATCAATGTGCCACAAACAGCCATGAAGAGTATGGCCAATTTTATCTGGGGAATTACTGGCCACGGCACCAGGAGAAACTCCCTTCTCTTTTGAATAGTGTCATGGGATCTATAATGTCCACCTTTTGGATAATAAGCAACGACTTCCAATGGGATTCTTTAATAAGGATTCTGCGTGTGACTCCTTTCAATAACTGGACTTATGTGATGTAAACCCATTGGAATGCTGCTCTGAAAGTCTTTTTAATGCCAGGACTTTCTGTGAAATCTGTTCTGCAGGTCATAGCATCTCCCAATTTACAGAGGAATTTTCTTAAAATCCACAATAATATATACACATCTTGCAGCACTCGACATTGGTGGCTGGGTACCCAAGCTGAGGGTGGGAGGCAAAAGGGGTTGGGGGAAAGATGACCCAACCGTGGTCATAGAGGTACGTCTTGAGCCAAGATGTATTCGCATACACGATCCAACAAGCTGCCATGAGGTGAAGGATCAATTAATCTGGAAGACCATTGGCTTTTCAGTTTCTCCACTAAAAATAAACCATGATATGGTTCAAGCACAGGCTCAACCTCCAGGAGGCACAGTGACTTGTAGATGATGGCTGAATACCCATGTCAAATCAGTGGCAGTGGCGTTAACTATTATATTAAGCACCAATATTTTTCCTCAATAAGAAGACTTGAATTACCTTGAATTCCAGTTCCATTCCTGTGACGTTTTCTCCTGGCTCCACTTGTGTCAGCTTCTGGATATAAGCATACAGGTTTCTGGCTGGCACTTCGGTATTTCCACAAGTCACTGCTTCATGCAGTGCATCATGAATAAAGATATATTGGTCCTCAGTCTGAACCATGTAATTCCTCTGTGATCGCATTAGTGTTACGTGACCATAAATATCTACAGTTTTCTCGTGCTTTATTCTCTCCAACATGGCATCTATTACAATGAAGCACCCAGTTCTTCCAACTCCGGCACTAAGAACAAAGCATACAAATCAAACATTGAAATGACATTGATATCAGACATCTTCTCAGTGGTTTCTCTTAGCTCAGATTAGTCTAATCCCCCACCTCCTCTGCACTATTTCCTCTCCTGAAGCCAACCACCAATGCATTATAGGGGACCATCCCCTGATACCTCTGGCCCAAGTGTAAATACTGCACATGTAAGTCTGGTTTCAGATTAGTCTAATTCCCCACCTCCTCTGCACTATTTCCTCTCCTGAAGCCAACCACCAATGCATTATAGGGGACCATCCCCTGATACCTCTGGCCCAAGTGTAAATACTGCACATGTAAGTCTGGTTTTGCTGGTCTACCTGACCATAGGTGGCAATGTCAGTCCCACTGTAAATCAATGCATTTCTGTTGTTCAATCTCACCTGGTGGTGTAGACAAAAATGCTCTCAACCCTGCAAACCAAAGCTACAATGAATAGGGTAGTCTGAGCCTGACAAGGTCCCAGAGAAGTACCAGAGAAGCGCTTTGAACTGGTTAGATGCACACCTACCATTTTTGATTCCTGGTCTCTGTTCCGTTTTTTTTTAAATCAAGCAATAAAATTATGCAATTGTTGCTTATGTTTTTACGAACAAAAGTAGAGTAAAAGGAAGAGATGTCTGTGTCTGGTTTGTGTTCGTTCTTAAGAGGATTCTTAGTAAAGAATTCAAGTGGGCAAATTGAGACTCATTCTCAGTAGCTTGAAGTACATAATAATAATAATCCTTGCACTTGATATAGCGCCTTATTACGTCTTCCAGACGTCTCAAAGCGCTTCACAGAATATATTGTAAAGTGTATTGACTGCATATTTTGTGGGCGAATCGTGGCATCCAATTGCGCACTGACCTATGAACGGTGCATCCGCATGATCTACTTTGGGAGTCAAATTCCAACGTTTTGGTGGGAATTCTATTGGGATTCATTGTTACGGAATCTTGCTAAAAAATTCTAAAAGTGACTGAGAGGGGAGAATTTTAATCCCCAAAGTGGCCAAACCTCCTGCTGGAGAGGAGAAAGGGAGAAAAAAATAATGGCATACACTTGATGGGCTGAAAGGCCTCCTTCTGCGCTGTCAATTTCAATGTTTGTATGTGAAACAAATAATTTAAAAATAGTCTTATCTGAAGACCATGAATGCAGGGGTAATGGAAACATCACTTTGTTGTTGGAAGTTTATTAGTGTTTAATAGTGCATGGTTAATTGGCAAATGCACAGGCACGACAAGCAGCCCTATTGCATAGCTGACTTTTTCATTCGTTACGCATTAGCACAAAGCGAGAGACTTCACAACACAACATATGCAATGCATTAGCAGGCAGCCAAGTGATTTATAAAGGCTCAATGATTAATGATATCGGTTTGTTCCCTCAAAGGTTCTGCTACTAAAAACATAAATTTCACAATGCAATTCCACAGAAAAAGGAAGAGGAATTTTTCCTTTGAATTGGGAGAGGTGGCTGACCCTGAATTCAGTCCCGATAAGTTCTCAGGAGACGCTTAGCCATGTTGACATTCTCAAAACTAAACTGTGCACTTTGCATTACATTCAACAGCACTTGACGTCCATTCATAAACATCAGCTTCTTCTGAACGGCTCAGGGCAGAATGCACTCCCTTGCCACCTCTCTACTCCTGGAATTTCCGATTCCTCATTAACCTTTCAGGGGCTGCCTCATCTACACTGTAAATAATGTTGCTCCAGAAACATTTGTCACTGAACTGGTTAAAACGTGTGCACTTATTTCTGACAATAAGGCTAATAAAAAAACATCTTCAAGGATGGTGTCTTGTCTCTTCACATATTGAGTTGAGGCACAGATCAGTCATGATCTAATAGAATGGCCGAACAGAATCAAGGGGCTGAATAGCCTACTCCTGTTTCTACGTTCCTATGTATCACAAGCCTCTCATGGCTGCTGCAACTTCGAGAATATATCTGTCAGCTGCCGCATAAGGAGGGTGAAAAGTGTGACATTTCATGATCTGATGTGAGTTATCAATTCCAACCTGTTAGCAAATGTTGCATTTTTCGATCATTCCTAAATTCTAGACATAGTCCTCAAGTCTTTCCTCCTGACTGGATCACACTGATTTACTGCTTAGCCTAAACAGTGGTTTAGGCGGACACTTATTGAAACAATTATGACATTAATCTGGGATGACTGCCTCTCCTTGTGGGAAGCTGTTTTATTTGGACCCTAAGCTTGCTTCTAGAGAACAGGATATAAGCATGACAGCAATAACAGCAAAGCCTCCCAGGCCAGCTCCCCGTTAGCTCACTCCATAGTTGTGTCAAACGGACTGGACTGGTCTCTGGGTTGATCCCTGGCCTATTTAGCTGTTCTTGGATTTGGTAGCTCCAATTAACTGTTTTGGTCAACCAAGTGTCTGACACATGCGTAAACCCATCACCATGCTTAAGATTGTGGAGTCCTGTAGCTCAGTGGTTAGAGCACTCGCTTTGCAAGCGAGAGACCTGGGTTCAATTCCCGGCAGGGTGAAACCTTGGGCAAGTTTCCTTACTTCACACGCCTGATAATAATCCCTCAAGAAAAAAAACAATAATAAATTGGTCATTTTCAATCCACGACTATTTGTGGGATACTGCTGTGCACAATTGGCTGCTGCGTTTCACCCACAAATATACAGTCAATTCACTTTACAGTATACACTGTGAAGCGCTTTGAGACATCTAGAAGATGTGAAAAGCGCTATATCAAATGGAAGGATCATCATTATTATTATTATTATTATCCAAACCAAAGTGAGAATTCCATGAATCTCACCTACCCATGGAAATTCCAGATATAAATTGTTGGAATGGAATGCACACTCTCTCCCTATTATTAACTTCACTATCCTGGGCTAGGGAAGGGAAAAATCTGCCAGGGTTTTTACTTCTGATCCAGTGATCACTGCTGGAAAGTGTGCAATGTTATCTGCATGGCATGTCTCTAAGTAATAAATAATAATTCTTGCATATGATACAGTGGTTTTCATGCCGGGAGAACATCTCAAAGCACTTTGGAAGATTTACTGCAAGCTGCAGGGACGTGTATTCTGTAGGCTCATTCAGCCTGTCAAGGCTCACTGCCTTGGCTCACACTAGAACAATAGGCGAGGTACAGGAGGGAGACTGAGCATATGGAAAATTACAGTCAAATTACATCAAGAGAAGAGAAGGGAAGAGGAGAACATTGTTAAGAGAGAGAGAGAGAGGAGAGAAAGAGAATGAGAGGAGAGAAAGAGAAAGGAGAGAGAATAAGAAGGAAAAAGGGTTAAAAAGTAAACTAAGCATGCTGCTCCATCAGTCAGTGGTAATAATCCTTGCATTTGATATAGTGCCTTATCACATCGTTGAGACATCTCAAAGCACTTCACAGAATATAATGTAAAGTGAATTGACTGTATATTTTGTGGGCAAAACGCGGCAGCCAATTGGGTATAGCAATGTTCCACAAACAGTGGTGAATTGAATGACACTTTTTTTTTTTTTTTTACAGATTATTACCCTCGGAAAGTGATCTGCCAATTGACTAATAACTAGGTTCCTACTTATTTCTAGGTAAACCGTGTGGAGTAAGGAAACTTGCCTAAGGTTTTGCCCCGTCCAGGAATCAAACCAACGTCCTCTTGTTGCAAGGAAAGAAAGCTAACCAATTTGCTTACGAAACTCCACATTGATGGAATGCTTCACTTACCTGCAATGTACAACCATAGGCCCAGCATCGGGAGGATTACAGGCTTTCACTCGCCTCAAGAAGGCCAAGAAAGGTGTGGGATGCTCTGGAACGCCATGGTCAGGCCACGCGGTGAACTGGAACTGTCGGACTTCCCTCTTTTCACTGGAGCCGTTCTGTCAGGATTCCACACAGCCATGTTATTGCAACACAATACACATCACATTTATTCAGCACCTTGCATGTCAGGAGGACAACACTGCTGGCTGGGTACCCGATCTGGGGAGGGGGAGCCGAAGGGGTGGGGAGAGATGTGAAAGTAGTCAAGGAGGTATGTTTTGAGATGTGTCTTGAATGATGAGGGAGTGAGTCGATGGGACTTGGAGATGAGGTTCTAGGGACAGGAGCAAAACGTCTGAAAGCCTGACAGCCGCATGTTAGCACGTTGTCATTAGCATGTTGACACACACAAAACTCCAGTGCGATAATTGACAAGTGGTGGGGGGGGGGTGTCATGCTGACTCACATAGTGACATCCGCTGCCTGTCTTTCACAGATCAAATCATGCCACTTTGTTGTCTTCAATGAATGAAATGGTGATTAGCCTGGCAGATTTTACAACCGCAAATCTGATTTAACTATGGGAAACTGCAGAGATCTGAGCCATAGGTGGCAGGCCATGCTGAGGAATTGTCCTCTACCGAAACCACAATGAATCAAGTGAATGGACAAAGTGCTTTAGTCACAAAAATGTACAGGAGACGTTGTACATGAGCTATTGAAACGTGAGTGCTTTCAATGTGACCTGTGCCCCTTTAGCGTTTATACAGGCTGAGCTTAATGTAAAGGCAGCATTTCCTGTTTAGGGGCATATTGCCCAACACTGAATGAACACCATTTCATGAGATTGAATGCACTCCAATGACAACAGTTCTATCAGGAATGGATAGTTGCACTGGACAGTGCTGGTTGCTTGGTTTTCAATTGCCCCATTTCAACACTTTATATATAAACCGTGTTTAGTTTTTGAGAATACATCAGGTGATTTTGGAGAAAGATCATGCATGCAGAGATATTTCAAACTATATCATATAGGAGAGAAACAAACAATAAACAGGAAATGTTGGCCAAAGCCCAGCCAGGGATCAGCTTGGAGTAACATATGCCATAAAGCTGGAATAAAAAGCAAAGCTTATTGTCAGATAAGAAGCATTACATTGCAATAAATACCTTGTATAATGCAAATGTTCTAACACAGTAGGTTGCCAGTTCCACTGTATCCAGCAATGTGACCTGGATCAATCCAAAAGTCTCTGTGCCTCTAGAAGGCCAATATTGGTCACATTTCACCTATAAGATGAACCAAAGATCTAGAATGAAGAGAGATGTCTCCCCAGAATAAGGAATACAACAACAACAACAAATTACATTTGTAAAGCGCCTTTCACATTGAGAGGGCATCCCAAGATGCTGAACAAACAGAGATTTGGACCCAAGCAGGGGGTTGTGATTGGGAGCGGTGGAGAGCAGGGAGGGTAGACGTAGGAGAGTGTTTGAAGAAGATGATCTTGATACCCTCTTAAAGTTCACAAACTCAAGTGTTCTGAAAGCAGCATGTTAGCGCAACGTAATGTTCACAAGTGTTTGTTAGTAGAGAAATATTTCAAAAGGGGAGTTGAGGAGGAGCTTTCGCTTCCTTTAATTGCAGTGGAGCTCCATTATAATGTGCTTCATTGTAATGTGGGTTCACTTATAATGCTCTTTTGGGGGGGTTTCTGGTTCCTACACAATAGCCATTTTCCTGGTCATCAGGTCACCGCTAACGTCACTTCCAGCCACGTGAAAGTGACAAACTGATGTACCTGGAGGTTGGCCATTTTGTAGCACTTGAGAAGCCGGCTGTCTGTACACATGGAGTGATGTCACGGATTAGCATTGTTGTGATGCAGAAGTGATCCCTATCTGTCAAAAACACTGGTCAGGATTTTATGGCTCCCTATTACTATAGTATAAAGGGGCCCTATTGTATATTCAAAAGAGTCTTGACTAGTTATTGACAAGTTTTGGTGAATATTCTACCGACGTAGTTCCAGAAAAGAACAACACTCTCTTTGGAATCATCATCACATTACCACTTATAGCAGTAAGTTACCACATAATAACATATAATAACAATAATCCTCACATTGGGTCTAGTGCCTTTCATGTCAGGAGGACGTCTCTGAGCGCTTCACAAGATATACTGCAAAATGGAGTGACCACGGATTTTGTGGATGAATGCATAATTTAAAAACAAATAAGGTAAAGTAGAAAAAAAAGTTGAAGTAGAGGGAATGGAAATACAAGATCTGCTACCCAGTATAAATGAACACTTGTTACGTTGCATCTGGTCTCAGATGGGGCTGCGATTGGGGAAGAAAAGCCTCCTCCTGCCTTGGCAGACTTCAGGAGCCTGCAGTCTAGTGTGGCTGTGGCCTTAAGTCCCTCATCTTCAAATTTAAGATCCCATAGAATTTCAGAAAAAAAGTTTGAAACTCAAATCATAATTTTGAAAGGGTACCCCTCAAAATTATGACTTAATTTAAGAACTTCCATATTAGATTTGAGTAGTCTTCAATCTAAGGCCGTGAGAATTTGGGTCTCTGATACAATTATAGACTATTAGCTCTATCTTCAACATGCCATGCGATGATAGATGGCAAGAACGCATTTGACATTGTTACAATTCCACCCCCCACGGCAAATATATATATACACACACACACACACACACACACAAAGCATGCATTAGACAGTTCACCACCTAAACCATAGAGCAAAGACATCTGGGTATACATCGCCTTGATGACACTAAACTGAGGACAGAAAAGTGATATTAGAAATCCTATGTTGGTTGGCCTTTATCTGTTTAAACATACACATTCTCAGGTTAGCGAACGCTGAATCCCATACAAAATAAAAAAAACAATCTCAAGCTAATATAATAAGATGCAAAGGCAGGCACCCTGCAGTATGTTAAATGGGGGCAGTATTATAATTATAAGGATGAAAATATAACAGTTCTTGCTGGAAGGCAATGGATGTGGAATTCCATTAAGTTTATAGCATTGAAGAGATTAAAAAGTACCTGCTGTTTTTTCAACAGCACTAGCAGAACCTAAAACAACCCTGTGGTATTCTAAAACATGGACTGTATCTTTTACTACAGGGAATGGCTGGAACAAGGACTACGAGGAGAAGTGTTAACAGAAGCACACAATGGACAATGGTGGCTCTTTCTGCAACAACTGCTATTATGTGAATCACAACAATTTGCCATTTTCAATTCAATTCAGACCTTGGGAGCCTATCAGCGTTCATACATTTCTAGCTTTTACAAACTCCCTCTCTGCGTCCAATGATAAACAACCTTTTGAGACATCTTGGCAAAGTGATAAGGCACTGTACAAATGCAAGGATTATTCTTGTTACTTTAAAGATAAATAATCCTTTGAGGAACAACATCAACAAGAGACTTAATTCTGAGAGGTGTTTCAGAATGAAGTCACTTTTATATCACAGGCAAAAATAACTGCAAATCTCCACAAATTCTAATTCATTCAATGGAAACAAAAACCCATCTGTTTCCTCTATACTTTATGTGAATGATCGTATAACCAGAGTATTCTGGCTTTCTTGGGTGGGGTAGTTGGGTGGAGGAGGGATTATTATTAATTATTTTTATTTGAGGAAATGAAGTCCATTACTTTCCATCCTTCAGATGAGACGTTAGACTGAGGTCCCTTCTGCCAATTCAGGTAGATATTAACGATCTCATGGCACTATTTGAAAAGAGGAGTTTTCTCCTTGTGTCCTGGTCAACAATCCCCCCCAATAAAATTGGTTACTCATTTCATGGCTGATTGTGGCATGTCGCTGTGTGCAATTATTATTATTTACCTTTGGGAAGCTAAAAGTACTCATAATTAAGGCTTTAAAGGGTTTCAATATTAATTATGGTTGTGTAAAGGTTCTTGATTTGGTTGGGGGTTTTCACCTCTTGCTTGGGAATGCAGAGGCTTGCTGAAGGGCAACAATAATTTATAGTTCCGGCTGCTCTGTCTGTCATTAAACAGGGCACAAAGTTTTTGGAAAAGAGATGTGTGAAAAAAATCAAAAGTGCAAGGGGTGAATGGTAATAGGATTCATACGTTTCTCATTCATCACTTGTAGATTTATGAGATTTTAATAATATCTTGATGCAGTACAGGACCTTAAGTAAATACTTTTCAACGTTACAACAAAATGCATTGGGGTTGCGATGTCAGCCTTGATCCTAACTAGTCAGCCCTTCAATAAATTGGCAGTATTCTTACATTTGATATAGCACCTTATTACCTCATTGAGACATCTCAAAGTGTTTCATATGATTTACTGTGAAGGTTTAGTGACTGTGGATATACAGGCAAATGTGCAGCCAACTTCTATGAAGCATTGTCCTGCAAACAGCTTTGAAGTAAATGATTGATTTTATTTGGGGAATTGTTGGCCAGGACACTGTGAGAAATTCTTTTCTGTTTTCAAATAGTGCCAAGGGATCTTTACCATCCACCTGGACATGCAGATGGGATCTTGCTTTAAAATCTCATCCAAAGCATGGCATTTTGGACAATACAAAGCTCCCCCAGCATCTAGTTGGAGTGTCAGCCTGGACAAATATGAGCTGGTGAAGCTCTGTATTGTCCAAAATGTGGGGCTTGAACTCACTGAATAAGCCAGACTCACGTATTCTTAGAAGAGCAAATACCCAGATGCAAAAATGAGTCAAATGGCCTAAATTCTATGGTTGAAAATTCAACATCTTTTTCTGAGTTTATTGTTTTTTTCTGTTCCTATCTATCAGACATGCCTTGTGTCTGGGTGCAGTCCCACAGGCCACCCCTGGTCACTTACAGTCACTCTTTGAATGCAGTCTATAATAGTATGGGAGAGTGAAATGGGAAATCACAGCCAAAGACAATCCTGTCCTCACTCAATCTCCACTGTTCACTAGAAGGTAAGGGAGGGGGGGCGGGGGGGGGGGGGGGGTTGGTGGTGGGGGAGTGGAGAAGCCGCTATTCAGTAGTCAGAGAAATGATGCATGTGCTGACTGGAACTTAACCGCTCAGGAGCAGGAACTGTGACTAGCTTTTCCCTCCCCAAAGTCTCTGTACTGGAATGGGACTCAATGTCATGTCACCTCTCTGATTACCATCTGCAGTATTGTTCTCCCCTCCCCCTTGTGGCTAGTGAGGGGTACGGGTAGTGAAGATGAACTGCCACCACATCTGAGACCGATGAACATGACACAGACCTGGTCTAGAAGCTGTGACCTTCCTCGTCTTTACGCCTCAGCTCTACTCTATGGGTTGTAAACCACAGAGCTTAAGCCATTTTTAAAATTTACAGTCACCCACGAGGCTGAACGGTTGACGATTTGCCAGTGGGAAAGTGGATGGGGAGGTTGACGGGAGAGAGAACAACATGATGCATGATAGGAAAGCAGAGACACAAATGATTTGAACAACTTTAACAACTCTCCAGCTTTTCAAACTGGCGCTCAGTAGTTGCAGCATCGTCAAACTACACATTATCTTGTGAAAAATTCTAATATCAAGTGCAATTAGCGGAACGGACAAAACCAAAAGGCACATTCCATTATTCACTGCAGCTTTGGCATACACTCCAGCATCGTAAATTTTAGTTTTTTTTAATATCATTACAGAAATGCTGCTGTAGTCCTCAGAGAGTTATTGGAGCCAGACATGGAGAGGATTAAACACAGTGAAACAAGTCGAAAAGTCGAGAGGCTCAGAGAAAATATAGTGAGGAGGGAGGGTTCTGTAAGTAAAGTAGTGAATTTGTGTGTGAGAGAGTGGGAAGTATGGGGTGAGAGGGTAGAGAAAGAGGAATGTAATTAAATGAAGGATGACTACACCGAAACACAGCTTGGAGATGAGGCTTTCCTTATAATTAAAAAATACAATGCAAAATTACATTTGTATTGTGCCTTTCATGTTGTGAGGATGTCCCGAGGTACTGGACAGTCAGGGATTTGGACCCGCGTAGGGGAGTTGGGATCAGGGAAGGTGGAGGGCAGGGAGGGTGGCCGAAGGCATGGTTGAAGAGGAAGGTCTTGAGACGTGCCATGAAGGAGGCAAGGGAGGGAGCGAGGCGAAGGGAATGTGGGTTGGAATTCCAAAGGGTGGGGGAATGGAAGGGTAATGCCTCTATCTTTGATGCAGTCATTGTTGGAGAGTCCAACCAGTATTTTGTAACATTTACACAGGAAGATGAGATGCGTTTTTTATATAATTATAAGTAAGGGGTACATTTCAAGGAAATATCATTGGACAATTCATAGCTATGTTGAACTTTGAAACCCTTAAAGAAACACGCATTTCATTTTCTTGTGTAAATGTTACAAAATACTGATTGGATTCTCCAATAACTGTATCAAGAATAGAGGCATTACCCTTCCATCCCCCCACTCCCCAATGACTGCTGTTTTACATTAAAACAAAATTAAATTAAGGTCTTATGTCTAATCCTAGGATCTAATCTTTAATAAATTAAACACTGCTGCGACGTGCCAGCGCTCTGATAGGCATGATTTAAGAGACTGTCTGTTGTTGAGAAAGGCACGTGATATGATGATAAGATCCCCTCACGTGGTTTCCAATGAATAAATCATGGGATTTCTCAGCAAGGAATAATTGAATCTGCATTTTGTAAGAAGTGCCCTGATTATTAAAGAAAAGCGAATTCTCTTTGATGAAACAATATCAGAGAATGATGTAAAATGTCAAACCCTGGATCGCTCTTCTAATTTAGTCATCATGACAACGATCGCACTACGCTGCTCCCAAATCATCCTCCAGAAGTCTCCGAATGTCTCGGGCAGAGCGCCTTGCGTTGCGATGTACGCATTCTGCTTTCTGTACCCGTCAATGTAGTTGGAATTAGAATAATCGCTCCCTGGTATGCCTGCAGAAAGAGAACAAGGAACGATTGAGTTTTTGGGCTAACCAGGAGTCTGACATACTTGGAAATCCATCTCCATCCTTAAGAGTTTTCAAACAACAACTTGCATTTATAGTTTCGCCCACAAAACAGTCAATTCACTTAGCAGTACATTTTGTGAAGCGCTTTGAGATGTCTCGAAGACGTGATAAGGTGCTATATCAAATGCAAGGATTATTATTATTATTATATACTGTCTTTCTCATAGAATAAAAAGTTAAGAGCATTGTACAAGGACAGGGCTGGATGCTGAGCAATGGCTATGGGGCGCGGGGGAAGAGGGAGGTGATGTTACCTGTAAGAATTCGAGGTAGGACTTAGATAAATGGAGATGGGAGATAGAGGGGTAGAGGGAGGGAGTTTCAGATGTCGGGAGTGTAGAATCTAAAGGCTTGACCAGCAATGGTAGCAATAAGAGCTCAGTGGAGGCCATAAGAGCTGAATTAGGAGGAGGGAATGGAGGAATGGGGTAAGAGAAATTCAGACTGAGATTAGCACATACAGTTCCACCTACATCAGCAAATTTCCATGTTTGTAACGGAATGCAGACTCTTTCCCTGGAGAGATGCATCCTACTTACCTAATTGTGGAGTTTAGCCTGACGCGAACAAAAGTTTGGGGACCTCAGAGTGTGCATTGTGGTACCCTTCGAGTCCAACCCGTGAAAACTATTTATCTTGCCTTTGAGAACTTCTTGCTGCCTGTGTGGTCCATCCTACCTGTTAGGGCTTTGCATTGGATAGCATTGTATCGAGTTTGTAAGAAAGTAGAGTATTGCATAGGGTTAACAGGAAGAATCCCTGTTCCCAGTGCAAAGAATGACAATAACAATCGAGCAGAGAGATGGATTTTTCAAACCTATATAATGACTGTAAAGAAGAAACCCACTACAACATCCAAAGATAATAGTTTTCTCCACTAATGTTTTTATAATGTAAGTGTGCTCGTGAAACCCCAGCAGCCTATTTTTCAAAATAAAATATTGAAGGTCATTGGATATCCAAAATGCTGTGTTAACCTTGGGAAAAGGTACACACAGTTACGGCATCTGTATTCAATAGCCACACTTTGAACAACCTGTAGTACCTCAGACAGAACACGTTGTTTCAATGGAAAACATCTGTTCAGCTGCATGCGTGAAGCTGTCTCTCAACCCTCAATGTTGCAACCTCTGTTCTCAGTTCAAATGGAATAAAAGGCCTTAGTTAGCACTGGACGCAGGAATGCAATTGAAGCCTCCAGTGTCTCCCTCCAAGAAAGTACCTTCTATAATAATAATCCTTGCATTTGATATGGGGCCTTCTCACGCCTTCAAGACATCTCAAAGTACTTCACAGAACATACTATAAAGTGAATTGACTGTATATTTTTGGGACAAAAACTGTAGCTTCACCTCCAAGTCCAGTTGGTTTTCATACATTTGCTGCCAAAAGGGAAGGTTTTTTCAGGTCCCTATCAATGTTTTATTTGTTAAAGTATAGAATTTTTCATATTTTTCAGTTGAAGACCATTGTGCTCAAATTCACCAATGCACAACATTTTTGGACAATTCTTAAATTCTGTTTTAATTTTAAAGCCAAACTCCAGAGTTCTTTTTCATTACTGTGGAAAAGGGGCTTCCAATTTGAATTTAAGATTTGTTGTTTCCAAACTTCTGCCAATCTCGCAATTTAAGACGCTGGCCTTAGCCTTAAGAACCTGGGGTTTGGGGCCCCAGGAGCACAAGTCCTGGCTGATTTCCCCTCCCTAGTTTACAATGCTGAGTTCAACAATAGTATCCTTGCTATCGGCTTGACTCAGTGAGAAAACTCAGCACAGGCTGGGAATCAAACCTGAGACCTTCCCACCTGGTCCGCTGTTGGGGCTCAATTACACACTGGATTCATTTTTAACCATGTGTCAATTTGGTTGGCAGCAATCCTATTGAATGCCAGTATCAAAACAGCTATCGTTCCAGTATGTTTCTTACAGGAGGCCTGACTGCAAAACACAGGTGCAAATCAAGTACATCCAACTCCTGCGCTCCGGATTTTTTTTTGAAAATACATTTCTGGCCTTGAAAACTATTTTTTTTAAAACTGTAATTCTGGATTCAGAACAATCTCCAATTGGACAGGAACAAAGCCAGTGTTGTTAAATCTGTTGTTAAACCTTCACTCCACGATAAGGCCAGTTTGCATCTATTTTCTGCACCCTGCTGAGTGGATGAAAACCGTGCAGCCAAATAGAAAAGATGTAGACCCTACTTCAATCTCGGTGGATATTTGTCCCTTCCCATATCCATGGCACCAGCTCTCTGGACTGTCAGAAATTTTCTATGCCAAGGGCCCCAAACCTGCTCGTGTTGGCACAATCAGCTCTTTCAGTGCTGCACCCAAGCACGCATGCTGCCTACGGTTTTCGCAAATAAGCCTTGGCTCCCGCTACACCAATCACTTTCAGTTACATCAGGGAACTGATAAATCAAAGAGGAGCCATTTTCTCTGTGTGTGATTTGTAAGTGAGTGTTTTAATCAAAAAATGCATGATACACTGTCTGGACAGAACACAATCTAGTATTTATTTTGTTTTTCAAACTCTGCTTCCCTACAAAGAGGGGAATTAAAAGTTTGAAAGTCAAAGAGAAACCACCTATCACTGGGTGAACATGAATCCCATCTTTTTAGTGCTTGTTGTCCGATTCACCTCCCATGACCTCAACAGTTGTGGTCACCTGAGCACTCCCTTTGTACCAATACAATACAATTTACATGGATATAGCAACTTTCACCTTGTGGTGACACTGCTGGCTGGGCATCTGAGCTGGGGTAGGAGCCAAGGTGGGTGGGAAGGGGAAAAATGACTGAAAGCACAGTCAAAGAGGTATGTCTTGAGGCGGACAAACCTACACTACAGATTTATATTACAGAGTCACTTCAATCTGTAACATTTGTGTTCAAATCCCTTCAATCTCTGGCACCTCCCTACCTCTCCGACCTCCTCACTCCCCAATCCACCACCTGGTGTCTCCCCTCGACTGGTACTGGCCTCCTGCTCGTACCTCGCACCCTCTGCCCCACTGTCGGAGGTCCCGCTTTCAGCCACTACTCCCCAAAATCTGGAACACTCTCCCTCAATCCCTCCACCTTGCCCCCTCTGTCACCTTTTTCAAGTCGTGCCTGAAAACCTTCCTCTTCAACCGGGCGTATGGTCACCTCCCCCCTCTTCCTGGCTCGGAGTCAGTCTCTGCGATTGTTAAGCTCTCTGAGACGCTACCCTGCGTGGAGGGCACTATATAAGTGCAAGTTTTGTTGACTGTGACACTGCAGAATCATACAATCATAGAATTATACAGCACAGAAGGAGGCCATTCGGCCTATCGTGTCTGTGACGGCTCTTTGAAAAGAGCTATCTAAATCAATCCCACTCCCCCGCTCTCCCCATAGCCCTGCAAACTTGTCTCCCCCAAATAATTATCTGTAGAAAGTGCAAGCTTGTTCCTGTTATCACTCTACTGTGGCTTTCACCATTGGTGCTAGATTCATACCCAAACAATGTAAGACAAGAGAAGCAGCAAACTCGATTGGTTTTATTCACCCCTCCAATTATCTACACTAGACTTTCAATCCAGCCCTCCAAAAGTTACTGTCTTCATAAAAAGTGTTTAGCAAGCCAAAAAATTTTGCACTATTTTATACTTACAGGGACAAAAACAAGTGACCCTATATTCTGGCAGGTATTAGATTACATATTATATTTTTCACTACCTGAGTTGTGTTAACCATGTGGAAATGCTCATGTACAGGGACCCTTAATGAGATGTTGACCAACCAATGAAAGGATTACAACTGAGACTAAATCCGCAATGTTTATATGCTGCAAGGGAACAACATAATACCAACAGTTTCACTAGCTGCTCCATAATTGCCCTGCAGCTCTCCTGTTCCACATTAAATAGCAATTTGCTTGTGTATCTCCAGATACTGAGTGCATGTTTGCTGCAACGGGAGGGCTTATAGATTGGATATCAGGTGAATCTGACAGCTTGAAGGCCCTTGTGTTTGCTGGTTCTCGGCGGCTTGCAGTGTGAGACAGTGGTGGAGCCGAGCGATGTTGCGGAGGTGGGGAAAGGCAAAGTGGGTCATGGCATGGATGTGGGGTATGAAGGACAGCTGAGGGTCGAACAGGACCCTGAGGTTCTGTAGGAACTCCATCCATAGAAGGAGATGCTGTCAGCGCCCAAGGTATGGAGGCTCTGATGGAGCCAAGAAGGAGGGCCTTGGTCTTGTTGACATTTAACTGCAGGAAGTTGGCTCTCATCCAGGAAGTGATGTCCAACAGGCAGTCTGTGAGGACAGCAATGGTCCTGGAATTGAAGGTGGAGGCAGAGAGGTAGAGTTGGGTGTCATCTGCATACATGTGGAAGTTGATGCCTTGTCTGCAGATGATGTCACCAAGAGGGAGCATAAAGATATTGAAAAGGAGGGGACCAAGGACAGAGCCCTGAGGGTTGTCACACGCTGGAAGAGAAGCCATTAGTGGCGACAAAGTGGAGATGGTGGGAGAGGTAGGATTCAAACTAGGCAAGGGCAAGTCTATGAAGATTGATCTGAGAGGAGAGGTGGCATAGGAGGATAGAATGGTTGACAGTGTTGAAGGCAGCAGAGAGGTTGAGGAGGATTAGGAGGCTGAGAGAGCCCTGTTTTGCAGATATTCAGAATGTCGTCAGTGATTTTGACCAGGGCTGTTCCGTGCTAGAGGCAGCATGGAAACCCGATCGGAGGGTTCAAAGAGGGAATTTTACATGAGTATTTTTTAAATACAGGAAGGGTATTCTACAAAGATGAGATCAAAAAGGGCTGATGAGCCTCTTTCATCTAAAACTTTATTGTTATTGGAGTAATTTGAGACATAACCATGTACGTATCTGAAATAAATGAATGCTCCTTTTACTCCTCACCTATTAAGTATAGGTTATTAGTGCACAGATAATTTTGTTAAGTGATTAGAAAGTTAGAAATGGGCCAATTAATGAGCCATGCAGAAAATGTGGGTCACCTTCAGTTGATGGGCATAAAAGAGCTGAAATAACATTATTAACCATTCAGCAGTCTCTGAAAATAACTTCCCTGTGGTGCAATTCTGGTGCCTTATCTGTTCATTTCACATAGTCCCTTGTCCACATCATTTATCTAGATCCAACTTGTGACTTCGCAGAATCATAGAATCTTACAGCACAGGAGGCCACTTGGCCCATCGTGCCTGTGTCCACTAAATCAGTTCTAAAGTTCTAAATCAGATGCCCAATACATATCAGTTTGTTTTCTTTCTATCTCCATGTCACACAATCACAAGAGCCGTTCGGATGAAGAAGGCCCTTTGGCCCATCTCACCTGTTCCAGAAGTTAATTATCCTCTGGGTGAAGAAATACTTCCCGGTATCTGTCCTGAAATTATCCTTTGGAGATCCTAAATTGTCCCTCTTTTCTGCTGTCTAGATACATCTGAAAGTTTTGTGCTTTCTCAATCCCATTTAAAATCGTTTTATCTTTTTAAGGTCCCCTCTGAGATATCTGTTTTCAAGACTGAAGAGCCCTAGTTTGTCTAATTGTTGCTCAGAGCTCAATCCTATAGCATTATTGGGAGCAACCAAGTGCTCTGGGACGCTACCCCACATGAAGGTCGCTATAATAAATGCAAGTTGTTGTTGTTATTGAGCATTCCTTGTTGCTCTCCTGTGCACTACCTCTAGGGCATGGGCAGCCCCTTTATGTTGCAGTGACTGAAATTGAATGCAGTACTCCTGGTGTGGTCTGAACAAAGCACTTGAGCATGAGAACAGCTTGAGTATAACTTATTGCACCACAATTGACCTTCCATTTCCTAAACTATATATGGATTCTATGTACCAGTGTTTGCCGTTAAGAGATGATCACAATCAAACTTGTAGAGACTGTAGGATATTACGAGTCAGGCATTTACTTAGGACCTCAAAGAGTATTCAAAAGTTTAACAACTCTAATCGATACTCCTCTTCTCCCTGGCCTCCTACAAATCTCCACAGGTTTTAGTGTGAGCTGCTGTACTGGGAGCTTGGTTTGAAGGCTCTAATATCTATGTGGCTCTGAAGACAACACTCACCATCAATTGCTGACAGCAGCACCCGGGAATGGTCATATGCAATGACATTTGCATATCTATTCTTTGGTTTGTTCACCTCCATGTTTGAGTGTTCCCATGTAAACTGCTGGCCAGGATCAATTGACTGAAAGAAAACAACAACAACAAAATTACATGTGTATAGCGTCTCTCATGTCGGCACGGCGTCCCAAGGCGCTGGACAATCAGTGTTTCGGACCCGAGCTGGGGGTCGGGATAGGGGAGGGTGTGGGGCAGGGGAGGAAGGAGGGCTCCTGAAGGCACGGTCGAAGAAGAGGGTCTTGAGACAGGTCTTGAAGAAGGCAAGAGAGAGGGCGAGCGACATAAAGACAGAGGGAGGGATAGACGAGTGGGAGAAAGAAAAGTTATTATTTGTTTAATCAAAGCTCTGATAAAGAAAGAGATTAACTTCTTTATAAATTGTGCTCAGATCATCCTCCCTGTGACTGCTTAGAAAGCGATATTGGATTTCAATACCACAATATTTCCTTTCCAAATTTCCCACACATTTTTGTGCTAGTGGTTCTGCAGACTCCAAAAAAATCAATATTAGATCTCAGAAAAGGAGCTCTAAACACGCGTATATATGTGTGCGTGTGTGTATATATATATGTATTTATAAAAATATATATATATAGAGAGAGAGAAAGAGAGAGAGGGTCTCAGAACAGGTCCAAGGTCTTGCTGTTGTCTGGGGGCATTGATTATGTCCAGGTTGGTACCATTTGTATCGGATTTGCACTCATTATGTTTCCCAAATAATTGCTTAGTGGTGAAATGTTGAAGCATGGAACAGAAAGGCTGTGTTTATTTAAGCACTCCCCTGCAAACTTCTTCAACCACTTGTTATTACAATAATAACAAAATAATAATCCTTGCATTTGATATGGTGCCTTTCACTTCAGGAGAATGTCTCAAAAATCTTCACAGGATTTACGGTAAAGTGCAGTGACTGTATTTCATAGGCAAAGGCGTCAACCGATTTTGCAAAAAAAAAAGCATGTTTTTCAGAACACAATGAATCATTACAAAGGTCCTCTATGAAGCATGCCAATGTGTCACAATGCGTGACGTGCATCTATGACTGAATGGCGCAGGATGAACAGACTGGAGTCTAACATACAGTATTTCTAACAGGAGTTGCAATATGCTAGTAAATGGTTGAACCTTATCGGCCTATCTGCTCCCATTCTCTGGAACTTCATCCCGGAGTTCCTCTGACTCGATTCCTCCCTCACCTATTTCAAGCTCAGTCTCAAGATCCCTTTTGATTGCACTTTTGGTCATCTTTCCCTCCACCCTCAACATCCCTCGATTCAAGCGCAGATGTCAAGCCGTTATAGTTAAGCATTTTGGGATGACCTTCCGACGTGAAAGGCACCTTATAAATATAAATTTGTAATTTGTTTATGTTTGAATGTCAAGTTGACCTACAAGAACTCGGTTCCATCACAATCTACTTTCAGGGAACAGTTTGGTTCCTTGAAAGTATCCATTCCCTGACCAGGACCACTTTTTTCCACCTCCGTTACATTGCCCAATTCTGTCTGTATCTGACAACTAACGCAGCCGAAACCCTTGTCCCGCCTTCGTCACTTCCCGGCTGGACTACTCCAATGCCCTCCTCGTTGGCCTCCCCAGTTCCACCATACGCAAAATCTAATTAAAAACTCCCCTGCCCAGATACTCACCCGCACAAAACTCCATACCTGCATCACACCAGTCCTTGCCAGGCTCCACTGGCTTCCAAATACCAAATGGATCAATTTCAAGATCCTCTCACTCATTTTCAAATCCTCTATGCCCTCACACCTCCCTACCTGTTCGATCTGCTTATCGCCCACTGCCTTTGCTTGGTTGGCTCCGGCCTCCTGTTTGTCCCTTGTCCCCTCCACCTTCAGTGGCCGTGCCTTCAGCTATTACATCCCAAAACTCTGGAACTCTCTCCCTCAATCCCTCCACCTTGCTCCCTTCCGCCCAACTTTCAAATCTCACCTAAAGACCTTCCATTTTGATCGTGTTTACGGTCATCTCGCCCCTCTCTCTCCCTGGCTCAGTGTCAGACTCCACCACTGTCAAGCACTCCGGGATGCTAACCCGTATGAAGAGCGCTATATATATGAAAGTTGTTATTGCTGTTGTTTTGGTTACCAGCAGAATTTACTGTTTGTAATTTCTCTTATGAAAAATATTGTGTGTTAAGTCCCATTATCAATGCAAATGTCGCAGTAATGCAAACTGATGAGAGTCCTTTGCTCCAGAGAATTGGAATCAACCCAAACAGAAAGAGAAATTGAGAACAATCACGCAAGCACCACAACACATCACTAACATTGATTTAAAAAAACATTCGAAAAATAAGTCGTGCTTAAGCCTATTGGGAGGGTAATTTATTACATTGTAAAACGCAGCAAAATCTGCTATGAAATCCACCTCCCATTGGAGTTGACTTCAGATGCTTTATTGTTAGACTTGTGAACCTCAGTGAACATGGGAGCACAAACTGCGATTGTCACATTATGTGAATCCAGTGAGTTCAAATTCAAATTTCATTAGCATGAAAATGGTAGACGGAACCGACATTCAAAGCTGACTGCAGTACAGCTAGAGCTGGATTTGCTCACATTGTTCACTTTTGCCAATGACTAACCTTCTCCCCCCACCTCTGCCAACCACTAAACAGCAGCCAGAAATAGAAAGGTCAAATACAGATTATTTTTTACCCCTCATCAATCTTCCTAAAACTGCTGTGTTAAAACATAAACTGCTTTTTAATCCATTGTCGGGAAACGGATATTATGCTGGTTCTAAAAAAACACAAGCCTGGTCTCAGCAACCAACTGTGGGGCTGGGCACAACTGTGACGCTCTGAGTTACACTAATATAAGCTCGCAAGACCTTTTATAGAGACAAATTCCACCCAGGTTTAAATTTACTTCATTTATGCAGCATTCTGGAGCAGCCAGACCTTGGCAAATTCGTAAACGGGGACTTAATTTTGAAGTTGTTTTTCTGTATTGAGTATTGAAGCTGTTTTTAAATATTAAGATAAATGGTCTTAGCAGGCAATGACTAGGTGGTTATATATCAGAGCTCTTGTGTCTAATGACTGCAAACACTACTGCTTTTTCTCTCAGTCATCAGAATACCCAGGCTGGATTAACTGATTAATGGCAATAATAAACAATAATCCTTTCATTTGATATATTTGTGGGCAAAACGCGGCAGTCAATTGCGCACAGCAGTGTCCCACAAACAGTCATGGATTGAAAATGTCCAATTTATTATTGTTTTTGTTTTTTGGAGGGATTATTATTAGGCGTGTGGAGTAAGGAAACTTGCCCAAGGTTTCGCCCTGCCCGGAATTGAACCCAGGTGTCTCACTTGTAAGGCGAGTGCTCTAACCACTGAGCTACAGAACTCCATGTTATCACATTGTCGAGACTTCACAAAGAGCTTCACAGGATATACACGTGTAAGTGACTGTGTTCATTTTGCAGGCGAATGTAGCAGCCACAGGAATGTCCCACAAACAGCGACCAATGAATGAGTGACCAATTTTATTCTGGGGATAGGTATTAAGAAGTATGACAGCTTTCAAAAGGGAAGCCGGGAATCTGAGGTGGGTAACTTTACATTCTGTATCTTGATTTTTGTTTCTAAAATTAAAAGTAAATGTTATCCCCCAAGTCCAACTCGAGGGAGGCCGTAGGCATTAAAAATCAACTCATACACACACACATACACACAAACACAAGTAAGGGTTTAATAGTATTATTATTATAATAGTATTACAAGTAATAATATTATTTTTATAATTATTAAGAGAGCAAAAGAAGACATGAGAGAGAAGGAAGGAGGGGGTATGGGAGAGGGGTTTAAGAGGAAAGGAAATTCATGTGGGTTATAAATACTAACATAGACTAGTTGAGCTGAATGGCCTGTAAAATTCTATGTAATTCTCTGTAAGACAGCTTAGATGGAAATTGGGATGTTTCCCAAACCAGTCCCAGGAATTTAGTGCACTTTTCTTTTAATGTGACTGCATATCTCAGATTGTACACTAGTCGGTAACAAAGGGTCATGATGAGAGCATGTGGAGCACAGAGTTATGAAGCACTCCTTTAGCAGCATTTCACTGCTGTAGGACTGTGATATTCTGCTCTAAAATCACTCATAGGACCTCATTAAGAAACAAGGGAATTTATTCCTCTTGGTAGCAGGCCTGAATGACTCTCTAGGTACAATATAAATAACTGCACTGAAATCAAATCACGTTGCAGTGGAGAGTCAATGGAAGGTCAATACCACCTTCTTAAATGATTTACTTGTTACCAAAAGCTACATAATGTGCATTCCTATTTTGTGGCAGGTCCTTAAGCTTTCATTATGTAACACAGCTACATCTGAATAAATCACCAACATAGCAATTCTCCTTATTAATTTGTCAGGGTCAATGGCAGTACATTATAGGGTGACCTCTCTACTGAACGTTGTAATCTGTTTTATAGATACAGACCCAATATTCCTAAAATGAACACACCCCACACAGATATGACACACACACATACACAATGCAATTATTGCTGCTCTATTATCCCAGCCAAAAGTCATAAACAAATAACAGTAAACTATAATGCAGTTTTCCCTCTTCAGCCGTGCCTACAGTCACATCCCCTCTCTCCCCATGTCAAGCTCTGCCACTGTTATGCTTTCCGAGAGACTACCTGCGTGAAAGCTGTTATAAAAACGCATGTGGTTATTGTTAAACCATACTTGGTATCGTCCATTCAATCACTTCATCATCATGGTTAATTTGGGCTTTCATACCTATTAAGCACCAAGTTGTTGCCGAGGTTCCATCAGTTATTTAGGTTGCCACTGCCTGAAATGCAGCAACTGTGCGGTGATCTGCACTAAACAAATTACTTTTATTCGCTAGGAGATCTGAGAGGAATAATTTAACCAAATCACAAACACAGGATGTTATCAATCTGTAATGTAAGATCATTGACTGCAGTCCAGGCAACAATAGTGGTGAAGAAATAAGGAGCTGGCAAGGGTGACTGGCTAAATCCTACAAATCTCCAATCCACTATATATGTTGCTCTTCATCTTGAACAGAGACCCAGTGGTCTTTATTAAAATGGACCTCCTACCTCAATTCTACAGTGGTGAAGTCAAATCATTCTCAGAACTAATGAAGCACATAATAAACTGCCTGTGGCCCTTAACAATGATCCAAAGAGCTGCTTCAGTCATATGATGAGCAGAGAGTTTCTGTGAACGAAAACACAGATGCTCAATTTCTGCAGCTTTGTCCTTTCCTTACGGAGTAGAATTTTCACCCGATGATCTCGGCTTAATTCAAACAAATCTACTTCCAAATCAACCCGCAGTGCCTGATTTCCCATGCCCTCTTCATACTGTGCTGTTAGTGTCGAATCAATGCTAAAAATCCAGTAAAATTAGGTTCAAAACTGATTGATTCAATTCCACGTCATGTTCCTGAGGGAGGTAGTTTTTGAATGGAATCGATACGGGACTGCAGCCTAAGTCGGGTTTGCACTGCAGATGATTTTCAAAGGACGTTCAAACTTGAAAACAAAAGTTCAATTTAAAAGTTGCTCACTGGACCACCCTGGAAGCTTTTCAACATTATTAAACATTCGATCTCGCTCTTTAATAACGTGGTAAAAAAAATGAAAATCCATTCAGTGCCAGTTAATGGTGTTCGGTGTCTGTGCTTAGTTTGTGCATGGGCAAATGCTCCTCAGCTCCAAGGGAGTATAATGGAAACCTACTATTCTGAGCAGCTGCACTACCGTAAACTCTCCAGGCAAGTAATGCTGGCTCCAGCATTATACAGGAAGCAGTAACCATCAAAGTCACAGTATGGCTCCACTCAAGTTAGTGAACAATGTCTATGGAGATAATCCCTGCAGAATGTTCACATACAAAGATTTCTGATGCAAATGGAGTAAGAATACTTGAAACACATCTGTGAACCTCTGAGGAAAATGTCTCTTTAAACCTGCTGTTAATTTTCCTCACAGCTGATTCCTCCATTATCTACATTTACTAACTGTATTATGCCAATCCTAGTCTGCCGGCCAACAGATTTATGCAGAGTAAGTCAGTGGAAGACACCAATGCCTCTCCCTCATCAAAAGGAAACTCTTGTTACAGTTTGCATTTCCTTATGCATTCCAGTCAAACTGTCCGTAAACTCTCCAGGCAAACTACAGTTAGGAATTCTCAATGTGAAACCACTATCGTGTACTATTCCACATACATAGGAAGAAATTCCAGCAGGACCTACACTTATACTATTTATGCAGCATTCCAGAGTGTCCAGAATTTGGCAAATTCATAAATGCAACCTTAACTTCCTACAAGTATCTTTTAAAACCTACAGACACCTGACTTTGAAGTGGATGTTTATCACATGGTCGCCCTGTAATATATCCTCCCCTCATTGGGAACTATTTATTTTCATTGAGAGCAGTTCCTGCAGGGGTGAATTTTGACAATGCACATGGGGGTGGGGGGATGAGGAGGCGTTTCCAGGTTTATTCTTAAAGCGAGCTCTGGTACCAGGTAATCTGGAAAAGCCGAAAGGACTAACCTGTGGCAAGAGGGAATGTAGAAGACAGAGATGGGTGTTTTGTGGTGTCTTCGGGATTGGAAGCTGGAGCACTGTAAAGAGTCGTTCTCTCTCATGTGACGTTACTGCAATGTCTATTAAAGGTTCACAGTTCACTTGTAAACGGACTCCACTGTCTCAACCATCACTAATCAACTGAGAAACAAATGAGCTGTTGGACCCTTTATAATATCAACTCCACATATTGGATTTCCCCCCATATAGAACAGAACCTTTCACCTGGTGGGGTGAAGTTCATGATAAGGTAGGTTATAAGATAATAATACAAGTTCCATTTGTTATAGCGCTTTATCATGTCAAAATAGCTCACACTGCTGCACACAAAGGGTGACTTTGAGTGCTGTAATTTTGAATAAGACAGGCAAATGAGGAAGATTTAATGCACAAGCATTTGCACCAAGGGGATATGAATGACCATATTGGTGAGTTTGGGCAGAGGATTATTGTCCGGAACACTTTTCGAATAGGGCAGGGAATCTTTAATATCCACCTGTACAGGTAGGTGGGACTTAGTGTTAGTGTCTTATCCTTAGGACAGTATCGCTAACAATGGAGCGCTTTCCCAATACAGCTGCAGTAGAGTGTTCTCACCTTAGACTCTGACCCGAAATTCCAATGTGGGGATTGAACCCACAATCTTCTGACCGCGAGACAGAAGAGCTACCAAGTAAGACGAGCTGACTAAGAAACAGTAACAACTGTAGGGTTGTAAATTCCCTTTTTGCTCTTCTATCTCCTCTGACTGTTTAGTGATCTGCTTTCACTTGTTTTCTTTCACTGACAAATATACTTGCTACATTTTGACTGGTAAAATTGAAGCACTTAAGAAATGATTACAGTTCCCAGCAGTTAGCCATCAAACATTCCATAGTTTACTCCAATTCAGGGCAGTTTTATAAATCACAAAAGATAATTGTATTTCGTGATTGGCACAGTGAAATCGTAACATTTTGGAACTTATACAGATAAGGCTTTCACTTTTCCTGATGGGTTTGAAGAATCTGATCAGCAGCTATTGTAAACAGGACCTAGTGAAACATTATCAGGTCGCACCTGGAAGCCTGCACATATAAAGCAAAAGGAATAAACAATATAAATTCTGGCAAGATATCCTGGACGTGTTGATTGTTTAATCTGGGGTGCTGCTCCTATCCTGCACAAAAATGTAAGCACGTTCTAATCTTGGTGGGACAGGGATGGGACCAGATCGGAAACTTTGCCAGTTGAGCTGAGCCACGAGCCACGATCAAGCCAGGACTTTTTCTGAGTTCCAATCTCGCAATTGAGATAGGGATGGCCTACGCTAGCCTTTCTAACACCTGCACAATAAAGATCGTTCAAGTCATGGAAAATTATGCGCAGGCACAGATTCCTGGAGACCTTTTTCTCTCCTCTCAGCTACACTGGCTAGGGGAAGCACTGAGCCATTGGTTAATGTGCTTCGACTTAGCAGTAGGAAAAATCTAGCTACAGACACAGCACATTGGTATGGATCATATGCAAATATTCTCAACCTCAGGTGGGTCATTGAGAGTTCTGCTGAGTGCCACCCAGAACGTCATTAGAGGGAAAGTCATAGGAGAAAGAATAGATGGAGGAAAAGGAGGACATGGAGGAGGAGATGATAGAGGAGGAGAAGCAGATGGAGATAAAGGAGGAGATATATGAGATGGAGAATGAGATAGAAGTAGAGGAGAGGGGAAGGAAGAGATGGGGTAGATAGAAAACGAGTTCCCTGATACGTGCCTCTCTGCATGTAGGCTTTTGGGGGTATAATTGAGGGTGCTTTAGTGAGATGCAGATTCGAAGGAAATCGATTCCCAGCTGCCTGCTGCTAACAAAGAGGAAATGGGGGAGTAGAAAGAGGAGGAGATGGAATGGGAATCAGAAGGGAAGCTAATGGAGGGAGAGTTTCTAGCCCGACCTCTGCCAATGGCAGGTGTTCACTGACTCTTGAATTGCTTATAAAATTCAAACTGATCCAAATATCTACAATTAACAACAACAGTAATATCATCTGTCCATTTTGATCAATTCTAAAGAAAGTTTTACTTTCAGGCAATGAAGATGATACCATCAGTCGGCTATTTGCTTGGTTACGTGTTATTGGGCTCAACAATGTGAGATAGCTGAAATAACACACACACACACACACACTCAAACAAAGCATGTATATAGTAAATGAAGGCCAAGTTCATCCAAGACTTGAACACTTCTTCAATATCTCTGACAAATGATTCTTCTGTTCTTTCTCTCTCTGTCACAACCTTTCTCTATTTCGTAGAACCTACTAGTTCTCCTCCGAACCTCCCGCTCAAAGTCCAAACCCACCATCCTATACTCACTGTTCCTCCTCCCTGCATCATCATGGTGTTGAAATGAAAGCTCACCCTGCTATCTCTTACTCTTAACACATTCTTCCCCAGGACCTGAAAATGGTGAAATTCAATCAACAAGCTTTGAAGTATAATCAAGTATAATCAGAAAGCTTTGAAACCCTTGGCTTGGTGCAGCTTAACCACATCATGAAACATCTCCACTTCTCTGCTGCTCTTTTTCAGCCTGGTGATTGACTGCCATGGGGAGAAATTATTCTGGCTCTTACTCTATCTAATATTTTAGTTTGCATAATTTGGCCAATTGTTGAATTCAGTTTTAACTTTGAAGTCAGTTTTCTGTGGTTCTTGAAAGAAACTTACAGAAAACAATAGCTTCAAAAATAAGAAGTTGCCCAAGAATTTGCTCTAAAACTCTCCATAAATAGAGTAAATGTTGACTTGGGTAGAGATTCTCCCCATTCAGGCCTTAACATTTCATTTATACCCTCAACCTAAATAAAAGAACAGAATGCCGTCTGTTAGATGATACTTGGAGAAAGTGTAATGCTCAAAAAGCAGGACTGAAAGGTTTAATTCAACGTTTTAATTTAATTTTATTAGCTCAGGGTTACTCTTATGACAGCTTTATGTTGGGGTTCGTTCAAGTGTGGACAGTAAGTTCTGCTGAAGGATAAAAGCTGCTGAATTGGCACTAACTTAATTGAGAAAGAATACCAACGCTGTAAAAGATATGAAGGATTATAAAGACTAAAGGATTAATAATGGTAGAATGAATATTTTATGCATGATATGCCTCGTCCTTTGTTATTCCAGCTACATTCTCGAATGTTCCTTTATAGGCAATTTTAAATTACGCAACAGCAATGAACAAAGAAAAAAAAGGTTTACCTCATATTCTTGTGAAAACTTTAAGTTGTCATTGGCTTTCAACCTCTCGATGTGATCAGCAAGCTCTGAAATAGGGATTGGCGGGTGGCTAGCCATGCCTGACAAATTGGACAAGAATAAAATAGGCGTTACAAGAGCGGGTGCTTAGTGCTAAGAGGAAAAAGACAAGTCTGGAAAGCAATTGTTAGAGAAGCTTAACGTGTAACTAGTAACCATGTTTTGATGTGGAAGAAAAAGCAAGGCAGACAGTTTGATTACTCAAAGCAGCGCATGCTCAGAAGAGGAGAGCGCTCAAGGCTTGTTAACCATCACCGAGCATGCTCACATTCCTAAAAAGTGAAGAGAAAACAAAACATAAAGAAAGAAAGTAAAGTTTTAGGCTATATGTCGCTGTGGTTAGCCCAGCTGAGAAGATGAGAAGGTTAGCCCTGTGGGTTGGTTGCTGCTTTGAGTAATGACAGCTTTTTGCCATTTCAAACTTTTCTTCCTGCGATGTACGACATGTAATCTGTACTGAGTTAGAATGAGATCTGCAGAATATGAACTACACAACAAGCAGCCAGAAGCCTGAAAGGAGAGAACAGGGCTCAGAGGAAAAGTGAAGTGAACTGAAGCCAGGGGAAAAACTAACTTGCAGAATGGAGGTTACCATGGTGACTGGAGACACCTGAACCTGCAAAGGAAATGAGGGGGTATAAATAAAGGTTCTGCTTTTCCAATGGAATAGGGTGAAGGGGGAGGGGGAAGAGTACGGGGAGGGGGGGAATAAATGAGATGGAAAACTGTACACAGAATACTGGCAAAATAAATCACAGTGTCAAAAGACGTACGTATCTTTCAGATCTAATCATTTTAGTCACATATTAAAAGAATCTCAAACCTTATCCAAAAGATCAAAATAAACTTTTTCTTCCACTATTATATATTACTGTGTAGGGCCGTATTTTTTATATATAAAAAGGGAGCCGCACACTAAACGTTTACACACAATCTGGTTTCACTGCCTGCTTGGAAGTATACCAAGCAATTATAAAACATACATGTGGACTGCAACATAGGCAGAACCTCCAACATTGTTTCCATTCCTAGCGGATTGTATGGAAAGTTGACCTGAGAGAGAAAGGGGCAAAACAAAAGGGTTTGATTTAATTTGTTCAATGTGAGCTAAGAAAGGTTAGATTTCCATGTGATTTCCCAGGATAGATTGCGCTATATAATTTTTAAATATTAAACATATCTACTGAAGGTGTAAATATCTTTGTCCAAGTGAAAAGAGACCATGATCGCCCACCCCGCTCCCCCCATCTGAAAAATTTTCACCTTCTCTGAAGGCACTGTGACTTCTTTATTTATTTCCCTCTGCGGGGTATGGTTTTACAGGTGTTGGCCACCACACGAGTGGCCATTATTCATGTGTGAACCTCAGTTAACAATAGCAGATTATTCAATCGCAGGGACATGCCAGTCAAGTCTGATCCTGCTCTCACATATGTCTACACATGTACATCTTCCAAAAGGGCATCTCCGTGTTATGATCAGCAGCAGGAATCCTGGCTAAGTTTACCCCCTTCCTAGCCCAGGAGTTCTGAGGTTAATTACAGCGCTCAGTTACTGAGATCAGCTAACTCTGCATAGACCTAAATTGAACCTGTGGCTTTCTGCTCTGGTTTTCCCACTCCTGTGCATTTACCTACATCCTCCTCCACCGCCTTTCCTCCGTCATTCACCTCAGTGGGACTGCACTCGCCTGGTTCGAATCCTACCTCACAAACCGCCAGCAGTACATCTGCACAAACAGCTTCTCCTCCCACTCTCACTCGGTTACCTGCGGGGTCCCCCAAGGATCCATCCTTGGCCCCCTCCTCTTTCTGATCTATATGCTCCCTCTTGGGGATGTCATCCACAGGCATGGGGTACGCTTCCACATGTGTGCAGACGACACCCAACTCTATTTTTCCACCTCTCTTTGCGACCCCCAGTCCCCTGATGTTCTGTCAGCCTGCCTGTCAGACCTCAGGGGCTGGATGAGTGCAAATTTCCTTCAGCTGAAAGTTGACAAGACGGAATCCATACTCTTTGGCTCTCGTCAACGTCTAAAATATCACGGCTTTCACCTCCTCCACCTACCCGACCTCCCCGTAAAACTCTCCGAACCCATAACCAATTTAGGCGTCAGGTTCAACCCCCAATTATCCTTCCTTCCCCACATCCAGTCCCTCACCAGCACCACTTTCTTCCACCTCCAATGCATCGCCCGTCTCTGCCAATACCTCTCCCCAAAAGCCGCTGAAACCCTGGTACATGCTTTTGTCACCTCTCGGTTGGACTACTCTAATGCCCTCCTCGCCGGTTTCCCATCCATTACCATCCATAAAATCCAACTCATTAAGAACTCTGCCGCCCGCATTCTCACCCGTACGAAAATCCGCTCCCCGATCACCCCAGTCCTTGCCAGACTGCACTGGCTGCCTATCCCAGAGAGGATCGATTTCAAGATCCTCACCCTTGTATTCAAGTCTCTGCACTCTTCTGCACCCCCCTACCTCTCTGACCTCCTCTCTCCTCAAAACAGTACCCGTTGCCTGCGTTCCTCCGGGTCTGGTCTCCTCCTCCTCCCCCAAGTCCTCCGCTCCACCCTCGGCAGCAGTGCCTTCAGCCACTATGCCCTGAGGCTCTGGAACTGCCTTCCTCACTCCCTTCGTCTCGCTCCCTTCCTTCCCATTTTGAGGTCTCTGGTGAAGCCCTTTCTTTTCGACCGGGCCTTTGGTCACCTTCCTCTCCCTCCCCCTCCCCCGGTCCCGGGATCCATTACTGTAAAGTGCTCTGAGACGCCGTCCGGCATGGAGTGCACCATATAAATTCAAGTTGTTGTTGTTGTTGTACAATGTCAAAAGTGGCTGCGAAGAGAATTAATTGCCCTCATATGCCACCACTTTATCAATGTAACCAAATAACCAAAGCTCTTCTCCACAAGCCCCTGTTCATCCTTGGGGAAAACAATTCTTCACGGAGCATGAAAAAGGCACACAATTTAACTCAACAGGTGGGAAGTCATCTAAAGTGGTCAACCATTGGAATACGAGGGACTAGAGACACAATGGGACCAATTGGTACTTCAGATGATGTTACCAATCATTCCCATCCTTGCCAGGCCTCATCCCCCAGAGGATTGAGTTCAAGATCCATGTCCTCATCTATAAAGCTCTCCATGGTTTTGCTGCTCCCTACCTCTGTCACCTCTAAAACTGTGCCTTCAGTCATTTCTCATATGAATAATGGCCACTTTAGGTGAGGTATTGGAGGGTAACTTCTCTCTGCAGAACTGTTGCCCATTAGTTAGTTCTGGGTAATGAAGTGGAGCGAGAATGTGACGTAACATTAGGGAAATGGTGACCACAATACAATTGGGTTCAGGATGAGAATGGATAATGAAAAGAGCTGGTGGCAGAGATATTTCACTGAGAAAAAAAAGCAAAATGCAGCAAGGCAAAAATGGACCCTATCTGGATTCACTGTTAAAAAATTGGCAAATGGAAATGCAGATTAGCAAGAGCGAATACTTAAAAACAGGAGGGGGAAGGAGCGAACATGTTAATATTCAAGTAAGTTGAAAAGGGAGGATGTCAATGCCTAAGGTGTCATGGATTGATAATAACAATAACTCTTGCATTTGATATATTGCTTTATTCCATCATCAAATGTCTCAAAGCGCTTCACAGGATTTTACTGTGAAGGGTAATGGCCCGTGGATTTCCAGGCTAAATAGGGAGATTAAAAAAAAGCATTTAGCACTTGAAGGAAGGATAATATGAAAGAAAGTCAAGAGAGGTGCAAAGCATATAGAAAAGGTGCAAAGAGGGAGATTAGAAAAGTTAAGCACAGGGAAAAATGAAAAAGTAACATTTAGTGAAAGGACAGTCACAGTGAAGGTTTTGCCTCAAGGAGATGATGAAAGCAAGCTGGTAGTGAAGAGTGAGAGAATGGCAGATATTAAATAAGTACTGAGCCTCATTTTTCACAGAGAAGATAAATATTAGTCATGTGGAATTACAAGGGATGGGTGTAGAACAGCTGGTGGAGATTATTATTCAAAGAGAAATGATGCTAAAAAAGTGATTCACACTTAAGATAGACTATTCACGGGGAGTCATGGTGGTTCATGTCAAACATGTGAGTGAAGTTAGTGAAACCCCTAACTATAATTTTCCAAAATTCTGTGGCAAGGAAAGTTTGTGCGAAAGGGCTGGAGGTTGGCTAACCTAACATGACCACTCTCTCTTCAAAAGGCATAAATCAGGAAACTACAAATCAGTTAGTCTTACTTCAGATTGTTTTTAGAAGAGAATTCAATAGATGCTTGAAAAAAAACAGAATTTTAAGATATGTGGTGAGAGAGCAGCAGAGTGGGATGAGATTTGGTGGCTCATGCAGAGAAAATCACCAGTGCAGACCTAATGGGCCAAATGGCCTGTTTCCCTGCTGTGACATGCAGTGATTCTATAAGCAAAACAAGGTCAAGTGGCTTCAAGAGAGGAGTGGGTGCGAGAATACTCAAGAAGAGGCATGCAAGTCAAATGACATTTAAAAAGAAACTAAATTTCTCTTTTGGAACTCGCTCCCAAGCAGGTGTTTTAAACCAGATTCAATTCCTGCTTGTATTTTGACTGGTTCTCTCCTTCACGCTTGGAAACAACTGGCAACATAGCACACAGACAACTGTGTGGCAACTGATACCACTCCCCGCTCCTCTGACAGCGAGGCTGATTGATGTGGGATGAGATGGATGAAACGTCAGGACGTTCCACTGCGTTGCCCTATCTCTGCGGTCCTGAAACTCATCATCCGTGTGTTTCAGATACCCCCAGGACTTGAATCCATAACTATTGGCAAGCAGTGTGGCAGGAGTGTTACAGCTTTGAGGTTATCTGGTCAGAATGATGTTGTATTTTTCTTCCTCATCTCTTTAAGGTGCTCTCAATTAAGTTAAGAACAGTGACTCGTTTCCCCCAAACTACTTTCATTGAAAACGAAGCTTCAGCCCAGCTAAAAACAAAGATCGATGGTTATAGAACAAAAACAAGAGCCATCGGTGAAAGGATTAATTAGGCCCAACTGGTAACCAGTCTGCAATTTGCTTCAAAACATGATAACAAACTCCACTTTCCGAGTCCATTGTCTGAAGAGAGCCTCTTGCTAGTATGGATTAAGCTAGGACCACAGATACCTGCAGGGCAATGTCAATAGCCTGCAGCACAGCAGATCAGAAGCAACCAGCAACTACATCTAGCATCAACGAGCAGGTGTATTGTCTTTTTTCCCTTCCTGCCTTGTCCTGTTCTTCAATGATACTTCTTAAACCTCAGGTAAGTGCGGATAAACAGAGTCTGTAAACGTTTGACAAGAGAAATGGTGCCGATGGTACTTTCTCAGAAACGGGATAAAAGTGGCAAAGACAAACCTGGAGTACTTGCAATAAAACCGTCCAACATCTCACCTGGGGTCTGGAAATTGAGACGTCTCAGCTCGACTGGGTCTGTGGGATGATGTGAAGGTAATTCCTTGCTGTTTGGTATGCTGCTTTTTCTCGAGTCAGACTCTGTCCGTTTCCTACAAAGGCCAACCAGGCTATCGTTAGCAGTGCAAACACATGTTCAATCTTTCTCACTTAAAACAACTCAGAAGAACATTTCATCCGGATGTATCAATTCCTGGAAAAATCTCCCTGCAACCCATGAAATCCACAGAAATTGAATGGCTAGTGCATGCTACAAAGTTACTGCAGAAACATTTGATAAACTTATTTCCAGTTTCTGCACTTTGCTGCATTAGCAGTGCCGTTTTTCTCAAATGAAACAATTACAATCTCTTGGGGGTATTTTCCCTTGTGGGCTCAATCGTTTTCCTTCCATGTCCAATGGAGCTTGCAAATATACAGAAGGTACATTAAATTACATTCCTTGGTCAGTCTATTGACGGATTCCTTGCTTCCTCCTTGCATTACCACTGAGACAGGCACCTGGGGATGTATTAAAGTACCTGGTCATGGTTTTGCCCATTCTTATTAAAATCACAATTGAAAGCGAGAGAAAAAGAAATTCTGTCAAATTTGCAAACAGACTCCCCTCGCCTGATAACTTTAATTGGATAACAGTGATATTAGGCAGCAATAATCACTTAATATCAATGCCATTCCTTTTCAGACGTGAATGTGAACTAAGTGTTCACAGCTGAGAGATTGTAACACATTAGCTTTAACTCTCTGGTCGCACGGCTCCGATTCACGGTCAGAAGTTACTGACAAACTCCAGGCTTCTGGCAGTGATGGAAATCTCTTTCAACACTAGTTCAGGATATTCCAGCAGAAAAAGCAGTACAGCTTGCAGGCTGGCCCCACGACACTGCTGGCTCAATATAAGGGCTTGTTTCTGTCAAAGCACCCCCCTTAGTTTATTCAGCATGTATACAGATTGCGCTGTAGAGCAGGAGAAATATTCATAGTTACTGCTTGCTTCATGTTCGTGGGACACTAATGGCATAATTATCCAGGTACTAAGTACTCATTATCACATTACAAAAGTCTGAAGGGTAAAACAAGAGCCCCCAAAGGTCAAACATCAACATCCTTTTCCCCGTGTCTCAGGACGGTGCTGGACACCCTCGCCCCTCCCTCCTCTCCCCCCAAGGCAGATCCACATTGCTTACCTGTCAGGTTTGCTATCCCATTGAAAGACAAAGGAAAAAGAAAAAGATCAGTGTGTTAGCTGCCCTTTGAAGAGAACAGTTGCCATGGAAACATAGTTATTTAACCACGGATGGCTCCCTGGCAGGGAACATGTTACTTAACATGCAAATTGAGAACTGACAGTTCATCAGTGCAGTTAATGCCTTCTAATAGCAATATAATAGAGGGCTAAAGGTCAGGACAAAACAACAGGAATACGCGTGCTTTAACAGAAATACATTTTGCTTCTTATGTCACATTCATTTATGACCAGAGAAGACTGAAATGCCGCACTTAATCACCGCCGTAGCAGAGGTGGCGGTGGCACCGTTTGGTATTGTTAAACGTCCAGCAATTATCAGCCTCCGAGCAAATTCACCGTGTCAACTGAAGCAATTGCTCGTCTTCACAAGGTGCTCGTGCCACTTTCACAACCAACGGAACAGATGTCCCTATGTTTATGGCACATCAGAAAACACTTGTTTTTTTAAGCACAACACAAATACGAGCTGCCTGATGATCCACAGGACTGCCAATGAGTGAGGAAACAACGGCTGCCGAGGGAACTTGGAGCCCGACATTCTGAAACCCGTCCATAGGCGCTCCCAAACACAGCATGTCTCCACTGCGGAGACAGTGACGCTCAGACCATCTTGGCTAACATAGGCAGCCAGATGAAAAGTTCAGTTCCCGACTAGGGATCAGGTAAGAGGCAGGGACTTTAGGTTGACAGCAAACTGCTTCAGTTTTTCTTTCAATTGTAACACACAGCTGCATGGCTGACTGAAACTATGGGGTCTAAATGCGTGAGATTTGCACAGGAAGCAGTCAACAACAGATGTACTTCTCTGTCCCACTGAGGATTATCACAATAGGGAATGCTTTGCTACAAATCACTATCGAGGCTGGGACCGTAACTATATTAAAATAGGAAATGGACAAACATTTTTGAATAGCTTTGATTTAAAGGAGATCATGTAAAGAGCAGGAAATTGGAGTTAAGAGGATTATGAAGAAGATAATATAAAGGGGAGTGGGAAAAGATCAGAAAAATTGTATTTGAGTAGTTAGGTCCAGTCCAGGCTTGATGGGGTGAATTACCTTTCCTCAGTTGGAATTTTTATGCTTCTAAGATAATTGCTTCCAACACCATGGATCATCAAATCCCTCACTGAGCTTGTGCTGCACTCTTGCTCAATTTCTTACCTCTTGTATAGGAGAATAGCAATGACAATGCATATGATGAACACCACAGCCAAAACAGGGCCGACCACCCATATCAACCCTTCTTCTTCATCAGAGGCAGGCTGAGGATCAAGGTCTGCGGATACCACCGTGTCAGAATAAGGACTCGTCGCATACATCATCTGGAATTAGAGCGCAAAGTTGAACTAATAAATCAACCTTTTTTTAATATATAGCTCGAAATTGAATGAATTGCAATCTTAGGAAAGAAGAATTACACTGGCTCATGGGGATGTTACATTGCGACAATGTAATACTGCCTCCGAGAGATGTTAGACCCAAGGGAGAGATATCCTTAAGTATTCTGCACGGACAATTTCTCGTTCTGTGGCAAAATGCTTATTTCAGGTGTGTTAAATAATAGTATTACAGAAGAAGCTGGTAGATGAGATACCAGATGCAATATTGCGGATGATACAGCGAGACCCATCAAATTCGCTCTTGGGACTAACCACCTCCGTCAGAAAGGCCTGGAACAGATACACTAAGTCCGTCCCCAGTTTCAGATGGTTAAATTCTAGCAGTACCCCAACACACAATGCATGGCTTTTGTTCAACTTCCACCCAAGTGCTCTCAGACGCTACCTTGTGTGGAGGGCACTATATACTTATATATAAGTTGTTGTTGTAATATTTTCTGGAATTAGTGTAAGCAGGGTGCGTCCCTCCACAAAAAGAGTGTGTAATCATTCCAGACATAGGGAAATTTTCATGCATAGGTGGCATACACATGTGGAGCTCTTAGTCTGGTTTGGATACTCTTAAGCATGGTGATGGGTTTCCACATGTCAAGACATCTGGCTGATTAAAAAAAATCTGACAATATACACCTCCCCTCCTGGGAGTAATGAAAACAAAACACAAGATGAAAAATTATCCATGGTTAATTGTTTTAAGGGAAAAAAACTATTTGCCTGGAAATTTGTTCCCTGTTCCCTGAGGGCATTTAAGCAAGCTCCAAAAAAGGAACCGAGAAACCTAAATCCCAAACTTCCCATTTGTACTTTGAAGGCAGATCTGACTGACAACCCAAAACTTATATGTGCTTTCTGTGGGGTAGGAGACAACAGATTTTACTGTGACAGAAGGATAGCAAGGGTCACCTTCAGGACCAAGCTGTTCCACAGTGGCATTCAGTAAGATCACCTGACCACCCAAGGGGTACATTTCATTTAAGCACTAAGCGTCCCAGGTGATTTTCTCTGAGTTGTCAGCAATTCCTATCTGGATGTACATGGATGGGCCCTGAAGGAGTCAAGAGGAACATTGCCTTTGTGCAATATTTTTGTAATGCCTTAACGCCGAGCAAGAGTTAATATAATTATCGTAATGTTCGCTGACTTAAGGCATTTGCTAGTTTTGCAAACACCAAATAGTTCAAACATTTCATTACAATGACTTTTAAGGCAACAGCTATCAGCGAGGGTAGCATTACAAAATACTGTCCCCATAGGCTTGCACATGTATCCACATCCTTTTAATATATTTTGTGGCACGATTAGCATCATATCACCTGAACTCTGTCCCGAAGGGAGGATTAATTCATTCCTTTTGCGTACTACATTTGAGAGCATAAAAAAACCTTAATGCAGAGAACCTGCAAGCATGGAACGGGATGCTGCAATGCTTAATTCTAAAAGCTACCTTATCATTGCACCATTGTTACATGACATTTTAATGTGTTACAAATTATACAACAAAGCTGAGCAAATTACGACAATTAGGCAATGCTTATCTTGCCTTCGCAACAAGTGTACTACATCTGCAACTAAATCAATCAATCCATGTCATAACTACCTTTATATTATATATATTTATGTATAGATTATATATATTTATGCATATATTATATATAAAGATTATACACATATTATGCATACATATATTATGCATGGCTTGTTTTGCAACCTTTAATTATTTATAGCAGGGAATAGCATTAAAGTCACCATCGATTATTTAAGCTAAAACAATACATTGGAACATATGAAATGACTGAATTGAAAGCAACTTACAGATTCCGGGCTGTCAAGCACAGCTAAGATAAAGAAAACATATTCCTGGCCACTTTGGAGTCGCCTATTCTCAAATCCACTGTAAAACTTCTGATCACCGAGGGTGAATTTTTGCGGAAGAACATCAAACAAAGCTGCAATATATGGTTTTGACAGGTCTGCGTGCCTCCGCAGACGTTGGAGGCTTCTTCGTTTCCTGGAGATTTCTTTAAGTAGCTGGAAAAGAAAGATGTATTTTCCTAAGTCATTCTTTTAATTGTAATGTGCAAAACCAAAGCCTAGAAACAAAATCAAAATCCACAATCTTAATAATAATAATAAGCTTTGCATTTGGTATAGCGCGAGGAGGAAGCCAAGAGTGCTTCTCAGGATTTACTGCCAAGTTGTGTTTTTGTAGTCAAACACGGAAGCCAATTTGCACACAAGGTCCCACAAACAGCCATGAAGTGAATGACCAATTTTATTAGAGGAATGGCTGGCCAGGACTCCAGGAGAAACTCCCTTCTCTTTTCGAATAGTGTCATTAGATCATTAATGTCCACCTGAGCAAACAAACGGGACCTTGGTATAACGTCTCATCCGACAATGCAACACAGCCCTTGCAATGGAGTGTCAGCTTAGATATTTAGGGCTTGAACTCACAACCTGCTGACTCAAGAGACGAGAGTGTTACCACTGAGCCAGACTGTCATACAGTTTTACTGTGATGCTGGTGGGAGGGGGGGGAATAGGCACTATATTTACTCTCAGGTCCAATTTAAGAGATTCCCCAAAGGATATTTAGAGGGTCCTACTAGTGCTCAGATGTGGCTGCGGCTAACCCTCCATTCACATGTTCATCTCGGGTTAGCTGCTAGATGTATCATTTTTTTTGGTCAGTTGTGTGTCTGATACATGTGGAAACCCATCATCATGCTTCAGAGTAACCAAACCAGACCGAGAGTTCTCCTTATGTATTGCACCGACAATGACAATGTCCCTGTTTCTGGAATGGAATGCACCCCCTGCTTACCTAATTCCAGAAAGCATTGGGTGCAGGTTGGCAAGATTCAAGGCTTGGGCATCCCAGAGAATGTGCTCGTCTAACATATCTGGGAACCTGAGGAATTTGCTGTTTAGTTCCAGAGAGCTGGAATGGCTGAAATCTTGCACGTGATTGTTGGGCGGAAAGGGCAGGGAACATGTAGCAGGCTGCTGATTGCTGTGCGAAGGTGGGTAGGATGGCAGGAGATCACAGAAGCCATGGAGCGATTCGAATGCAAGTCAAAAATAGTCAATCGCTGGTTAGGAGTGGGGAAATAATGTCACGTGCTGCAGTTTTCCACCCCGCGATGGGTCAACATCTCTGAATCAATCGTGTTGCAGGCAGGATTGTCCACTTCCTGAGCTGACGGAGGGTGACGAGAAGGTGGAAACAGCACTGCAGTATTGTGAGGGCCCCTTAACTTTTGCAATGTTTGCTTTTTTCCCCTCCCTGTGCAAACAACATGCAGATCTCCTCACTCTCAGCCGTCACCCACTCCTGGCTTGAATGATGGTGTGGGCGTATGTATTTTATTTAAGGACTAGAGTCCCAAAACACTTCACACAGTTGGCTGGGCACCCGAACTATGAGTGGAAGGTGAAGAAGGTGGGGATTGGGGGGAGAGGAAAGGCAAGGAAAGATGACTGAAAGTGGGATAAAAGAGTTAAGTCCTGAGGTGGGCTTTTGAAATGAGGAGAGATTGGTGAGATGCAGGGATTCCAGAATGGAGTTCCAGCAATCAGAGGCATAATAATAATAATCCTTGCATTTGATATAGCGCCTTATCACATCTTTGAGAAGTCTCAAAGCACTTCACAGAGCTAATCGACTAACAACTGGGCTCCTAATTACTGCTAGGTAAACAGAGGTGTGTGGAGTAAGGAAACTTGCCCAACATTTCGCCCTGCTGGGATTCGAGCCCAGGTCTCTCGCTTGCGCGGCGAGTGCTCTAACCACTGAGCTACAGAATATCTGAAATCTCGCCGACCAATGGTGAGGCGGTTGCCACCATTTCTCTTAATTGTCATATAATTTACACTTTAATTTTGAATTTCAGACAATGGGCTTATTCCTGAATATTTCTTCCGAAAATATAATTTTTTCCTCACGTTTATTATTGCGTGATGAACTTTGACAAATAAAGAAACAATTTTAATAAATTAGCAATTGGGGCTGTAGAGTCTGATCCACTGTCTGAAACCAGGGCACTGAGCTGTGACCTTATTGGTACCTGGTTTGGTTCCACTGGTCAGTGAGTCAGTGATCAGAAGGCACCAATTTTAAGAAAGTTAATAAATATATAAATGAGATTAGAAGAACTTTTTTCACCCACAGCGTGGTTAAGATATGAAATGTCCTGTCAGGAGCGGCGATTGAGATGGAATCCACATTAGTTTTCAAAAGGGAACCAGAAAAATACTGAAAAAGAAATAACTGACTGGGAAATGGGGAAATGACAAATGAATGGGCCTGATAAGATTATTTTTAAAAGAGCCAACATAGACCCGATGGGCCGGGTGGTCTTTCTTTCTGCTGTAAATTTCTATGTTTTGCCAACAAGGTACACAGTCACTCCACTTTATTGTAAATCCTGTGGAGTGCTTTGAGATGTCTTCCCAACATGAAAAGCGCCTATCAAATATAAGGATTATTATTACTATTATCTTCCACTCCACCTGAAGTTAGATAAGTGACTCTCAGACACGTGCAGCTTTTAAGGGTCTTATGTAGATTTAAAGGGTAAGTATAATCCACTTTAACTATCCTCTGTCACTAAATATGTACATATTTGTGTCCACTTCATAGCTCTGAAGGTTGTGGGTTCTGGCAACTCAAAGCATATAGTGGAAGGAAATAAAGAGATGCCTTGAGGAGAGGAAGAGGGAGGAGAGAAACATGGAGTAAACAGGGTATGTTTGGTTTTGAGTCGGCTCTGAGGTGACATGTCTGGCAAATGAATATCAGAATCGAATAGACACATGTACAAGCCTGAGTTTGCTGAGTGGAGGGATGAGACGGAGGAGTAGGTAAGGAGATTGAAAAGATAATAAGGTGCCAAGTGGATGGATTTCTAGAGAGGATCTTGAAGGCGTGCTGGGAGCTAGGGGAGAATGGCAAGGAATGGGGTGATGGGTGTGCAGTTTGATGCGGATGATGGTGTTTTGGATAGGCTAAAGCTTGTGAATGATGGAATTAGGGAGACCAGCAATGAGTGTATTGGAAAAGTCTAAGCAGGATGTGATAAAAACAGCAGTTCTAGTAGTTTGGTTTGGAGACCCTTAAGCATGGTGATGGATTTCCGGTTGTGTCAGACACCCTCTGTTCAAAAAAGTCTAATAAAACAAAGTCAAATTCTGGAACATGTTTTGCACACTTGACCTCAGCACTATGAACAAATGAAGGAAAAATACATTCACAGTGAAATTCTGTGAACTGAGATCAGGTTCAATTTGCCATATTTCTTAAAAGGATTCCTGAATAAGGATCCCAACAATTACAAAATGAAGGCTCCTTCCTGTTACACAGCTGAGTGAGAGCTGTACTCCATGTGATCCATTTCTGGAGCAGAGATCCGGTTGGCGGAAATTTTAACAGGCTTCTTAATTTAAGGAGCCTATTGTGAACCATCACAAATTATATGCCCTTTCCGCACGATATGTTGGAGCTAGCAGAAATATCTATTAGTTAGACTGAGTTGCTTTTCCTTCCTGTTCTAATTGTGTAATGGGGTAGCAGGTGGATGCTTACCTCCTCCAAATCCATCTCATCGGGACTCTCCCAGAGCTTAAGAAACTTTCCACGTGCTTTCTTCAAAGGCACAACTACAATATAATATCCTCTGTGAAAGAAAAGCACAATTGAGAATAAAACACATAGATTCATAGAATGTTACGGTACAGAAGGAGGCCATTCGGCCCATTGAGTTTGTGCCGGCTCTTTGAGTGTCATTCAGAACTCTGCAGCTCGTGTACTGTCCCGCACCAGGCTTCGGGACCACATCACTCCCACCCTCGCTCGCCTCCACTGGCTCCCCATCCCCCAGAGGATTGATTTCAAGATCCTCATCCTCACCTACAAGGCCATTCACGGCCTTGCTCCCTCCTACCTCTCCAACCTACTATCCCCTACCTACCTGCCCGTACCCTCCGTTCCTCTGGCTCCGGTCTGCTCCACGTCCCCCGCCCCAACCGCCCTACTATCGGTGGTCGGGCCTTCAGCCTCTCAGCCCCGAGGCTCTGGAACTCCATCCCCCAGTGCCTTCGCCTTGCTTCCTCCCTTTCCTCCTTCAAGGCCGGTCTCAAAACCTTTCTCTTTGACCGTGCCTTCAGCTCCCCTCTCGACTCTCTTCCTCCTCCTCGCTCCCTCCCTTCCCTCCCCTCACCCTGACCATTTCCCCCCTCCTCTCTCCCTCCCTTCCCTCCCCTCACCCTGACCATTTCCCCCCTGCTCGGGTCATGACCCAACTGTGCAGCGCCTTGGGACGTCCTCCTGACGTGAAAGGCGCTCTATAAATGGAATCTTGTTGTTGTTGTTGTTTGACAGAGCAAGTCACTTTCACTAACCCCAATCACCAGCTTTCTCCCCATAACCCTGCAAACCCGTCTTCCCCAGATACTTATCCAGTTCTCTCTTAAAAGCTGTTATCGAATTGGACTTCACTACCCTTTCAGGCAGATCATTCCAAATTCGAACAACTCGCTGAGTGAAAACATTTCTTCTAACCTCCCCTCTGCTTCTTTTGGTAGATATCTTAAGACTATGACCACGGGTCACAGACACACCTACCAGCGGAAACAGCTTTTCCTTATCTAGCCTGTCGAAACCTTTCATGATCTTGAAGACCTCTATCAGGTCCCCGCGTAACCTTCTCTGCTCTAATGGGAAAAGTCCTAACTTCTCCAGCCTGTCCTCATAACTAAGGTTCCCCATTCCTGGTATCATTCTCGTGAATCTCCTCTGCACCCTTTCCAGTGCCTTAATGTCCTTCCTGAAGTAAGGTGCCCAGAACTGGACGCGGTACTCCAGCTGAGGCCTAACCAGTGTTTTGCATAGAATAACCATAATCTCCCTACTCTTATACTCTATGCCCCTACTAATAAAGCTCAGTACACCAAATACCTTTTTTACTGCCTTATTTATCTGCCCCGCTACCTTTAATGATTCACTTACTTGAACACCCAGATCTTTCTGTACGTTCACCCCCCTTAAGATTGAGCTACCAAGTCTATATTGTCTTCTATCATTTTTCCTACCTAAGTGTATCACCTCACACCTAGGTAGGAAACACCCTGCACATGTTGCTCTCATCTAACTAAACGGGTTTCTGTCTTGAGAGAAGTCCAATATAAATGACCAACATGAGTCACACATCCAGCCTTGCATACAGAATGCCGTGGCTCTGAATAAACATCTCCTTTGTGCTAGCTGGCATTATATAATGTCCTCCCAGCTCATCACAATCCTGGCTAACAAGCAAATCTAGTTCAATGTCCGCAAGTCAGCAACAAGGACTTGATTCAGTTAGCCTCTTTCACATAAGACAAAGTTTCAAAGTACTTCACAAAATGAGATGTAGTCAAGTGAGGTTTACACATTGCATCAAAGGAGGTAATTGGATTTCTCTGTACTATTGAAACATAAACGGAGCTGCAGGTGAACAACAAATCAGAGGCTCAAAATCCCAATGGAAGACGTTGAAAGTTACTATCAGTTTAGATATTTTTTGTGTAGCTTCAGTTGTGCCCAAAATTCAAGGTGTGAATTTTCCCTAGAATTGGGCAGCAAGTGGGAAGACAATTGCAGTCTGGCATGTGGGACCCTCTAACAGCAGAGAATGAGATTAAGGAGTTCCCATCCTTGCTCAGCTTCACTGGATCTTCATCCTCCAAAGGACTGAATTCAAGATTATTATTCTCATCTTTAAATCCCTCCATGGTCTCTCCCCACTCTACCTCCATGACCTCCTACAACCCTATCAACTCCCAGCTCCCTTTGCTCAGCAAACCCTGGCCTGCTTCATGGTGAGTTAGCAACAACGAAAGGGCAGGAGCTAACCAAAGCTGGAACAGAGACAATTCAACTCAAGCCAAAAGGGTATGACCTTAGTTGTGTCTTGTTGCGATTAGAACCAAAGACATTTGGGAATGTCTCCTTTACAGCACATATTGCGTCACTTGTTAGAAGTCCCACACAGTAGCTTAGGGTATTATACATGACTATGAAAGTGCTGACATAATTCATGGGGTCAAAAGTACTTTATGAAACATGGGAAAATAAATGATGCTATGTTAAAGATGCTAAGCTGCACCTAAAATATTTAGTGAAAATTACAGATTTTTTTATTAGAAGTATAGATTTAGCAAGCATAAAAATCAAATAAGATAGGTTTCAAAACATGTTCCTTTTTACTATAAGGTTCTTGCACTTTAAAGAAGGTGGTTACAAAGACCTTAGCGTTGTCTATTAAAAGAGTATAATGCCAATATTAAGATTTGATCCCATAGCTGTACATTAATAACAAAACACAACCAAGTGTGCAGATATTAATCAAATACTCATCGATATACATATATATATGTAGCAAAGCAAATATATACATATATAAAAACATGCCCCAGTAGATGACCACAAACATTTATAATTTGAAATTAATGGCACCCTTAAGACTCAGTGTCATCCTCAGTTACACATAGATGATTCTATTGATCTGGTATTGAGTAGAATACAAACTTCAAAAAAAGATTGGAAGGGTTAAAACATACCTATCTGGATGGGACAGTTGAAGGGAACCTGATAGAGTTGTTTACAATTATCAAAGGATTCATTAGGTGGACGCTGCCAAGTGTTTCCACCTTTCCACCTTGTTGGAAAGTCCAAAAAGATGGGACATAAGTATAGGACAGGAAATAGTAGATGTAAAAGGAAATTTAAGAGAAACTTGTTCACAGAGAGGGTGGTCAGAATGTGGAACTCACTGCTGGATTTAAAAAGAAACTTGATGTATACATGAGGGATAAGGGAATAGAAGGGGCATAGGAAAGGAGATTGGAAGCTTATGTGTAGTATAAACACTGGCAAGTTGGGCAAAATGGCCTGTTTCCATCTTTCAATTGACATTCTTGTCCAGCTTCATTTTGTAAGGTGGACACTGAGAATCTTGGGAATGCCTGTGTCCTCGCACTTCTGCCAAGAATATGATCATGAATAACAAAGCCTTCTCCAAAACCTTTTCCTCATCTTCTTCATTTAGTGGTTGAGTTTCCCCTCTGGAACTCCCTCAATCAATCCTCCTTGCCCCATCTTCAAATTGTATAGCGCCTTTCATGTTATAAGGACGTTCCAAGGCACTGAATGTCAACCTAACTCCTACATGACTCCTAACTCACTCCTCTCGACTCTCTACCCCCTCCTCGCTCCCTCCCTTTCCTCCCCTCCACCTGACCATTACCCCTCTGCTCGGGTCCCGACCCAACTGTCCAGTGCCTTGGGACGTCCTCCCGACGTGAAAGGCGCTCTATAAATGAAATATTGTTGTTGTTGCTGTTGATGAGGCATGACATCTCTCTCAAGGATAGGGTTGAACACAAATATCTACCCTTATGTTTTCAGTGGCCCAAGACGCTGTCTCATGTGAAGGACCCTATATAAATGCAAGTCTTTGTTGTTGTCTCCAAACACCTAGGCTTGAGGTAAGTAGATACCCGTGAGTAAATATCTTTTGTGTAAAAGAAGCATGAATAATGGTTGAAATCCGGAAAAAGTTAAAATGAAGGACATTTCACTGAAAGAGCACCCACCCTTTCCTATCTTGCCTCCCATTTTGCTACAATGGTTACCCCAGCAATACCCTCTCGACGTGTTCATTCTAGAATATGAGTCGTATATCAGCACTGGTGATAAAACACTAAGAAACAAGGGAATTTAAATTGGAAAACAACAAAATTCTCAGTTGTGTGTATTTATTTAGACATAGAAGGATGTTCTGTCCCCATGCGCTTCTCCTCTCCACACCATCATTTACTCACTTGTCTGGTGTAGTCAGTGATTGTCACGTGTGAGATTTGCCAAAGAAATATCGGTTACTGCAAAAGCAAAGGATTTTTCTGCCCAAGGGCCATAATTAAACGTACAATATCATGGAAATCCACTTTGAATCCTATAATGCATTGCCATCTGTGGGCCTATTGATTTTATTTAGTTACATTTCAACTTGTAAAATATCGGAAAGCACGCCTCCTATTTTATCTTGCCAACAACAGGAATATACTGGCGCAGAGCGATGTACAGTTGCAGAGGAATAGGGCTCTCAATACTGAGGTAAAAGTAGCCTTGAGTGTTCCCATTTCTGTCAACAACAGCGATTCTAACTGATGGAGAAAAATTAGGTGGTGGATCAGTAGCTGCAACTAGATTTAGCCTCTGTGTCGCTTTCATCACATCCCAGCTTGACTACCCTCTTGCTCCCCTCAATGCTTTCCCCAGCACTTCCCTCCACAAGCTGCAGACTATCCAGAACTCTGCAGCCCATGTCCTCTCCTGTACCAGGCTCTGCGGGCCTATCACCCCCATCCTTACTGGATCTTCATCCTCCCAAAGGATTAAATTCAAAATCCTTAGTCACATCTTTAAATCCCTCTATGGTCTCTCCCCACCCAACTTTCATGATCTCCTTCAACCCAACCACCCCCTTGCTCCCATTGCGAACACAGGCCTGCTTCAGGTCCCCTGTCCTATCCACCCTACAATCGATGTGCAAGCTTTCAGCCAATTGATCTGTGCTCTCTGGAACTCCATTCTGTATTCTCTCCGACTCGCTCCTTCCCTCCCTCCTCTTGTTCAAGGCCCACCTCAAGACACACCTCTTTGACAGTACTTTCAGTAATTTTTTCCCTCCCCAACCCTCTTTGTCTCCCAGCCCCAGATCGGGTGCCCAGCGAACGGTGGAAAGCGCCTTGGCACTTCCTCCTGACGTGAAAGACGCTACATAAATGTAAATTGTATTGCATAAACTCCACACAACCTACGCTGGAGAAAGAGGCAAAATTAACAGCAGTTCAGATTTACTACTGTGCCTAATTGAGGTTACTCCTAGAGCCAGAATTCCCATCAGTTATAAGCAATAGGAAAACTCCAGGGGCAAGACCACTTCCATTTTTGATTGAAAAAAATAAATTAAAAATACCCACAAGAAAAAATTATCCACAGATATGATGAATAACCTGTAAAATAACCTCAGCTTGTTTAAAAAAACACACGTGAGATGAAGGTACAATCGCAGGGATCGCTAAGCGATTGCTTACTTCACTGCGGCTTGTGTAGGTGGCACTGCGGTCAGCTCCACAGTCAGCATTCCATCCAAATTGGTTTTCTCAATGAAGACGGGCTTGGTGCGGAGCATATCTGGCGCGGTGTGCGCTGAGACCACTTGTTGTAGTCCACCTGCACTATTCCCTCGATTAGTCAAGACAAATGAGTACGATGTGTCCGGTCTCAAGTTGGTGATCAGCTTCTGCGTGGCTCTCCCATCCACTTCAATGTGGTCATTATTATAGATGATCTATAACACCGTGTGAAAAATAAACTTCTATTAGTTTACTGTAACTTACAGATGACATAATTATTTCAATCTTTACTGATAGTTTATTGATATGTTCTTAATTTCAGACTCTGTCAAAGTTTGATTTTGTAGCTATGAATCATTTTATGGCAAAGATTCTAGCAAAATTTAGCCCTGAGCTATCTTTGATTCAACGATATTTGTTGTTTGTCAGGCTGAGACATTGAACTCGCAGTATCTGGGGGAATGAATTAATTATAAATGGGAGTTTTTTGAGCCTGAGACGGAGTGTGGAAGGCAGGTTTTATCACAACAGTTTGTACTGCAGAAACCACTGGCAGAAAGTAGAAAGAACTGGGTGGTGGTGGGGTAGTATGTATGAATTGACAGAGAAAATAGTGAGCAGCAGCAACTTGATGAGTAAGAAAAGCAGTTTCTTGAAAAGCTTCATTAAGCATCAAGATCACATACACATTTCTGAGAGAGCATTTCAGTAAATGAGAGTATAAGTACACGGTGTGTATAGTGCGTGTGGCTGCAGACATTTCTCACAGCTCATTTGACAGAAGGGTTGTACTGGGTGGGTGGGGGCTGGAGAACAGCTCATTTATTTCGACCTTTCCTCTAACAAAAAAAAGTCAGAAGCATTGCCTGGTGAATTTAGCAGGGAAAACATTGGGAGTCGATTCCTCAGAATGCACTCCAAAAACATTCGGTGAGAGCAAAGGCAATAAATAGATTCATGTGAACACGGGTTTACAAATGAGCTCAGATCTATACAATGTGGAACAGGTCTGTGCTATGGAATCTAGTGGATATCATATACCTGACTTACAGAGAGAATAATGAATAATGTGAAAGCTAGTGGGATCAAGAAAGGAGCTGCAAAATGGATAATGAATCGCCTTGTTAACAGGAAGCGGTGATAGCTATCATGATAAAAGTTCATCATGGACATTTCTGGCTAGCTAGGATCCCATGGGATAAATCCTTCAGAAACCAGCTCTCCATATTTCTCACTGGCTTTTGATAAAAGTATCGAGGTACAATGTCTGCATTTGGAGGTGAAACTGAGATGCAAAGTGTTGCTCCAATAAGTATGAGGTTCAGCAAAATCTGCAGTGAAGACGATTCAAAGGGAATCAATGATGTTAGGAGAATAGAAATATACAGGAAACTTATATGAAAAGAGTGCTGAGCTGCATCAGGCTGGTCTATCCCACAGTATGATAAATGAGGGAAGAGGCATGAGTTAGTTTATAAGATGTATGCCTCACACCTCTCAATCAATTTGTTTGCCAAATAGCTCTCTAATTCCCTCTTGAATTTGCTGACCTAGTTTGCCTCCACCGACTATCCAGTAATCTATTTCACAGGTTCTTCAAGTCTTTGTTAAATGATTAAATCTGTACTGCCTGTTTACCTTCCCTCTTCCAGACTTTGGCCAGGATTTATAGGTTTTGTTTATTTAAAGCTCTTTAGGATCTTGAACATTCAACAAGATCTTCCCTGAGCTTTCTCTTCTTTAGTGTGAACTTTCCCAATCTCTGTAGCCTCTCATCTCAACTCAGATGCTATATTCCAGCTGTCAAGATAATTATCCTTCACCTTATACCCTCCAATGTCAAGATGCCCTTACTGTAATAGCATGACTATAATTCCACGTGTTACTAAAGGTAGGGTTGGGCTTAATGCTTTGTCTCACCTCCTCTGACTTATGATCCATCCTTTGAGTTATATACCACAAACTGTTGAAGCATCTATCGAGGAAATGCAAGGCTTCTAATTCAGTAAACAATAATTCAGGCCTGTAAGTCAGATTGTAGATGAAAATAGTCTGTACAGTTTTGATGAAAGACCTAAAAGATGGGATGAGCCTGGATGGGCTAAAGAGCCTTTTGTGATCTTACCTTCTTATGAAGGTTTGTAATGTGCTATTTTCAACAAGATTCATGAATAATAGCTCCTGCCAGTTAACAGGAAGTACCTCATCCTGAACGACGGGAAGTTTACTGTGACGTGACGGAGAGACAAATGGGAAGTCCAGAGCGGCATTCCTGTCAGTCGGCACAACACAATTCCGGATACAGAGAGGTGCTTCTATTTGCGATTTGGTCACTATTTGTAAATCCTATCACTAATATCATAATAATAATCCTTTGAGATTTTCTCCCAACTTGAAAGGCATTATACCAAATATAAGGATTATTATTAAATATTATGATAAAGAGGCAGCACTGATTTAGGAGTCTCATACCTGATTGTTATTTTCTTGATGTTATTTAAATGGACAGTTAACTAATGGAATAGGAGCAGTCTGCTATTACACTTAAAAGCCTTGTGGGGCTCACAAATTATGCTACTTCCAACAGAGAGGGTTATACTTGTGTCTGCAAACTTCAACTGATTTCATATCTCAACTTTGATTGACACAAGATATACTTGTCAGTTTGTCAACAGAACCCAGACTGACAGCATTGGTGTAGTTTGTGCTTGGTAATTTGTTAAAATGCCAGGTTAAACACGTCAAAGTAACCACCAGCAGCATGCTATCAATCACTGAGCAAACAAATAAAGTCACCTTTGGTGAACTGGCGGAAGCCTGTTTCGCTCTTTCAGTTAACCTTGCGTCCCACTGCACTATTAAATCAGTAATTTAACAGAGGTCCACGTTTGTTACCATGAATAATAGGTCTGTGCTTGAGAAAGGTTAGGAGAACAGTGGAGAGACTCTACTGCAGTTTTATAACTTTAAGGCAGTTTCAATCATGTTTCAAATACAACCAGCGTCACAGTCAGCATCGATCAGCATTTTGCATTGACAACTCACTTTGAAAGGAATGGCAGTGTTATAGTTCTCGGGAATCTCCCACGTCAACAGTACGGAAGTCTTCATTAGAGCTTTTACATGGAAATTTTTTGCAAACACTGCTGAAAGAAGGAAGTAGGAGGTCAATTTAGATGGGACTGTTTTGACTTCTTGTTTGAGGCCTATCGACACAGTTATCAGACAGTGTTTAACAGTATCATTGGAAGTCACACCTCCTACCTGCATTATACACAACCCAATATCAACTTGAACTTGCATTTAAGTCTTAGTAACTGAAACTTACCTTTATTGTCACGATGGCTTAGGGAGCCTCAACGGTTTGCATATACTGAGTAGTCCCCATTCTACATTAAGTACTTTACCTTTCGCGTTGTAGGATGCAGTGAGATCTAAAGTAAAAACCCAACTCTCTAATATTGTCATCCACCTGCATCTAGCAGCACACAAATAGACAAATCCTACCTGGATCCTGTGGCAGTGTCCGGAATTGAACACTAGGACTATATGGACCGGGACCTTTACTTGTATGAGCTTGAACTTTGATATCATATGTGGTGTCTGGAATTAGATTGGAGAGCATCAGCTTTGTGTCAGGAGAAGCCACGGAGAGCTCTATTGGGTTATTTGGGCTGTTGATATCTCTGTACAGAACGGTATATTTGGTAATAATGCCATTGCGTTCTGCTAAGACCGGTGGCTGCCAGCTCAGCTCAATATTTCTTGCTGTGGTGCTGTCAGCCCGTGGGTTTTGGGGGAATCCACTTGGCTTATCTTCGAGTATTGTGATTTCTTTCACAATCTCTTCTCCAAAGCCAACTCGGTTTTTTGCGGAGAGTTTGAAGACATAAGAGGTGCCCTTGTGGATGTCAGTGGCTGTATAATGGTCGTCATTCTTTGAAAATTCCAGCGTTGTTAAAAGTTCAGCGTCTTTGCGTCCGAATTTTAAACGATAGCCCAGAAGTGGTCCGAAGGTCTCCACGGGAGGGTGCCACTGAATCAGGGCGGTGTTCATCTGTGTGTGACTAACCAGCAGACGAGGTCTTCCAGGAACTGTTACAGTAAATGAAAACATGAATTAGAATGGGCTCATTATCGTGCTCTGTAACATACACACACAAACAAGAAACACAATGTGGTGAAAAGTGCCACAGTTGATGTGTTGCTTCTCGTCCAGTGATGTTATCACATTATTGGAAACTGCTCCTGCCAATTGCAAAATAAATTGGAGAGTAACAACACAACCCTGTCTTAAAATCCTAGCGAAATTCCATAGGCTTTTGCTTTGGGTAAACATTTACAATAATACTTACATTTGGTGTAGTGCCTTTCACAATGGGAAGACGTCTCAAAGCGCTTCGCAGAATTTACTATGAAGAGGAGTGACTGTTTTTGTAGGCAAACGCTACCAAATTACCGCTATAAAAATCAGTCCTCATCAAATGTGCTCCGAGACACTGCATTGGGTAAAGGGCACAATATAAATGCGAATTGTTGTTGACGTTGTTCTTTTTCTCTGTTGTTCTGGAGGGTTTTAGCACTAGTGCTGAGCTACCTGGTACTTATTGGTGTAAAAGGTTACTGTAGAAGTACAATCATGGCAGATTGCACAGTTGTAGAATAGGGATACCTTACGTTTTTATTCGGTCTTCAACCACAAATATCTAACTCTTGGACAAAACTCATTCATCTTTGCAGTTTGGAGGTGGAGCTCCTCTTATCAGATTTTTCTCTGTAGTTAGCACAGTCTCTTCCCGGTCACAACCCTTTGGGATGGGGGAGTCATACCTTCCACTCCATGCTGCTGATGATAAGTTGATTTATGACAAGATACCAGTTCACAGTTGTTAGTCATTCAGGAGGGGAAGGATGTGGTGCCTTTCTCCCTTTCTCTTCAAACTCCCAACTTCTGAAAGAAGCTACTTTGAAGTTCAGCAACAAATACAGTCACTACACTTTACAGTAAATCTTCTGAAGCGCTTTAAAATGTCTTCCTGACATATCAAATGGAAGGATTGTTATTATTATTGGGACGTCCTCCTGACGTAAAAGGCGCTATACAAATGTAATTTTTTGCTTGTTATTATTCTGATTATTATTCTTACGTTATTACAGTTTAAATTATTCAGTAGAGTTTCTAAGTGGCTTCCAGTACTGAAAAAATTACATTAGAAATTTACATTATTATTATTTACATAACAAGCCGTCACAATATCTAACTACTGATTTTTGCACATATAAGAACAAGATTAATAGAAACACGCACACACGCGTGCGTGTTTCTATTAATCTTGTTTATATAATATAAATAAATAATAATATGTGCAAAAATCAGTATAAACTGGGTTTCAAGTCCTACCAAAAGTGATCAGAACTATATCAAATGAAATGCTTATTGATTATTATGATCTTTATCAAAGCTGCATTTAGGAAACTTTAGCTTGTCTTTTCTCTTCTAACACAATGCAGTTCTTCAATTTTTATTGTCAGCCAGGTGTCTGACACTTGTGGAAAACCCTCACCATGCTTAAGAGTATCCAAACCAAACTGAGTTCTATGCATCCCACCTGCACATGGAAATTCTAGAGATATTTATTGGAATGCGTTGATTCCCTGCTCCCAGTGACTGATCTGCCTTTCCAGGTCCTGCCGATGAGCCACGCTGGCTTTGGTGTCATTAGCAGTGCCCTGGAATACATCTGGTTCAGGAATCGGACTATAGAGACCGCCACAGAGGGCTGACCGGTTCTGACATTGGAGCCAGTTCGGCTTGAAGGAAACTCTGCGTTCCTCCCCGCAAGGAGTGAATAACAAATCAATGAATATTTCTGGATTGGTGGTCTTCCTGCTAGAAACATTACAAGGGTTTTTGGATTTCATCAGCAGGTTGAGAACTTCCTTCGAAATAAAAATAATACTGATATTCCTTGCATTTGATATACACCTTTCAAGTTTCAGGAAGGGAAAATCAGTTAAGGTTTCCATTCCTAAAAGTTATCCAAAGAGACCTGCCTTAAAGTGCAGATGTGACTAGAGGACATCAATTTAAAATTGTTAGCAAATCAGCAAATGGTACGGTTAAGAGAAATGTTTCACACACATGGGGTAATTAGGATATGGAATGCTCTGCCTGAAGCAGCGGTTGACACAGGAATCCATATTAGCTTCAAAAGTGGTTGAGATAAATTTCTTAAAAAGGAGTAAACTACAAGGGGTAGGGGAAAAGGACATGTAAATGGAACTAAAAGGATTGCACTTTAAAAGAGTCAGCAGAGACACAATGGGCCAAATGGCCTTCTTCTGTGCTGCAAATTTATACAGATGTCAGAAAAGGAAATGATCAGCTTTTATTGTGATGCTACTCGGATCAAGCTCACCCACCTCTCTTGTATATGAGCAACGGACATTTGATTGTATTTTGTGGGTGAAATGCGGCAGCCAATTGCACACAGCAGTGACCCACAAACAGCCAGAAAGTGAATCAATCTGGAAATTTGGATTCTAGTGATAATATGGAGAGATGTAAATCGAGTTTCCACAAAAAAATCAGTCTACAAGCAGGAATATTGCTGAAAGGTAGTCAATTACAACACCATGTACCTGTCACACCAGTCAGCAAGGAAGCTGTAATTAAACGAAGGGCTGACACGATGTCAAATTCAAAGCACAGTGTTTGAATAGTTGGGCATGTCATTTGACATTGAGAAAATGGCAGATCAAGTCTCATAATACTCTAATGTATTCTGATTAAACTCTATACATTTAGGTGAAATGTGTGACCTTTCAGAATGTGTCAGAGATGGTGTGGCATTGCAGATGCCTTGTTCAACGCCCCGCTCCACCCTTCAAACCTAACGTCCACTAGGCTCTCACTCCTCTCTAAAACATTGTCCACCTCTGTCAATACCTCCTCCCATTTAAGTTTATGCAAATTTGCTATTTTTCTAAATGTACCTCTAACACATGTCCCCTCTTCCCTGACTTACAGGTCTCATTAGATTGCATATATTCAAAAATAATAATAATTTGGTCACTCAATCCAAGACTGTTTGTGGGACCCTGCTGTGCACAATTGGCTGCCTCGTTTCGCCCACAAAATATATGGTTAACCCACTTTACAGTACCTTTTGTGAAGTGCTTTGAGACCGCTAGAAGATGAGATAAGGCGCTACATCAAATGCAAGGATTATTATTATTATTATATTCGATAACAATCCTCCATCTCCAGTACATCATTGTTTTCTAGGCTTGATATGGGAGTAATTCATGTGCTCCCCAGTCCAGAACTAACTGTAAGAAAACATTGGGCTTCGGCCCAGGATGGTATAAAACTTATTTCTGGGATAAGGAGAGTGGAGATTTCTCTCCTGTTGGACTAATCAGCCACTCCTCTCCACCATCAGTGGCCGTGCATGCTTCCAGCCACTACGCCCCAAACTTCTGGAACTCACTGCCTTAATTCCTCTGCTTTCCCATCTTCATCTCACCTTTCTCTCCAGCTCGGCGTCAAACTACACTACCGTTAAGTGCTCTGAGACGCTACCCCCCAAGTTGATGTTGTTGTTGATCAAGTCAAGAAAACAAACAAGAAACAGTTTCATATGATTTTTTTTCCAAGGTAATTTTTTAGTCTCTAGAGTGACTAAAGTGTCCCCAGCGACTACAAAAACAACAACAAAATTACATTTGTATAGCGCCTATCACATCGGGAGGACATCCCAACTAAAAATTACATTAGAAAACAAATCAAAAGATTCAAAGAAAAACTAGGGCCAGATGATATAAGCTGGAAGAAGACGCTGTTCTTTCGGTAGAAGGGTGTGCCGCCTTCTAGTAGTTATTGAATGACCCTCAATCAAAAACAATGAGTTCGATGAGTGATTTCCATTGAGATTCACAGTATTAATTTGCCACCTGTCTCTATTCACACATAATTTTTATCAACATGAGGAAAATCGTCTTTCATGCCTGAGGGAACCTTCTCCGTAACTTGAAAGCACAATAAAACATTTACCCCACCCTGCTACCCTCCCAGCAAGAAGTTCAACTGAAGTGCAATGACACCCTCAGCTCATGGCTTCAATACTCCTCAAAATAATGATGATTGATTTGGCTAATGTTCTATCTTATCACTGGCAAAGATGTCTCAAGACTAAATCAGACTCTACCAGTATAAGAGGAATGAGCAACAACCAAACAAGGCAGGGCTCTTCAGCCTTGAAAAAGAGGCATTTTAGCATAACCTCATAGAAGTATTTCACACTTTAAGTGGGATTAAGAAAGTAGACTTGAAACAATACTTTCGGATATGCCAGGTCAGCAGAACAAGAGGGCACAAGTTCAGGGTTACAGTGGGCAATTTTAGGACAGTGACCAGTAAGTATCTCTCTTCCCAGAAGCTGATTAACATCTGGAATTAGTTATCCAAAGGTGATTGAAGCAAGACCTAATTTAAGAAACAGCTTGGTGCTCTGACAGGAGGACCCTAGGGTGGGTATTTTGGAAGGATGTGATCAAATGTGAAAGGCCTTCTTCATTTGTTTCACCCACAACAATACAGTCAATTCACTTTACAGTATATCCTGTGAAGCACTTTGAGCCATCTCAATGATATGATAAAGCTCTATGTCAAATGCAATGACTATTATTATTCATCTGAACCCCTCTTGTGATATTTACATAATTAACCAGAATGATAAGGCACTGAAACAGGCTATTTGACCCAACCAGTTTGCACCAGAGTTGTTCTGGGGGTCAAAAATGCCCCCCAGATGCTTTGAGAAGGCGATGGTGGAACGGAATGGATGCTTTGTGGGTGGCCCCGTCACCTGAAGGATTTAGTTTGAAATCTGTTGGGAATATTGCAATTTCAATCCCTTCTGTTAAAATTCTGGATTTCCTTTGGGCATAATATAACTGAACGGAAAGTAGTTGAGCTTCTGTCAAGCTGGCCTGCAAATAGGAGCAAAGGGCAATGCCAATCCACTCTTGCTTCTGTCATTTTAAAATTGGCAGCAAACAGATTTATTACCCTCACCTCCCTCTCCTCGCTTTGTTCTCCTTTCCTTGTGGATAACATTTTTTTTACTCATGGAAATGGCACACAGCAATAACAACTAAATCCAAAATATAGAAATAATAATGCGGCGGTTTCAACACATAATGATTTGAATGACATGAGGATGACTTTGTTGCTGTGAATGTACTGCTGGTTGCTATTCCACATCAAATGCCTGGAAGCCAGTATGTTTTTTTTCCCTCCAGAACTCACCCACCTGCACCAGTGGTTGCCACAAACTTGGCTCTGCTGCGAGCTCCGTCTCCTTTTGTTGTGTAAGCTGTCACAGTGACAGAGTAGGTTGTTTCAGGCAGAAGCCTGAGAATGATCATCTCCTGTACACAAAAGGGGAAACAGAATAAATGCTGCAGTAAGTATCTCTTCTCGAGTCAGCTATTCAGAAACAGAATAATCAGGGTCCTGAATTGTTAATGGCAATTTAATACTTATGCTAAATGCTATTATGTTTTTATGTGCCTTGGGAGGTCTTCCCAATGTGAAAGGCGCACTATAAATGTATACATTTGTATTGTCGTATTGCATGTTTTTGAGTTTGAAACGTCTTTGCCAGTTATCAAAATGCAAAAATGCTTTTCATATTATGAGGTCTATCCAGCGGGCAGTGTTCCTTAATGTAATTCCTTAATAAGGACCGATGGGGAGCCCTGGTAATTGGAAGTGTATCACTTCAACCAGCAGTCATTTTGCTTTGATGCAGTCTACTACGGGGCAGAGTTTCCATGGGTCAAGGGGAATTCTAACAGGATAGAATCCTGGCAAGAAATTGCACAAATTCCAGATAAAATTAGAACCGGAAAATGTAAAATACATTTTAAAACAATAGTCATTTAGTTTATACTTCTGTACAACATCAAATGCAAGAGCCATAAATTTCAGTCAAAAGTCTTGAGACAATCAGGTTGGTCAATACCATTAAGCAGATCAGGGTAAAGTATGCAAACTTAACTTTGACTTGTTCAAACTCTTTTCTATCCAGTACATTAAATGCATGCCTAGATATGTAGTAAACAACCTAATCTGTAGTTCCAAACTGTGGTGATGCCAAAACAGGCCAAGACAATGCTAATATACATGCAAAAGTGTGGGTAAGTATCACAGACACTAGATATGAGTCAGACACAACTCAAGACATGGGCTAAGAGGTGAAGTAAGTGGCAAATGACCATAATGTACTGAACTGTTCCTTCAGGTATAAAATCATGGGTCCATAAAGAGTCAACCAAAAATTAATTGAAAAATTCGCTCTGGAACACCATAAGGCAAGGTGTCATTGTTTGAAGACAAAGGTGCTCATCATCTCTTTACATTGGTTAAAATCCTTGCATTTGATAATAATGCTGGCATTTGTTGATGTTTTATCACATTATCAAATGCAAATATTATTAATCAACATCAAGACATCTCAAAGCGCTTCACAAGATTTTGTGCAAAAGATTTTTTATTTTTTTAATTTAAAAATTATTGTTTTTTGTTGTTTTAGCATGTCCAGAACAGTAAAACCAGAGGACATGGCCTGCGATTGAAGAGAGGCAAATTCAAAATAAATCTGTGGAAACAGGTTTCAGTGGAAGCAGAAAATGTTGATTCTTTAGCTTGGGATCTTTATCTTCAGATATAGTTTGGGACATGACATGTGCATGCGACTGCCAAGATGGTCTTAGGCAAACTGGATGAACCTTGGTCTTCTTTTGTCTAGCATTGCTTATGTTCTTACGAGATGAGGAGCAGGTTTGTGCACAAACACTGAACCTAGGATGGCACATTCAAATAGAGGAGATTGGAATTTCATTCATTTTTTCCCCGCAAGGGGCTTGCCGCTATTTTGCAATGCAAACTATTCCACAATGCAGCTGCACTCTCTCGCAAGGAAAACCCCACCTATGACTTTCTGGAGGGAACTAGCTTGTGATCAAAAAGTGCAGCTTCTTTTCTAACCTTTGGAAACCATTTGTTCTTGATGGCCATTCACAAATTGTGTGGGAAATCACATCTAAGCACTACTATTTGAAAACTCCAACTGACTTCATCCATGGCCCAACAATTACTAACATAACTGAGCAGGAACTGGACACATGTGAATCTATTCAATCCACAAAGGACACCTAAAATGGTATGCACAGACCAAACCGCCCTGTGCACACTACAAATTTAGTGCTCCTTTCCATGCAATGAATTAGTACAAAGTAAAAAGGTATATAAAAAAAATCTTTCTGGCACGTGTTAGTGCATGCAGTGCAGCACACTGACAAAACATTCCAACAGCACGTGGTTTGCCTCGCAAAGAAAAAAAATTGCAAGAAGATATCTGTAAAAACATGGAGTGGTTGTAAAAAAAAGGACACATGTTTGCAGCTGTCCAATTCTGGTGTACTCACATGTTCGGCAGAGTCATCAGTTTCCCACTGAGTGAGACAAAAACAAGAACGAAAGAAAAAAAACGAGATATGGAATAAAAGCTTTCAAGTGCATAGGATGACTGCAATATTTTTCAAGCTTCTTTACCCCTACTAATTCCAACCCCCAGCTCGGGTGCAAACCCTTGACTGCCTTGGGATGTTCTCCTAACGTGAAAGGCGTTATATAAATTTAATTTATATGTTGTTTTTGATCAGCACTTCAACAGACTTTAAAGGTGTTACCAAAAAATATTAAATCTGCAGTCATGCCTCTTTCTCAGCTGCTGTTGCTTTTCTGGTTGAGCGATTTTTTAAAAAAAATCGAGAGACTTTTTAATCGAGCCGACGCAGGAATTCTTCGATCGATATTTCAGAGGCTGGTGTGTAGGTCAGTTTTGCAGGGAGAGGTCATGAAATATAAAATTCACCCAGCAGTCAGCAGTTCTAAGGCCAAAGAATCCTTGCGTTGGTTGCCTTTCTCTTAATATTTTTTAAAAAAGTAGAAATGTTTGAAAAATTCTTAAATTCAATCTAAATTTCTAAACTGTATGTTAGACGGAACCACAGTATAAATACATATTTGGAACTCCACTTGCAAATGTCAAGTGAATACTGAAGTTATTAAAGTACAGCCTTCAAATAAATCTCCTCAGCTCGAACAGTCTCCGTCTGCTAACATGAATCTGTTCAATTCGAGACTCATAAAAACAAACTCACACTCAGAAATAAGATCCCTTCCTTTGGAATGTTTTTGCACTACAGTCAAAACTCTTGGCTTAACCTAACCTCTCCCCTATAGGGATGACACTCAAATGGAAATTAAAGCCTAGCTTTCAATCCCCACCTCTCCCCACCCCTCTGATATTACTACATTCAAGAACCAAGGTAAGTTATACACAACTCCAGCAATTAGAGGTACCAGAAACACAAGATTTCACCTCCTGATGTGGAAGGTGCTACATGAGTTTGAGTTTGGATTGTACAGTATTGTTGTATTTTAATATTCATCAAGGAAATTGACGAGAAGAGAAAGAGAGAGTGGACTTAAGAAGCAAGCAGATCAATAAGGCAAACCTTTCTAATGGTAATCTTGGATCTAACTGCAACCCCCCCCTCATAACACTATGAATTCCCGAACTCAAAGGGTAGAGGTGAAGACACTGACACAATGGAACAGTGAATGTACAGGAGGCTAAGGAACCTGTTATTTGCAGCAACAAACAGTGATCACCCAGAATGGTCTCCACACCCCAGATTGAACTTCTGAACCCTAAGAATGGCTTTAAACATTAACCTTTAAGTTAAGAAGACTAGATATGGCCTCCTTATTATATCCTGAAATTATAAACCCTAAAGACCACCTTTTCCCCTGGAAGTGGCCAACTTACCACATACGAATGAAAACAGCCCTCGAACAGAAATGAGTCCTGAGCTATCACTGAAAACAAACCTATTCTTTCTCCATTTCTTCCAACATTCTAAAATAGTACAATGAAATCCTCAAAATAAACTACATAGAACTCCAGCAATAGGAGGTAATGGGAAACACAAGACATGTTCAATTCCCCTCTGCCCATGTTAAAATATAACCTAACTCCAGACCTAGCCCTAACCTAGCTTTACTGCACGGTTCACCAATTTCCACCAATTCCCTCCAGTCCTATTTTCTTGGCTTACTCTGAAGTACAAGTATTACGTTACCTAATAAGAACATAAGAATGCATGGAACGAGAGAGAGACAAAAAACACATTTGGTTTGCGAAATCTGCCCCTGCCCATGGTCACACAAACCTGGCCTACACCCCACCACCCATCTCCTGGGGGCAAAACATTGTATGGATACTCCCTCAAAGGGACAACCATGTTTTGCTGTAATTGCAGGGCTATCCAACCCTTTACGTTGATGAAACCACGCTGCAGATTGATTGGGTTACATTGGAGCAACATTGAATTTTCACAGCCTCACACTGTATAATACATTAACTTCCCATTAATATAGGTCACTCGGGGATGGAGTTCTAGAGAGTGGTGGCAGAAAGGCTGCAAGCTCAACCACTGATGGTGGGATGGGACATGTAGCAGGTTGGTGCCTGCTAAGAATCAGGCTCCGCGACTCCCTGTGATTTGGGGAACTAATGGATCCAGGTGAGGATGGGGTGATAGGTTCGCAGAGCCTGGGGCAAGAAAGGACATGGGCTGCAGAGTTCTGGACAGTAATATCACCAGTGCTCAGCAGTTTTTCCATGGTGACAGCCAATGCCGCTTTATGTTTTAACCCTGGTTTTATTGAACACATTTAGAATCAAATCTAGGGCAATCCTTGTCTTAAGTTGCTCATAATTTATCAAACACCTCTTAACACTCTAGATTCCTCTGGGTGCCTGTCAGAAACTGGATGGAAAATTAGCACTCACCTCTCCAGTGAATTCTTCCAGAAAATATTCATTAAATATTTTAGCAATTCAGTCTCCTTTTACCTTCACTACCTACTCTATCTTTTAGAGTTTTTACTTCCTCTCTTTTACAGCTGCGGTACTGGAAGGAGTTTGTTTTAATATTACATTTAATGTGTTTAGTTGGGCTCCTCTCTAGGGCCCTCTTTGGAACTCTAACATTCTTTTCAGCTGGCATTGAAAATTCCTGCACTCCACATCTCTGCACTCTTGTGTTCTCTGCCTCCTTTCCTCCCTGTAACCTTTGCATTATCTAATTTTCTTACTTTGGCCCATTTCAATAGATAAATGAATTAATCCATTTCATTTATCTGTTGAAATTGGTCGAAGTAATTTCGAGCAATAATAATCTTTATATTTGCTATATTACCTTTCATGTTGGGAGGATGTATCCAAGCACTTCACAGGATTTTCTGAAAAGTGCTGTGACTGTGTATTTTGTAGGCGAATCTGGCAGCCAATTTGCATAGAGAAATAAAGCGAATGACCAATTTTATTTGGGGGATTGTTGGCCAGGACACCGTGCGAAACTCCTTTTCTGTTTTTGAATGATGGCATAGTATCTTTTACATCTATCTGACGGGCAGACAGGATATCAGTTTAACATCTCACCTGAAGGACGGCACATCTGACAACGAGTACACCCCCAGCATTGCATTGGAGTGTTAACCTATACCATATGAGTTAAAAGTTGTGAAATGGGAATTGAACCCACAAGCCATCTGCCTTCTGACTACCAATCGAGCCCCAAAAAGCATTTAAGAGTGTTTAGAGTTCCTGTGGGTCAGGGTGACACGTTTCCTGTTAGTGGAAGGAGTTCCCAATTCACAGGACTCAGATTCCATATTAAGAATCCTGTTAGAAATACTGCATTTACTATTCTCGGGTATACTATCTTACACACTCAACAGTATTGTTAATAGAGAATGTAATACAGTGCTACATTCTCTATTAATGATACAGTTCCAGCTGTTCAATTATTCTCATGATCAAAAATTGGAAAAGGAACAGTCCAGAAATAATTAAAAGAATCAATCGTTCCTCTGTTTGATTCTCTGGTCCTGTCAGCTAAGTGGCACAATTGAAATAAATTTGAGAGATCCATTGATTTTGTTTTTGATTTGTGAAGCTATCATCATAGCTTCACAAATCAAAAACTGTAATCTGTGCGCAATTGGCTGCCGGGTTCGCCCACAAATATACAGTCAATTCACTATACAGTGTGTTCTGTGAAGCGCTTTGGGACGTCCTCCCGACGTGAAAAGCGCTATATCAAATGCAAGGATTATTAGGATTATTTTATCATAAAATACCACAGTATCAGCAACTCTGAATAGAATGTCCAGGTGGAAAGGAAAAAGACAGGCTTATGTGTGAAGAGCTGGGAGAGAGCTGGCAGTGTGTGTGTGTGGAGGTGGGGGTTTTAGGGCTGTGTGAAGGGGAGGGGAAACTGGATGGACAGGTAGAGGGCTGGTAATGTGTGTTTGTGGGGCTTGGGGGGTTAGGGCTGTGGGGAGGGGAAACAGGATGATCGGGGAAAGGGCTGGCACTGCCTGTGTGGGGGGGAGAGAGGGAAATAGAATAGACAGAGAGGGTTTTCACTTAGTGTTGTGTGCGGGGGAGGAACATGCAGTTAGACAAATATTTGACAAAGACAAACAATAAGCTGTATGAGAAAGGGCAGGGAAGTGGCCCTGGACAGATAGCTCATTCTGAGTCCTGGTGCAGAGACAATGGGCCAAATGGCCTCCTTCTGTGCTATAAAATTTAAAGCCTCTTGATTCTGATCGGCAGAGACCTCAAAGAACACACTGTGTGCATGTTCAGTCAGTGATAGAATTACTGTAGATTGCCACCATCAGAACTGCATTTAAATGAGCCTTATTAAGATTAGGACTACCAGAGCCATTCTCGCTAATATTGCAGCTCATAGCAGGGAGCAATGTCTGCAGATTAGTCGATGCCAAAAAAAATCCACTTGGATTTTTTGCAGCACAATTTTCATGTCGAAACCCAATCTACATCTGCTTCAATGGCAATAAAACAGCCGGTGCAATGCTGAATCCGGTTTCAATTTGAAAGCATACGAATCCCAGGACTGAGTTGGGTTAATCAGTTCTTGTAACAGTGTTAGGGTAGGTTTAACATTGCCTGTTTTTGGTTGACCAGAACCACTGCGTTGGTTCCAGTCAACCAACGGAGAGGGTGGTGGTACAGGGAATGTCATCAGACTGGGTCAATGTTACCGATGGAGTTCCACAAGGGTCTGTTTTGGGACCTCATTTGTTTAATATTTTTATAAATGATCTGGAACTAGGAGTTGCAAGGAGAGTGGCTAAGTTTACAGATGACACGAAGCTAATGAAGACAGTAGATTGCAAAGCTGAACAAGATAGGTTACAGGAGGATTTGAACATACTTGGGAATTGGGCAGATCAGTGGCAGATGAAATTCAATGTGGAGAAATGTAAAGTATTTCACATGGGGACAAAAAATCCTGAAAGGGCCTATTATTTGAACAGAAGGAAAATAATATGTATGGAAAATGAAAAGGACCTGGGGGTCCTAATTGACAATAAATTTAAGCTCTCCAAACAATGCTTTATTGTGAGTAAAGCAAACCAGATGTTGGGATGTATCAAATGATCAACAGCAAGCTAAAATGGTGAGACCATACTTAGACTGCTGTGTACAGTTCTGGTTGCCGCAGTACAAAAAGGATATCAGAAAAATCGAGAAGATACAGAGGAGGGAAACCAAAATGATTGAGGGAATGGAGGGACTGAACTATGAGGAGCGACTAAGTAAATTGGGCATGTTCACACTGGAAAAGAGAAGATTGAGTGGCGACATGATTGCTGTCTTTAGAATTCTAAAAGGGCAACACAATATAAAGCATGACAGGCTGTCCAGAATATAAAACCAGAGGACACGGCCTGCGATTGAAGGGTGGTAAATTCAGAACAAATCTACGCAAACACTATTTCAGTGAGCGAATAGTGAACCTGTGGAACAGGCTCCCTAAGAAGACGGTTGAAGCAGGAAGTGCTGATTCTTTCAAACACAGATTAGATAGCTTTCTTTTAGGAAATAACATTATGGGATATAGTACATAGGTAGTTCGGGACGTATGTGCATGGTACCACCAGGAAGGTGGAAGGCAAACTCGATGGACCTCGATCTGTTTTCACCTAGCATTTCTTACGTTCTTATGTTTTTCTAGGCAATACCTAATAATGGTTGCTGTATCTTAACTGAGACAACTCTGCACTGGTTGTGAATTCTACCCTTGCGACTCAAATTCCGAGATCCACTAAAAGATTCACCATTAACTGAATAACAGAGAAGCCTGTAGCTCAGTGGTTAGAGCACTCGCTTTGCAAGTGAGAGACCTGAGTTCAATTCCAGGCACAGGGCGAAACCTTGGGCAAGTTTCCTTACTCCACACAGAGCCTAATAATAATCCCTCCAAAACCAAAAACAATAATAAATTGGTCATTTTCAATCTACGACTGTTTGTGGGACATTGCTGTGCGCAATTGGCTGCCGCGTTCACCCACAAATATATACAGTCAATTCACTTTACAGTGTGTTCTGTGAAGTGCTTTGGGACGTCCTCCCGACGTGAAAAGCGCTATATCAAATGCAAGGACTATTATTATTATTATAAGCCAACAGTGCTCCAATGCATCTCATTTCTATCTCATTGTAAGCAGATAGGGGTGATTTGTTTATCTAATATATTGTTTAAATCAGTTATGAATAATTACATTTTTTCACCTGATCCTAAAGACCACATGTATACCTTCTCTTCCTTCCCCTAGGTCCCCTTAATGTGAGTACAATGATCAGGCTTTTTAACCTTGGATTTAAAAAAGGAAGCCTCGAATCCAATTAACTCAAACGTGCTGAAAGCATTTTATTGATAGCTCCCACCATGATTACGCCACCTCTGTGAGACTGGAATGATAGGAGCTGTTGTTATTCCAGGCATTGCACCTTTCTCCTATCAGAGTTACTGAAGAATCTGAAAAGGTGAGAGAAATAAGCTCCCACTGGATGCTAGCATTGACCCTAGTAATATCATCAGTTTCACACACATCAGATGAGCACTAGCTGCAGTGTTTCTAAGTCCCGCTCCAAAATATCACTTTGTAACTAACAATAAACAACTTCATGAAAGTATCAACATTTTTTTGAAGAAAACACATAATAGAGCCTGAAGCTATGTATTTTTAATTGTATTTTTTTATAAAAAAAGTAATCCAATCTAGGATTACAAGGATGTTTTTAAGCAGATATTTGCTTCCTTTAAAAACTGCATTACATGTTCTCATGTGTGCAGAGATCATGCCCGCTATGCTAGTTGAACCGACGTACGACTGACTCCCTTCAACAAAACATCCCCACAGATTAAATTGAAGAGGAAAATGTAAGAAATCCACAAAAGAAATGTTGACTTTTCAAGACGTATTATGGAGCATTAGGAAAAGTGTGGTCGCTGTGTTTAGTGCCGGTGTTGTAAGGGGTGGTTACCTGTGCATCTGCCAGCATGACGTCCTTGAGCATGGGCTGTCCTCTGGGCTCTCCGTTCTCCATCCTCACGTAATGCACTTGATAGCCTCGGATTTGTCCATGCTGCTTATTTGGAACAGGCGAGCGCCACGACACTTTAATAGCTGTTGAGTTCAAAGCCTCTACCTCGACTTTGCGAGGAGGACCACTAGGAACTGGAAGAATACCATTGTATTAAAAGAAAAAAAAAAGGAAAATAGTGCCTTGTCCCTCCCAGTCAGCACACTAACAGCACAGAGGACAACGTCACACTATCTCCTTTAGGGAGCTGTAGGAAAGGGTGCCAGTTCTTCGAAACTCTGCCCAAAAATGCTTTACACGTTGGAAAAAAAGAAACTCCTGAGTTGCTACCTTTCTACAACATCAAAAATGTGGAAAAATGTGAAAATACATGGATTAAAAGGCACAAATACAAAAAACAGGAAAAAAAAGGCAGCCAAGGATGATGCTTTGAATCGCAAAGCATCACAAAATACAATATTTTTTTTCCTTTTGCTTGATAAAAATGATTGGAAAAATATATTTGTTGTGGAGAAAAATGGCAATTGTCTTGGGTCTCTATGTCAGTAATTTGTTTTTCCTTTTGCTAACCAATACCTCATGAAATCCAGGTAAAAATAGTCATGGACATGACCGTCTTATGTCAGTGTGGTACAGTGTGAATTGTTTCATAAGATGTGTTATAGGTGATCCTATCAAATCAGAACGGTAGAAGGAATATTAATCGGGCCACTATCAAGAAGATCAGCCTACAAGTGTTTGAGAGGCAAAAAACCATCAGAGAATAGCACGTTTGGGATGAAAGCAATCTTGGACTTTAGAAGAACCCTGGGCATGAAAGTGATATAGAAGGGGAGTCCTCAGTGGAACAGAGGAGGGCTGGAAGCAATAGTGAGACAAAGTTGCCAAAAAAGAGGCATCAGAATAGGGAGAAGTTGTTAAGGGTAGCAAGTTGCCAATTGGTGATGTTAAGCCAACGTACCATCCTCGTCTGTGCGGATCAGTATGGGAGAGCTCTCTGGGCCGGGCCCGACCTCGGTGTGGGCGATCATAGTGAGACGGTACTCAGTCCACTTCTCCAAATGTTCCAGCAAGCGTTGTGTCGTGTCTGGCGCAATGGCTACCATCTCTTCAGCCGAGGTGTCCTCTCCGTCAGTCACCATATATTTAATGGAGTATTTGGTGATGATGCCGTTCTGGTTTTCTGCTGGTGGGGGCAGCCAACTTACCAAAATACTGGTGGAGCTTGGGCTCGTACACCTGATGTCCTGAGGTGGGGCTGATGGCTCTAATTTTAGGAAGTTGGGTAAAAGTACGGGGTGAAGTGTGGGGAGGAGGTGGGGGAGGGAGTGAGGGATCAGTGCGTAAAAGGAAAAGAATAAAATAATAACAATAAAAAAATGAAACTGAAAGTAACAGGAGCGTATCCATCAACTCAAAAGAATGTACAAATCATAGAGCAAAAAAAATAATGTGCGTCGCAAAATTAAAATTGTGACACCTTGGCTTATATAAGCAAACTTAGAAATAATCGTTCGCATAAAAGTCAAACTAGAAAATGGGGAGATGTTGAGGGAAATCAATATCTGAAAATGGAACCTACAAGTAATATTACCTACCTGCAAGTTAAGACCTTACATCTGTTTAATTCCTCTAATACTCTGTGTTTATTACCTACCCTTTGTCAACAGCTGCAAGCAGTTGGGGACGCTTCACCTTCTGCATCTATTACAAAAAGGCTACGTTCCAAAGGAAAAGATCTAAGTGAATTTGCAGGGTACCTACCGACCACACACAATGAGAGGCCTGCTTATTGACTGTAACTGGCACCCACCTGCTACTGATGGAAGTGACATACCACCCTGCTCCGGTCCTTAAAGGTCAAGTGCCAAGTGTTTCTGTTCGACCGTGAAGGCAGGCGTTTTGGTTTCATTTTCTGCACCGTTTGCCATGTTTGGATAAATCGCCTTTACCAAGTGAGCAGAATGTTTGTGGTTTGGAGGTGACACTGCAACCTCAGCTGTTGTAATATGTACCAGGAACAAACAAAAAACCCACATGCAGCAGGGAGTGAAATTGCACAAAGTGGAAATGTGTGTTTAAGGTCCTGAAAATTACTTTTGGTCGAAAATAAGAGAGGAAGCTTATAGAACTCCACTTTTATTTCCGAGAAGCACTGGTGCGGCAAACCAGAGTCCAAGCCATGTTAGACAAAAGTGGTACAGTGAAGGTCAGGACCCTTTTAGTAACTCCCACTCACTTGCAGCAAAGCAGGGTGTCTCTCTGTGCCATATCTGCTATTGACAGGGCGAGACAAGCAAAATTTCCATTAATGTGTCATCTCAAGCGCCAGTCAGCAATATAGCTGCTGAAAATGCTAAGTGGAGCAACAGGCACTGACAGTAATGCCACTTGTGACACAGTTAAGTGCTGTGCTTGCACCCTGCTAAAATTAAAGCCAGAAATCTCCACAACCTGCTGTGAGAGGAGTGCGAACCCAGGCAGCTTACGGCTGTGTTTGTTTCCACCTTTTGATGTTGGCACAATGTGTGTGCACGCATGGCAGCCAGATAATTTTCAAGGATGGAACTGCCCACTGGGGTACACACACACTAACATAGTTCCATACAAACACACACTCTCTCACACAGAAACACACACTTACCCACAACGCACTCACATAGACATATTCATCCAACCATTCACATACTCTCACTCAGACACATAAACACAAATACACAAACACATTTTCTCTCACACAGGCACATCAACAACAACAACTTGGATTTACAACAACAACTTGGATTTACATAGCATCCTCCACACCGGACGGCGTCTCAGAGCGCTTTACAGTTTAGGATCCTGGGACCGAGCCAGGGGGAAGGGGAGGGGTGGGAAAGTGACCAAAGGCGCGGTCGAAAAGAAAGGTCTTCAGCAGAGACCTGAAAATGGGAAGGGAGGGAGCGAGACGAAGGGAGTGAGGAAGGCAGTTCCAGAGACTTGAGGCATAGTGGCTGAAGGCACGGCCACCGAAGGTGGAGCGGAGAACTTGGGGGACAAGGAGGAGGCCAGACCCGGAGGAACGAAGGCAACGGGTACTGTGCTGAGGAGAGAGGAGGTCAGAGAGGTAGGGCGGTGAAGAGGAGTGCAGGGACTTGAATACAAGGGTGAGGATCTTGAAATCGATCCTCTCTGGGATAGGGAGCCAGTGCAGTCTGGCAAGGACTGGGGTGATCGGGGAGCGGAGTTTCGTGCGGTTGAGAATGCGGGCGGCAGAGTTCTGAATGAGTTGGATTTTATGGATGGTAATGGATGGGAGACCGGCGAGGAGGGCGTTAGAATAATCCAGCCGAGAGGTGACAAAGGCATGGACCAGAGTTTCAGCGCTTTTGGGGAGAGGTATTGGCGGAGACGGGTGATGCGTCGGAAGTGGGAGAAGGCGGTGCTGGTGAGGGACCGGATATGGGGGAGGAAGGATAATTGGGGGTCGAACCTGACGCCTAGGTTGCGTACGGGTTCGGAGAGTTTAGGGGGAGGTCAGGTAGATGGAGGAGGTGAGAACCATGAGATTTTAGATGTTGACGAGAGCCGAAGAGTATGGCTTCCTTCTTGTCAACGTTCAGCTGAAGGAAGTTTGAGCTCATCCAGCCCCTGAGGTCTGACAGGCAGGCTGACAGAACATCAGGGTACTGGGGGTCGCAAAGTGAGGTGGAAAAATAGAGTTGGGTGTCGTCCGCATACATGTGGAAATGTACCCCATGTCTGCGGATGACATCCCCAAGAGGGAGCATATAGATCAGAAAGAGGAGGAGGCCAAGGATGGATCCTTGGGATACCCCGCAGGTAACCGGGAGAGAGCGGGAGGAGAAGCCGTTTATGCAGATGTGAGGTAGGACTTGAACCAGGTGAGTAAGGTCTCACTGAGGTGGATGACAAGGAATGGCGGTGGAGGAGGATGGCGTGATCGACTGTGTCGAACGCAGCGGAGAGGTCCAGGAGGACAAGGAGACAAAGGGAGCCCTGGTCACAGATAGAGAGGATGTTGTTTGTGACTTTCACAAGCGCAGTCTCTGTACTGTGGACAGGGCGGAAACCGGACTGGAGGGGTTCGAAGAGTGAGTGGGAGGAGAGGTGTGCGCGAAGTTGGTTGGCAACAACACGTTCTAGAACTTTTGAGAGGAAGAGCAGGTTAGAAATGGGGCGGTAATGGCTGGGGTTTGAGGGATCTAGGGAGGGTTTTTCAGGAATTCACATCCTCACACTCTTTCATAGACACAAGCTCATTCACATATACGTTCACACACGGGCACATACAGTGAACTCCTGATAATAAGACCCTGGCTTATATCATCATACTGCCAATATCCTGGTAATATCCTATGGGAAATGTGAAATAAGCCCCAGTTTCCCTTTATTTCATCGCTTGACTAAAATGTATAAAGTCACATTCTGTACATCCCATTAAGTAAAATATTGGATACATCATCGGAATAAAGCTACCTGCAGTGAGTGTGCTGGGGCTGCTCAGCAAACGGTCATGCTGAACTGCCTGATATTGCGGGGAAAGGTTGCCCTAAGCCAGCCACGTGGCAGCTGTTTTGACTGTTGTGGCAAGATTTCTGTGAATACAAATGTTAGACCTTGCCTTTTGTGAAGTTCTGCCCGATTGTTAAAACTTTGAGTGATTTAGGTGTTAAAATTTGCAAATGGAACAAAAAGTTTATTGGAGACACATATACCGATACATAAACTTATACTGTATTTAACTTAATAGCGATTTATAATAATAATAATAATAATAATCCTTGCATTTGATATAGCGCTTTTCACGTCGGGAGGACGTCCCAAAGCGCTTCACAGAACACACTGTAAAGTGAATTGACTGTATATTTGTGAATTGACTGTATATTTGTGAATTGACTGTATATTTGTATATTTAACAAATAAATTAACAGTCGTGGGGGCCGGGGGCGTTCTGTCACACTAACAGCTGCTCTTTCTGGGCAGGCGCATTGTGTGTTGGTGAAGGCCCTACCAGCCATAGCACTCCCTAGTGGCCTCGGAGGACTCATGCCTATCCAGTCATCCCAGACATAGAGTAACTGAGTTCCTTTCCCTTGGAGTGAAGATATGTCAGGAGTTTACTGTACTTACATACAAATACACACTCTTTCACACACAACACACACACTCTCACACACATTCCTCTGCTGGTGTTTTCTCTCAGTAGCACAGCTGAGATCTCAGCATCTCACCAGCACAAGAGAATCTAACCTGTCGCAGACTGCATAAAAAGGACTTTGTTTAAAGCTCGGTGGCATTACAGACTGCCCTCAGTATTGGCGCTGGCATCAAGTACTGGCTATGGAAATAAGAGCTTGCCCGAAATACCATTAAGAACTGGAGCTTTTATTTCTCCATTAGACTTTGCAGTTGCAAGCGGGTAATGCAATCAATTCAGCTGCATAAACTCTGCAAAAACTAACAATGCTGAATGCAAACCTTGTTACACCAAAAAAATCAACTCCTGCGCGTATACCTTGGTCGAAAACATATTCCAACAGCGGTCATTGCTATTAAAAGTCATTTTAAAAAGGTGAAACACAATTACCATTTCAGTACCTTGTGCAAGAAATTCAATCTTGTCATTTGACCTTTAGGATTTCACCAAAAGTAATGGCACTTACAGTATAATAGATCATTTTGTTGTGAGGCGACCTTTACCACCATTCTCATAAATCTATGCCCAGTGAAATGTAAATCATAACGCACAGTACTCGTCTCTCTCTTTTTAAAAATACTTAAAGCAAGAACACTTTCAAGCACTGAAGGTTCACACAAAACAAATCACAGCATAGGCTAAAGCGACCAGTCATGACAAAATGCTGTCTGTGTGGTTCACCTGTGCTAGGAAGCAATGTAAATTCCCCCCACACCCATGTGTATTTATATGGTTCTTGCTTTTCTAAGTGCAATCCATCTTGTTAACTGTGATTTTTCTCTTTTTAAAATCAATCAAAGCCGCGTGCAAACCTCTTGACTGAGGCACAGAGTCAAGGGAAGCACAATGGAGGTCAACTGGGTATGGAGCTACCTATTCCCTCAGTCGCACTGCTTGTCAGATTCAGTGAACTTCGGCACTGAGATCTCCAGCTGCATGAAACATGAACCTTTCCAGGCCTAAGCTTTTCCTTTTTGAAGTAGATGCTGTTTTTATTACAATACCACCTGCCGCGCGTGGCCAGCTGCTAGTGACAGATCACCCTCATAGACTAAAAAAATACCCCCGGCATTCATTCGTCAATGAAATTAATAGAAAAAAACCTACTAGTCTCCATGGTCTGGGCTGAAATCTGTGCAGTCGAGGCACCCAGGCCATGCTCAGAGCGGGCAGCCAGACGGAAGTAGTACTTGGTGTTTGGTTTCAAGTCTTCTAATAGGTACGATGTCTTTGGCTCAAATGTGACAAATTGCTGCAGGGAGGGAAAAGAGAAAAAAGCTTGCTCATTGCAGGAAACTATGAGGCAAAGTAGAGGACACAGACATTATGCTAGATATCTGGACATCCAGGCAAGGAGTTTCCATGTTTCAAAACTCTGCCAAGGCCCGAAATTCTTAGCATGCAAGCTTACTTTATTTTAAAAAGTAAGATCACGCAGAATTTAGAAAGTGCTGAAATTCAATTTTAATTTAAAAGGGTTTTTTCCGCTCTTCTTAAAAGGAAACGATTTTCAAATTAAGAATTTTCTATGATTCTATCCAATCTGAATTCTGAAGGCACAACGGTCTCACAGGCTAAGATTAGATGAACAGTGGTGGCTTCTGGGGCCAAGAAAATGCACGTCCTCCCAATGTGAAAGGCGCTGTACAAAATGTAATTTTCTATTGTATTTATTCACATAATTTGTCATGAGAGAGAATTGGAAAATGAAAGGGGAATTTTCAAAAGTAAAACACTCTAGTTGTAAGAATGAAGCACCACGGGATCCTTAATGTCCACTTGAACAGACAGACGGATCTCATTTTAATGTCTCACCTGGAAAATGGCACCTCTTAGAATAATAGTATTGTCTTATAGTCAACAGGAATAATGACTGATTTTTCCACTGTTCTTGGAATTTCTGATTTTAATTATTTGCTCCCAGGCTCTTTAGCAACACAACAATAATAATTTATATTTATGAGGCAGCTTTCACATCAAAATGCTTCACACAACTGACTGGAAGCAATTTTATAAAGGAAATTCTGATTGTAATATACACATTAATAATAATAATCCTTACATTTGGTATAGCACTTTCTTGTCAGGAGATGGACACAGCAGCCAATTTGCCCACAGCAATGTCTCACAAACAGCCATGATTTGAATGAACAATTTTATTTGGAGGATTGTTGGTCAGAAACCAGGAGGAACTCCCTTCTCTTTTCAAAAGGTACCACTGGATCTTTAACGTCTACCTGAACAGGCAGACGGGACCTCGATTTAATGTTTCATTCAAAGGTCAGCACCTCTAGCAATGCAGGACTCCCCCAGCACTGCATTGGAGTGTTGGCTTATATATAGATCCCCACTGTAGCAAAAAGCTATCATGATTGCACTGTACCTCTCTGCCATGCTCCCCTTCTGTGTAGTACAGCTCATATATGATAATGGTGTCCTGGCGCGGTGGTGTCCAGGACAGATTGATGCCTGTGTCTGACTTCGGTTCAGCCTTGAAGTTATTTGGCTGGCTTGGGACTTAAAGAAGAAATAGAGGTGGTTTAAAGGAATTCTGCTCTTTCAGCTCTTTGCAAACAAAACACCAGTTGTTCTGCAATAACCATTCCCTCCTCTGTGTGCCTGCCAAAGCCCAGCATACACGCAAACCACAGTTCCCGAAACACGTGCTACTCTCCAACCAAAAAGAAAGGAGAACCGAAGCAAGTCTAAGTACATTTACAAGCAACATTCTATTCAAACATACAGAAATTTAAATGTAATGCAATCCACCATCATGATCATTACAAGTATCTCTGCTTTGGGTACTGGTGGGGTTGGTTAAAGGTCCACGTGAAGACTTCTTAGTGTATGGATGCACAATGGCAATGTGTGTCCAGGGTGGTGCTTGGAGATCACCAAGGAATAAGGAAAAATAATCTTCAAGTGGATGAATAATTTATTAAAGAATGTGAAGCAATTTATCAGGTTTTAGAGAGGAATTCACAGTTCAGCAATGGAATCCCTATTGGTTTGTGAGATTGGGGAACCTTTAAGCTCACCGTCGTTCCTGAGGCTACAAACATTTTCCACCATTCACAGCTTTTCCCCTTAATAAATGGTCACTTCACGTACAGCTGAGGGTTAGAAAATATCTGGCAATGCTACAATAACAGCAGTGGCACATGTGCACGTCGTTTGCACGCCTGATGTTGTGTGGCGCAGAATTCCATGACAGCCTCACTTCAAAGAATGTAGCCGCTAGAAAGAGGCAGGTCTGACAGCTGGCAAGAGTGAGAGCTCCTGGAGAAAGCAAACTATCTCAATTAAAACACTCAGCTTCCTCCTGATCCTGGCAACGGGGAGAGGCGAAGTGACTGAGTCAACCTTGCTCTTCAAAACAATGCACAGTTCAAAGCACACCACATTTATAATGTCGTGGACAGTTAAGGACTGATGCACCCGTCCTTTCTCCAGCATAACAGTGTGCCAACCTCCATGATATTCAGATATACTGAATAGAGCAAGCTTTCCCCTTTTTCCCCTTCCTTCAAGCCACTTTACAAGGCACAAGACATAACATGCTGTCAAGAATGAAACTCTCTTTTATTGCTCAATGCATATGAATAGGAAAGTATTGCAGGGAGCCTTTTGTGAATGCTGTGAATTCAAATCTAATTGCTGTCACCCAAAATAGCGCAGGCAAAGTATCGGTTATTAAGCCATGTTAATCATATATTTAACACAATTGAAGGAAATAAAGGTTAACCAGGTGTGGCTGTAATAATCAGAAAGCTCAATGAAATACATTATTCCCAGATAATTGTAGCCGCTGCTCTTGGAAACAAAATGAATTGTAACTGAAATAGTTACATTCCAGCAAATATTTCAATGAATAATCTTGTCCACACATGTTTTACTTTGTTAAGTGAAGACAAACACAATTTTTCCAGAGTGGTAATGTACAAAGGATCAAATCAAGAAGTGTCAAGATGAATATTTTTCAGCATACACATTTGTGACTGTAAAATAATCATTGTATTTGATATAGTGCATTATTATGTCCTAGGAATATCTGTACTGTAAAGATTAATCACTGTGTATTTGTAGGTGAACATGGAAACCAAAATGTGCACTGCAATGTCCTACAAACAGCTCATGAAGTGAAGAGAAGCTTCCTTTAAGATGTCCTCTGCTGCACAAATATCCTTTTTAATAACATGGACTTCCACAGAACCAACAGGAGACTAAGATGGTGTTTTTATCCATGGGTTCAGATAGCAGAATGGGTCGGGTGGTCCTAGGTGAACTAGTAGTAGAAAGCTTGTCAGACAGTCTCCTAATGACAAGCTATATGATTTTATATCTGGTTAAACTCCACTAAAACTTCAACATCCCCGAGCTTTGGCTCTCAACAACCCTAAGCCTGATACTCTCCCTAAACAGGATGTGTCCCTCCAGGAAGAGAGTGCACATTCCATCCCAGACACAGGGAAATTTCCATTTAGGTGACGAACAGATGTGGAATTCTCAGTCCGGTTTGGAAACTCTTAAGCGTGGTGATGGGTTTCTGCACACCCGACTAACCCAAAAAANGTGTAAAAGTCAAGGTTTCCTGCACAAGAATCTTCCAGGTCTTTGCTGTAATGCTCCACCTGTACTAGGCCCTCCCACTTTAAGCAGAACTGTGAGATGAAGTCTTGGAGCCCTGAGGAACTTCCTTCCCATATGATGAGACTGATGAATCGGAAGATAACATTAAGAAATAGTCACATTCAGTTTCAGACTCATCTATGTGGCTGCTCTTCTCCTCAGTCACTGACCCCTGCTGAAGTGTTCTCGAGTCCCCTTGAATGGAAGAAGATACAGATTGTCAGGCCGTTCCACAAAGGGGCCGGTCCCGATTTGTGTAGATAATCAGCCCTTACTGTAACCTCTTTTGTAAATTTCAATGATGAAGTTACTTATTGTTCAAGACCACTCTCTCCTCTGCGCAGATGTTTGCTCTTTGTCAAAGGACCTTTGTCTGACCAAAAGACCGTCTGCCAAACAATCTGTTATTAACGATGTAAGACAGAGCCTCTTCAAAATCCATAAATTCAGAGCTGTGGCAGGCAGTTGGCAGGTTTGGTTCAGCCTGAACGGTTGTGAAATAAGACACTGCTGTTGGATAACAACAAATTTCATTTTTTTGTAAATGTAACCTCGGTATAAATCTGGTTAAGCCACAAACTCACATCAGGAAAAAAAATCCCCACAAGATACACATACTTCAATTGCTGAGTTAGTTTACCCATCTACCACAAATGAACAATTCGGAACTTAAACATTGCCTATGCTGATTTGTTTTTAAGTGGAAGAAAAAGGTCATTCACGTTGCCATAGTGGTTTGTACCTGGAGTCTGCATTTGTGTCCCAAATTATACGCTCTACTCTTAAGTAGACTCTGCTGGAATTACTGCCCCATTGTGCCTTTATCTCTGCTGCAGCAGGCTGACATTGGTTTTCCACATAACAATTATCTTTGTGGCCATCCTGACACAGGAACATCAGTGACAAATTAAGGACAATGGGCAATCACATCAGCGACAACTGAGTTGAGACTCGTGCAAATTCACTTCATTTAGGATCTTTACAGCAGGTGGAAAAAGATCACTTTCATTCCCAACACCTTGTGTTGATTCAAAGCCCAAGAACAGAGGTGGACATACAAGGTTCTAACTTATTGTGCCATCTAACCCCTGACGCTTCTCACAAATCATAAATTACAAAGAAATTACGATCATTATTAACTTTGAAAGCGATGACCCCCATCTCCACTACACATATAAACAGAAAGATCATAATTGATTAGTCTTTCTATTCCAAAGGATATAAGACATTTTTATTATTGGAAAGTTGCTTTACTCTTTTCAGCCTAATCCATAGAAAAGGATTTGTTTAAAACCTTCTCATGATAAATACTTGCAATCCATTAATCTGTAACTAATGCACCATTGCATTATACTACACCATAGTGTATTCTCTCTGCCTCTTTCTCTCTCTCTCGCTATCCTCCTGTCAACATTTTCCATAGGAGATATATGCGCCCACACATATGTATATATAGGGATACAATCTACAAAAGTGAGTTGATCCAAAGCTGTAACACTTCCAGTGTTTCACAATAGCGTGACAACCCTAACATGGTCCAAAGAGGTCCCCATGGAAATCAGTCAACACCTAATTCGGATCCAGAAACCGCACAGCCAAATCCCAAAGAATCTATACTAAAGCACTATCATCACCTCATCTGACACAATAACCCACAATATGTCTACAATGAAACCAGATGCTGAAGACATGCATCAGAAATTAATGTGATCAACGCAGGAATCCTAACATAGTGCAAGAGATTATTAAATAGCCATCTGTATCTGACAGTTTCATTAAAATACAGCAAACACTGAACTTCAAACCAGCCAGGGAAAAGGCGGCAGCCTAATTATTTGCAGTATGTACAGATTGTGGATTCCAGCTTATTCTTGTTTCCAGTGATGTGAGGAAATTCATCCCAAATATATTGATTCTATGCCTCAAGTATTTTCTTGAATTCTCTGACTGGACAAGAATTCCATGATTGCATTCAGTCATGTACTTTATGGTTTCAAATACAAACTGAGTTGGTTGAGATTAGTAGGTCGATGATCAGGTTTATTTTCTGTTCCTTCATTTGTTGTTCTTGAGTTGGGAATATTATTAAGCACTTGTCCTCATCACATCTGTTTGTCCGTTATCTTCAGTAAAAAAAAATTTCCAACAATAATAAAATCAAAATATAAGGGTAGAGAACAAAGCATGATAAATAATCCTTGAATCTGATATATCACCTTATTAAATCATCAACACGTCTTAAAATGCTTTAAGGATATACTGTAAAGTGCAGTGGCTGTATTTTGAAGATGAACACGACAGCCAATTTGCATATAGCAGTGTCCCATAAACAGTTCTGAACTGAATGATCAATTTTATTTGGGAGATTGTTGGGCAGAACACCAGAGAAACTCCCTTTTCTTTTTGAATAGTGCCATGGGATTATTAACGCTCACCTGAACAGGCAGACTGGGCCTTGGTTTGACATCTCATCCGAAAGATGGCACCTCTGTCAATGCAGCACTCACAGTGAGGTGTTAGCCTAGACTGTGAGCACAAAGCTCCAATGTGAGGCAGGAAATAAAGATTATCAACCGGGTCTATGTTCAGAAATGGTAGGCAAAAAGGTAAAGGGAGCCACAAAAACAACCCACACAGGGAGGAAGGGGTTAAAAAAAGACACAATTCTTCAAGATCGCTCCATCTTACTAAAAACCTCACAATGCATCCATCAAGGGCAATACATATTCAGCCAGTTCTAAGTCAGCCAGTCACCAAGCACAGTAACTGTACTCTAGGAGGAAAGTCCATGTCTTCAGCAGGTCAATGAAACCTCCAGCACATTGCCCAAGTTAGGCTGGCTCAGAGCTTTGGCTGGCCTGCCCAGAGCGCTCATTAAACACTTTGTG